GTTTACAAAGGACTGGCCGCCAGTGGGCTATTTGGGTAAGATCTGAAGTACATTTTGGCCTGAGGGTAAGTGCCTGATCCTTTGGGATTGGTAGAACTTTAAGTATGATTAATAGGGTTTTCAGGAACCTATCACTATATTACACTAGACTGTCTAGATGGGAGCCAAGGGCTGGAATGCCTAAAGGGGACTGTGTTTGGCTTTTTGTTAACCAGTGTGCTACTGCAGAAGCTCTTTGGTAGGTCTAATTATAGCATAAAATACCATTTTGGGGGATTGTCTGTCCTATTTCTTGCAGTCTGCCCTGAGTCTGGCATTCTCAGTGTGGTCCATCCAGGCACCCAGTCACAGTAATCCAGTGTGGTTAACACACTTCAGGTTCTTCTGTATGGCAAACCATCATGCTTAGCTTCTGATTTTGTGTGGCACTCTCCTCAAAATTAAGGCAACACAGCTTTTACAAATGTCTTTCCTTTTACTATACACAATATGCTAATCTATCTTTGGGAGTAGTGTACAGATCCCATACCACTCATAAGAACGGACATACTGGGTCAGACCAATGGTCCATCTAGCCCAGTATCTTGTTTTCAGACAGTGCTTGGTGCCAGATGCTTTGAAGGGAGTGAACAGAACAGGGTAATTTATCTAGTGCTCCATTCCCTGCTGTCCAGTCCCAGCTTCTAGCAGTTGGAGGTTCAGGGACACCACTACAGTACATGTAGTTAATATCCAGCTAGTAGCAAGTCCCATACTGAGGCTACAATTAAGCTTGTTTTGTTCATTCAAACACACATTCCAAAACACATAAGAAGCAAAGTAAATTCCTAGGACCTGACTATATTCCAGATCTGCATGTGGAGCTCTTCCTCTTCCAGACAGGTCTTGTCTTCACTAGAAAAAAACGTGAGTTCTTAAATGAAGTTAGCTAACATAAATTCTAGTGAAGAGAAGGCAGTTGGTCGTTTTCTCGTGTGTTAGCAGCCCCACTGTATAAGTAGGGGCATAGCGAGCAGATCGAGGGACGTGATCGTTCCCCTCTATTCGACATTGGTGAGGCCTCATCTGGAGTACTGTGTCCAGTTTTGGGCCCCACACTTCAAGAAGGATGTGGATAAATTGGAGAGAGTCCAGCGAAGGGCAACAAAAATGATTAGGGGTCTGGAACACATGAGTTATGAGGAGAGGCTGAGGGAGCTGGGATTGTTTAGCCTGCAGAAGAGAAGAATGAGGGGGGATTTGATAGCTGCTTTCAACTACCTGAAAGGGGGTTCCAAAGAGGATGGCTCTAGACTGTTCTCAATGGTAGCAGATGACAGAACGAAGAGTAATGGTCTCAAGCTGCAGTGGGGGAGGTTTAGATTGGATATTAGGAAAAACTTTTTCACTATGAGGGTGGTGAAACACTGGAATGCGTTACCTAGGGAGGTGGTAGAATCTCCTTCCTTAGAGGTTTTTAAGGTCAGGCTTGACAAAGCCCTGGCTGGGATGATTTAACTGGGAATTGGTCCTGCTTTGAGCAGGGGGTTGGACTAGATGACCTTCTGGGGTCCCTTCCAACCCTGATATTCTATGATTCTATGATTCTATGAGGTGAAACTCTAGGCTCCTCCAGTCTTTATTTCAACCTACTAATACACATGAAAACTACAAACTGCCCTATATAGTCATGAGGATTTTACTTTGTGGTATTTACCATATGTTAGCTAACGCAGATTAAGAACCAACTGTTTTTCCTAATGAAGATGCACCCACAGTAGTTAGGCTCAGCTGTTTCTGTGGCACCTATACCCTCCATCACATAGATCCAGCAAAGCCCTCTCCACACAATCCACAAATGGAGGCTGGTTGGGCTGGGATGTACAATGCAAACTGTCTTCCGTCTAGCATCACAGACCTTATATGAAGTTCACAATCTCAGTTTTTACAGTTTGCCCATTATCAATCCTACAAAAATAATCCAAGAGATTAATCCATGAAAGACTACTCCTGAAAATATTTCCCCAAAATGTAAAATAATAGAATACTAAGCTGGACAATCTATCAAATCATGCTAACTGTGACTGTCTTGGTAAGCACCAAAATAAACCAACAGAGGTTGTAACATTCTGTGGAAAAGCAGCCTACCATACATGAAGAGCAGTGGTGTGACACACTTTACACTTTACTGACATTACGCCACAAAAAGATGAAACAATCTCTCACATTTTGGGCATAGAATCATAGAATATCAGGGTTGGAAGGGACCTCAGGAGGTCATCTAGTCCAACCCCCTGCTCAAAGCAGGACCGACCCCCAATTAAATCCTCCCAGCCAGGGCTTTGTCAAGCCTGACCTTAAAAACTTCTAAGTAAGGATATTCCACCACCTCCCTAGGTAACGCATTCCAGTGTTTCACCACCCTCCTAGTGGAAAAGTTTTTCCTAATATCCAACCTAAACCTCCCCCACTGCAACTTGAGACCATTACTCCTTGTCCTGTCATCCACTACCACTGAGAATAGTCTAGATCCATCCTCTTTGGAACCACCTTTCAGGTAGTTGAAAGCAGCTATCACATCTCCCCTCATTCTTCTCTTCTGTAGACTAAACAATCCCAGTTCCCTCAGCCTCTCCTTGTAAGTCATGTGTTCCAGTCCCCTAATCATTTTTGTTGCCCTCCGCTGGACTCTCTCCAATTTTTCCACATCCTTCTTGTAGTGTGGGGCCCAAAACTGGACACAGTACTCCAGATGAGGCCTCACCAACGTCGAATAGAGGGGAAAAATCACATCCCTCGATCTGCTGGCAATACCCCTACTTATACATCCCAAAATGCCATTGGCCTTCTTGGCTACAAGGGCACGCTGTTGACTCATATCCAGCTTCTCGTTCACTGTAACCCCTAGGTCCTTTTCTGCAGAACTGCTGCTGAGCCATTCGGTCCCTAGTCTGTAGCGGTGCATTGGATTCTTCTGTCCTAAGTGCAGAACTCTGCACTTGTCCTTGTTGAACCTCATCAGATTTCTTTTGGCCCAATCCTCCAATTTGTCTAGGTCCCTCTGTATCTTATCCCTACTCTCCAGCGTATCTACCACTCCTCCCAGTTTAGTGTCGTCTGCAAACTTGCTGAGGGTGCAATCCACACCATCCTCCAGATCATTTATGCAGATATTGAACAAAACCAGCCCCAGGACCAACCCTTGGGGCACTCCGCTTGATACTGGCTGCCAACTAGACTTGGAGCCATTGATCACTACCCATTGAGCCTGACAATCTAGCCAATTTTCTACCCAACTTATAGTGCATTCATCCAGCCCATACTTCTTTAACTTGCTGACAAGAATACTGTGGGAGACTGTGTCAAAAGCTTTGCTAAAGTCGAGGAACACCACATCCACTGTTTTCCCTTCATCCACTGAACCAGTTATCTCGTCATAGAAGGCAATTAGATTAGTCAGGCATGACTTGCCCTTGGTGAATCCATGCTGACTGTTCCTGATCACTTTCCTCTCATCTAAGTGCTTCAGAATTGATTCCTTGAGGACCTGCTCCATGATTTTTCCAGGGACTGAGGTGAGGCTGACTGGCCTCTAGTTCCCAGGATCCTTCCCTTTTTTAAAGATGGGCACTACATTAGCCTTTTTCCAGTCGTCCGGGACTTCCCCCGATCGCCATGAGTTTTCAAAGATAATGGACAATGGCTCTGCAATCACATCCGCCAACTCCTTTAGCACTCTCGGATGCAACGCATCCGGCCCCATGGACTTGCGCACATCCAGCTTTTCTAAATAGTCCCGAACCACTTCTTTCTCCACAGAGGGCTGGTCACCTCCTCCCCATGCTGTGCTGCCCAGTGCAATAGTCTGGGAGCTGACCTTGTTCGTGAAGACAGAGGCAAAAAAAGCGTTGAGTACATTAGCTTTTTCCACATCCTCTGTCACTAGGTTGCCTCCCTCATTCAGTAAGGGGCCCACACTTTCCTTGATTTTCTTCTTGTTGCCAACATACCTGAAGAAACCCTTCTTGTTACTCTTAACATCTCTTGCTAGATGTAAGTAATTTCGTTTCTCTCATGGTTTTGTAAAACGATTAACAGGTGAACTGTGTCCACTTTGCTTATCCCAGAAGTCTGAAACTTCAAAACATGATGCCAAGCTACTTTCCATTTTTTTTTTCATTTTACTGATTACAAGAAGGGTTTATAAACTTTTGGAATATCACAGTGCGGCAGCAAACAGATATTTTCCCTTCAAATAGAAAGGAATATATGGGAACTGGGTTAAGAACTGTATTTTTTAATCAAATTGGAATCATCCAGATAATTATCCAAATGGATAATGATGGATGCTGAAGTCCTCACTGCTCCCATTATAGAAGATACGTACATAGGGACAGATTTTCAGCTAGCCTTCTATCAGCATGACGTTAGAAAAGACTGCAGAGAGTGAATGATTGTACCATGGGTGTAGAATAGACAATGAAGTGATTTTCACCAGGCAGAAATTAAGGACTCACCCGACCACTTTTATAGTCAAGTGATGTCTGAAACATGATAGACATGCAGATCTAGAGTTAAGCACATTTGGGAGAATGGAAGAATTCCATGGAATATCAGCTAAGCATTTCAGCCCACAACAGACTTTGCTTTAGTGACTTTCAGAGATAAAAAAATGTGCAAATGCTAATCTGTTTCGACTTTAGCAGGCCAGTACTGAATAGGTATACAGCAGCAAATACTTTTATAATGATCTTGTTTGAATTCTGTTCCTTGGTAGGACAATGAGCCTGAGAATCGATCTCCTCTTAATCAGATTTACACACACTTTTTTTTATTACTACAAAAGCTCTTTTGTCCATCTAAAAACTGCTGTGATCTAACAACCTAAAGGATCATTAGTAGCCCATGAAGACCATGCATTCAGCCATGCAACATGCAACAAGGCAGTACATAACACAGCGTAAAAATGGCAAAGTAAACCAAGTGATGGCCATGCTAGTATTTGTCAACGGTCTCCTTACCAAACAGTGAAATCCTATGCCTGACAAGAACTCCAAGTTTGCAGAACAGGCTGAAGACAAAAGAAAAATAAAGAGAAGAAGGGGAAAAAAGAAAAAAAAAGGGAGAAGAAAGAAAAATAACAGCTGATATATGAGCAGGAAAAAGCAACATGATGTCACGCAGAAATTCTCTGAGCAGAATGTGGGACTGAGAGTACTAAAGAAAGAGATTTAAAGTGCATATCCTTAACGAACACGGTTAAATAAGCACATATTCTAATTAAAGAAACAAAAAACTGAAAGCAAAGCTAAGTAATATAAAAGCGTTCTATATGAAAAACCACAAGGAAATAATCATTGAAGTGTTACAAACTAAAATGCAGTCAGTGGGCTATTCAAAATATCTTTGAAAATTTGCAGGGGAAATGTAAGGAAATCAGATTAATAGAAATGTCTGATGGTAAATGTTTAATTAGTCCAATTTGGATCTCATCATATTTAATAGATTAAATAATTAAAATGAAGTCTTGTCCATTAAAACATTTAACTTAAATGATTTAAGATTAGAACTAAATAAACAATAGTTTAAGTGGTTAAATCAAACAAAATATGGATATGACCACTGGTTTTGTTTAACATGTTTAAATTAATTTTAGCACTGATGAATGGTGCCCAGTTGAGAGCAATGGGTAATAAAGTTTTATGTTTATTCATAGAAAAGGGAACAGCAGTGCAAGCTTCCCCACACTGCCCCCCAACCATTGACTCAACCTTCATCTCCATCTCCACAGAGAGAGTAGTTCACTCTTCTTGGCCCAGTTCAATCCTTTGCATCTTTTAGGAGAACATCACTCCGGGTGTATGTTGGTGTCTACTGTGGTGTCATTTTCTGTGGCAAGGACCTTAGTCCATTAGAAACTGTATTAAGAATATCATCTCATTTTACTTTGGCCACCAGCATCCTGGGCCTAATTCCAACCACTGATGTCAAAGTGAAAGACACTATATGTCCCATTATCCAGCCCCTGACCCATCTAGTCCACTATGAATAGTTTTTCAAAAGTATCTTATCATATATAATTCGTTTTGATTTAAACAGTAACACATTAAATAGAGGTCAATCTATTCCTCCTGCCAGTGTATGAGCACAACACTCATCGACTTGAGTAGAAGCTGTGCTCACATAGTTGAGGCTGGAATTGAGCTCATGAAGCATGTCTAGCATGCCTAGTGTGACCCAGCTGGCAACAAAGCCAAGGGCCTGATACTTGGGCTCATATGCAGAATCGATCCTACAAAATTGCAGTACTAAGAGGGGCTGTCTTGCTAAGTAGGCTGGTCTTAACAGAGCAGACATTAAATCAAAGTCAATGCCATCAGACTCTGGTCACTAATAAGGTAGAAGTTAATAATTCCATGGTACTTTATATAAAATGCTGGGGATAACCTCAGTGTCTTGGCCCACATTCACTCAATTAACACATCAAGATTTAATGTCCAAGGCCATGTGTGTTTGCTGAGCACTAAGTGGTTGTTGGATTTGCCTACACAATTACTACATTGCCATTATCAATTCAAAACTCATCTACTTTACTACCAAAAAGAAAACGTAGGTTTTGTTGGGTATTTCAAAAGACAAACTGTCTTTCCGTCCTGGGAAAAACCTACATGAAGCCAGGGTCCAAAGGAAACTGAAAACAATTAAGAAATAAAAAACAGCTTTGGTGAATCTCATACCCCTTCCTAAGTTCAATACTGAAATTAAACCTTCCCTCTTGAGTTTTACCTTGCCTTTCTCAAGGCCCCTGAAATCTTTGAACAGCTAGTAGGATGGTTCATGGCAGAGGACTGTAAGATGGAGTTCCTATAGCCCTCGAACATTCATCATCAAGAATTAATTTTGCAGGCTAGTAATAGATGGTTGGTCAGATGTGTTACGGTGTCTTTTAAATTCCTTGAAGGACTCCAGACAAAGCAATGTTAGAAACAAGATGTCAGAATAAATGGGCCATTAGTTTGCTCTAATATGCCAACTATTATGAGTCATGTTCAATAAGGCTACCAGAGAATAGCCCTCATGTAAACACGTCAGCCCTCCGTATCTGGGTCACCTACTGGGGTGTGTGTGCTGATCTGCAGAGAACATCAGTCTGTGAAAGCCCTACCTAGTGAACTTTGGCTCAAACTGTAGCAGCTCATGCTTGCAGCTCTGGAGAGCCCCAGTCCGTTCTCCGGCATCAGCCAAGATGGTGGCTAAATATGCTGACTGATTCCTGCTGACTCATTGTGACTGGTGTGGCTTTTTTAACTCCACCCTTAGTTTAGAGCAGCAGTCCCCAAACTTTTGAGGGTCACACCCACCCTCACCCCGTCCACACCCTGGGGTGGGGGGCAGTGGACAGAGGTAAGGGGACTGCAGCCAGGTGCAGTTCCACTCCCAGCTCACCCCAGCCTTGGCCTCGGCCCCAGCCCTGGGCCAGGAACTGAGCCGCAGCTAGTGGCTGAGGTTGAGAGCTAGTGAGGTGATGGGAGCAGAGCCACACTGAGTCTGGAGATGGGGTCAGGCACAGGGCTGGGAGCCAGGGACACAGGTGGGGGCGGGACCAGAGCAGAGCTGGGAGGGGCTAGTGGCGCTACCTCCCTGCCCCCTGTAGGGGCTGGCATGGGCCTGCCACATCCCCCTGATAGTGCGCCCCACACTTTGGGGACCTCTGGTTTAGAGGAGGTGGAAGTGACAATTTAGCAGGAGTTTACATAAGACAAACAGGTATCTGGAGGTAAAGCCTAAGAAGAGACAAGCTTCGGGAGAAGGGTTGGGCTGAGACTTATGTTGTGTTACTATTATTAAGAAAGTCCCAGAAAAGATGTGAGTCAAATTAAACACAGAACATCTTGACTCTTCTCAGAGCAGGGTGAGAATATGTTCTCACAATCTGCCATGGTTAAATTTTGTTCTTGAAAGTATTTGTGAAATTTTGCATGAACAGCAATTTTTGCACAGTCTTAGTACTTGTCTGTACTGTACATGAGTAAATTTAGATTCCTGTCCACCTGAATAACAACCACTGCTTTTTAAAAGTAGTATTGGATTCAGAGTCTGAAACACACACAGACTTTTGTGTGTGTGAATTCTCCCTTCTAACATCAATGAATCATCTTAATACAAGAAAGAAAATGAAAAACATTAGATCACTTGTGTTTCCATAAGGCTACTTTACCTCCCCTAACTAAGCTAAAACCTGCCTACACATCAACTATTGTTCTTTATTTATTTGTACCTTGTCACCATTTCTTTCTCCTTGTTAGAGGCATGTCCCCCGCTGCTCAGAGGCCTGCTTGCTGCAGATAGGAAATACAGCCGATGATTTTTGAAATACTGATCAATTAAAGGGAGCACAACCTGAAATACATCAGAGAAAAACAGGCACGGTCAACTCAGGGCTTCTTGTGCTCTAGTTCATAATATTCATTTCACATCACAGTTTCATGGCAAGAGGGATTTCTTAACATGTAACATTTTTTTTTCTCTTTAAATTCTGTTTATCCTTAAATTCCCCTTCTTTTTAAACAAGTATTTAGGATGTCAACCAAAAACATGAACTAAAGTGAATTTCTACTTTCCTCCTGGATTTTTAGGAGGGATATGAAGGGGGAAAGGTTATTTATTTATATTTCTAATAAAATATATCTATAATTACTCCAGATGCCTTTGACATAGCTTAAAAAAAATCTAATCAAAACAGCAGCCAGCCTGAGAGCAGCTCCCTGCAAAACTCAGTCTCCAGCAAAACTAACTGTTCTCCCCAACGAACATCTTTTCCCATCATTCCCCCTTCTCCTGCAAAAACCTCCCATGCCACCAAATGGAGTTTAACCCATAAACAGAGCCTACTGTTCAGTGCCTATGGCTGATCCATCACCAGGCATGGATTCAAAAAAATAAAAATAAAAAATTCCAAATCTTATTTCATTTGAGAATAATTTTGAAAGGAAAAAGCAACATGAGTTCCCCAGTGGATGAAATTGCAGATGGTGATATATTTTGTGACAGCACTTTATAGTACAAAGACTATAATTTACTGCTAGGGAATCAGGGTCAGAGAATGTTGCAACACCTGTCTGCTTATTCATTAATGGATTGAAAAGGCACCTTGAATATGCACACACCAGGCAAGCTTATGAGTGCCAAAGGTGTAAGCAGAATTTCCTAATGTATAAAAGATAAATCCTTTTTGGCACAACCAGACGTCAAGATAGTTTTAAAACAAGGAAAGAAAGCAGGAAGGTGACATTGGGAAATATCTAGTTGTATTTTCTCCAAGTATAGCTCACATTAACTGTCTAAAGATTATATAATAGAGACACAGTCTACCCTCCTTCATAACTGGGCGAAACCAGTACAGGGAGAACGTGGGGAGCTTATGAATACCTAGCATGATATGCTGTATACTGTAAAGAAAGAAGATAAAGGGAATTTAAGGAGAAAAATGTAATTTTTTTCATAGATATATTTCATGTGATAGTCTGCTCAAGCTGTGTAGCTTTTCATCTGTCAACAATATAACAATAAAATTCAATACACATTTAATGTAGACCAATGCAAATATAACAAGAACAAACATGCTTCTTAACAAGCAGTTTCTGCACTGAAAAGGGATAAGCAAAGATATACTCTACTTTGGCAAAGAACTTGATTTCTTGCTCATAAGGGAACTGTTCTCCTTTGCCTCTGCTGCCACCATCTGTGAGTAGGAAGAGTTTAAGATGCATACTGAATAAATAAAATTACATGCTATTCTATACTTTAAATATGCACACTTCAGAGGAAGTAATTTGCTTCTCTTCTTTAGGGCTAGGTTTTAATATGCTTCAGATAATATATATTAGTTACATATGTATTTTAAGACTGCTTCATCCGATATAAGATACATTATAAAAGGGGGGTAAAAATAAGGAGCCAAAACCTCTGGTGGTGTATATCAGTGTAGCACCCTGGAAGCCAGTGGAGCTATGTCCAGTCAAGAATCTGGCTCAATGTTCTTATTTTTGAAAAAGCTGGTAATGTCCTATAAAGACCTTGCTAACATATATAAATAAAGCTAAAAGTAACAAAAAAAGAAATCAGAGTAGCTTTTAATTTACTTCATTTGATACAAAAAAAGCCCATCCAGAATTTGGGGCCCCTACTTGATGTAGCCAACTTTTTCCCCATTATAAAAGCCTGTCTTGGGAGCCACTTCATGACTTTTTCTGTGGAAAGGCTGTGTCTAGGACAAGAGTAGCAGGAAAGGAAATTTGACTCTGTGTTTCAATCACAGATCTAGCACTCAGTTCTCGTGGCCTGCTGTTGTGGTTCTCTTGTTCAGTAGCAGTGCTCAGTATGATGCATACTGAGTGTAAGCACAGAAAAAAAACATAAGAAATAAAAGAATAAAGGAGAGAAAAATCTCTCTCTCTCAAATCACATAACTGAATTCCACAGAAAGAATTAAAGTTAGATTAGGGAAGCTCAATACCTCAAAAGAGTAATTATATATATGAACTACAAAGATTATGATTAAACCAGCTTTCCCCCATAATTTACAAAACTATTGGATTTTGATTGCATGGTTAAGAATTTTCTGTCTAAAGAATGCAATTAATTAAGAAGTACTCACTGGAGAGTAAACTTACTTCACTTGCCACACTACAATGAAACTCAGATACCATTTGATAAACACATCTGTTGCAATCTGCAAAATCCTGATAAGCAATTAGTGTTAGACACATGTCCAAGTGAAGCAAAAAACCTGTAACTTTTTCCACCCCATTTGTTTTGCGAAGAGGAAGGGAAATAAATCATTCTTTTTTTCAAGGAGTTTGAAACATTTACCGTGATCAAATGAGCAACAACTGTTCATTGCACAGAATAAAACACATGCTGTTTTAGACGGCTCTGAGCAGGTAAGAGTCTTCCTCACTTTAACAGTCCAGAAGGTTGAAAAAATTTAACCGGGGCTTTGATATTGTCCAACCAGTGTGGCAAATTACATGCACCAGGAGTAAAACCTGTGATAATGTAAGAAGTTATATGAACGAACTGCATCCTTTTTTAAAGTTTATTAGTGTGCTCTTTCACGCATATTCAGGGTTGGAATGCATCTTATAGGATCTGTCCTGTATAGGGAGCATTGAAGAGCTTCACTGTCCCAGTGGAAGCACAATTCCTCCCAGACCTTATCTAATTAGGCATTTTTCATCTGATTCCCCCAAACAGTGTGGTGTAGATAAGCTGAGAGAAGAAATTATGGGAGCACTAGTGTAGACAAGGTACTTGGGGCCCTCTGGTATTTTACACCACTGTGTCCTCCAGGCAGCGGCGTATTAACGCCTAGGCCAACAAGGCCTAGGCCTAGGGTGGCAAATTTGCAGGGGCGGCAAATTTATAATAGCAGCCAGAGGCTGCTTCCCCCGGTGCCGGTTCGCGCCCTCCGCCCCCAGCCCCGCCCCAACTCCACCCCTTCTCCGCCCTCATTCCCCACCCCCTCCCTGTCCCTAATGGTCCCCTTCCCCAAATCCCCGCCCTGGCCCTGCCTCCTCTCCTGAGTGCGCCACGTTCCCCCCTTCCCCCCTCCTTCGCGAAGCTGTTTCGCGCACAAGCACTGGCAGGGAGCGGGGAGAAGCAGGACCTGGGGGCGAGCTCAGGGGAAGAGGCAGAGGCGGAATCGGAGCGGAAGTGAGCTGGGGGGGGCAGCAATTATTTCTGGGCCTAGGGGCGGCAAACTCATTAATCCGCCACTGCCTCCAGGACTACTTTGACCATGGTTAAGACAACACAGCAGTTAAAATTAGGGTGACCAGATAGCAACTGTGAAAAAATGGGACATGGGGTGGGGGGTAATAGGCGCCTATATAAGAAAAAGTCCCAAAAAACGGGACTGTCCCTATAAAAACGGGACATCTGGTCACCCTAGTTAAAATGCTAGCAGTTACTACCCCGATGGATGTGTGCTAGTGGTATGTCAATGATAGGAAATTTGAAGAAAAATGCTCATGCAAAGAGGGTGGATGACTGGGCACTAACCTGGGACATGGGAGACCTGGGTTCAATTCTCTACTCTGCCACAGACTTCCTGGGTGACCTTGGGCAAATCATTTAATCTCTCCGTTCCCCATCTGTAAAATGGGGTCTACCTACCGGCATGTTGTGAAAATAATGCTAAAGACAGTGAAGGACTCATCTACGATGGTAATGGGGGCCACTGAAGTGCCTAATCTAGATAGGTAGATAGCCCTAGAGCTCCTGTGAGCAAGGGGAGTGCAGAGTGGATGCACTACAAGAGGATACAACATGTGCTTTCCTGAATAGACGTCCCAAAACCAGGGGAACTTGTTCCACCCTCCCACTCTACAGACTTGTGCAGAAACCTCTATCTAGGATCAAATTCACCCAGTTAACTAAATGGGTAAAGTGAAATCAATGGGAAATCAGCAGACTGATCTGTTTCTAAGGGCTATATAGCCCCACAGTTCAGACTGCGGGGGGCCTGAATTGCAGTGTGCACTAGCCTGCGGCACTGTAACTCCTCTGTGTGGACTCTATGGGCACAGACTAAAAGGTACCAAGTTTGCATTAACTTAGTGCTGTTTAAATAGGACTACATTACCATGAACTAGGTTTGTGCCTACATTGTCCACACAGGGGAGTTACTACACAGCACACTAGTGTTCACTGCAGTTCACACTCCTATAGCCCAAATTGTGTGTAGACAAAGCCTAAATCTCAATGCCAGACTACCAATCATAAATTAAATTTCCTTCTCTCTACTTGTCTACTCATGGAAATGTATTCCTTAGAGGTGCATCTCTAATCTGTCACTATTTATGCACTGTGCATCTTTCACTTACATTGTGCAAAAACTGGCATGAATTCTTTTTCTACTTAAATGATGTCAAATCTTTATTCTCCTGTTGGCATAACTCCATCTTGCTGGAAAGGCATGCTGAGGTGAGCTCACTTTTTATGACATTTCTGGGGTTATGCATGCAGGGCTGAACATTCAAGCCTTGTGTTCAGCCTCAGAAAATGCTTGGGGTGGGATGAGGGGGAGAAAGGACATTCCTTTCATATGCTCATGGACGTTTCAGAAGCCATTGTGCACATGTTCCACTGCCAGTAGGATTTACATGGCAGCGCAGGTGCCTGGTTTGATTTGCTCCTTTAAAAGCAGATGATAGTGAACCTTGACCGACTTGGAATAAATCGGGGTTAGAGAGTCACAGTGTTTTGTGAATTAAGGAGAAGGGAGTTTACATTGAATGGAAATTGGAAGTTCTTCATCCCAGCTGGCCAGCCCTCCCTCCCTCTCACCAATAGTTGATTCCCTCTAGTCAAGTCCGAGAACTCTCTACTGGTGTGTTTAATGAGGGCCTGATGTCTCCTCCCTCTCCCATTGCCTCCCAAATGAATCTTCCCTGGGTTCTATAACTGCTAAATAGGGCCGATACACCTCCCTAATCTCCAAGGTAATTATGGAAAGGAGAGAAATTGGCCAAACTCGGCCAGGTATGGCATATGGCTCTGTAAAGCAAGCAAAGCCCTGAAGAAATAGTGCAATACTGTAGCTAGCAAATCCTCAGAGGTTCCCTCACAGTCAACACTAGGAAGTGAAGCCCCATTATGTCCTTTGTGGTTACTAGAGAAATCTTGAATTGGAACACTAACACCATGTGGAAACTGAATCTAGCCACGAGTGTGGTGGCTTACTTGTTTAATGGAATACATTGGCATAAGCACAAGGAATCTGAACTTCCATGAGCTACACTAGTTGCCTGTGGGGTTTTGAGTAGAGTGTAAAATATTGATTTTCATGTATAAAACTGTAAATAACTCAGGAATGTGGTTCACAACCTTTTCTATACTGGGCCTTTCCCCACTCCCCAGAGCCTCCCCCTCACCTAGCTGGGATTCCTCTCACGTTTAGCAAGATGGAAGGTGCAGGGGAGTCATGACCTCCTGACATCTGGCTGTGACCCCCAGCTTGGCTTTGGACTTATCGACCACAGACACCACTTCTCTTCCCTTGCCTTACTCCACAGATGAGAACAGCAGAGCCACTTGAACCAAAGTCTCATTGGTGTAGATGAGAGGTGGATGCTGGTTCTCTGTGAGAAACCCATAGCTTTGGAGTTCACTCCTCCCTACATGCTCTTGGTATAGCCTGAATTGGATGGCCTGCAGGGCACGTGAAAGAGCTCATTTTTTCTAAGCTTTTGAAAAAGGGGGGGGGGGGATTGTGAGGGAGGAGAACTGATGAGGAGAGAGGCAGGTTTCATTTTTATTTTGCCTGGTTTGCTGATTGGGGGATTTTATGATTTAGAAGTGATGTTGAATTATGGTGGAGTTGATATTTGTATTTATATTTTATGGAAAGGACATCTATATTTATTTATTTATTTAAAAGTATAAACTAGGGGGTAATTAGCTCTGAAGCTTAGTGTAGCACCATCAGAGAGGAAGGTTTACTTCTACTGTTACCCTCTGAGAACTAGGAGTGGACAGGCTATTTCCTCATCTGCAAACATGATACTGCCGAGGTTTTTTTTGAGGGAGTGGCCAGCTGGTGTCCCAGGAAGATGGGGTCACCAGGTTCAGTAGGCAGCTGGAGTCATACAGAATTGTAAGTAAGATGTTCCAGAATATGATGGAAGGTTCCAGAGAATAAGAAAATTATAGGTTTGAATTCATCGATCTGAAGGGGTTGGTTTGTGGCCACCTGCTGCACACAAATATGCAGAATATAGATTATCACCACAGAGCAAAAATTGCAGTTTTCTCACTGCTTTATATGCAGAGTCAGGAGACATAGTTTGTATTCCTCACTTCAGCTCTAGCTCTCTGAGACTCTGGATAATGATATATTCATTAATGTTATATTACTACTGTTGATAGTAATATTACAAATCTTAAAGATGATATGATTCAAAGGATTTAAGTTATCATATGGGTAGGCTGAAAGCCTTTTGTCTCAAACCTATACCTCAGGAGTGACTAGATGAAGTCTGAAAGGGCTACCCCACAGATAAGATGTTAAATCAGTCTACTATGCTAAGTTCTATTATAGCCATTGTACTGACACCTTCCAAAAAACATAATTAATGTCCTTCAGAAAAAGACCATACACTCTAAGAAAAGGATATTTTTGGAAACTATACATTTGTTTTTAATTTTTTCAATGCAAATTTCATCAGTTAAAATATTTAGTAAAAACATAAGTAGGTACTATACCAAACTCCAGAATGTACTGATGGGCTTCATCCACGTATCTTATCAGCTGCTGAAGGAAACTGTAAGCGAATCGTTTCTCAATGGAAGGTGTGTCTAACTCCAGGTCCTTTAATCCTCTGAAATAAGAAATAAATAATTTCTCACACACTGAAGGATGACTCAATGCAGTCTTAATTCACTAAATAGCCCAAAGCTACCTACTCTGGTACTTCTCAACTGTCTGTTAGGATAAGAAACATTTCTTATTTGGAGCCAAATTTTCTTCTGTCACACAAATTTGTCTTCTTTATACCTTTACTTATACTTTAGCCAGTTACACAAAAATACAGATTCCTCAAATAAGGCTTATGGAAAAACGGTTTTGCTGAAGATATTGCTCCCACATTTTAAGCTTCTTTCTCAGTTATGTGTTACTGTCTTACATTGTTTCCTAAGCTTTGACCCCTCCAAGATGAGTAATTTTGAAGCTACCAAAATATTCATATTCACAGAAAAAAAATTCAGTAATAACAGTGCATCGAAACTCAAGTTTTATTTAATCTTTCTCATTGAATTTTTGCCAAAATGGCACTAAATTTTTGTCAGCAGTTCACTCTTTTAAGTTAAACTCATAGGCTAAAATGTCCATAACTGGATGTCTGAGGTTAGACACCCACACACACATTTATATCTTGGATGGTTTAGACACAACAAATCCTGCATGTACGCAGAGAGTTAGACTAGATGACTCTTGTGGTATCTTCTAACCCTATGATTCAGATAGCTAAATAACACCCTTAATTTTCAGAGGGAGTTAAGTGAATAGGACATCTGAGGATCAGGGCCTCTTACTGAATTGTGATTCCCAATCTGGGGCACCCAATTTTGAATTGTTTTACCTTTGACAATCCTATACAGTATACGACTACTTCCCAATGATTGTTAACTACAATATAGCAGTAAATTTTATCTAAAGTACCATATATTCAACTACAATGTAGTTTGAATTTTAAATGCCTCTCCCCATCTCAATGGAGAGAAGTTTGGTTGGATCAGCAGGAAATGGCTAACTCCTAGAAAGGAAAAGAGAGAGCTCATGCCGACATACTGGAGCTAAGCTTCTTCATGCCTCAAAATGCATGTAGGAATGTGCCTCAAGGAGGGTGAGAGATTTTTCTGCCTCTCATCCAGGGGAGATGAGGGGAGGTGACTGGCTCTCTCAGCCAACCCCACCTCTATGTAAAGCCTTCTTGGGCCTCCAGAGACTGCTATTTCTGCAGAACAAACAGCAGCTGAGCAAAATGGAGCAATGTCTGGAATGACAAACTGCAGGAGAGCTCACAGATGTAGCAGCTAGGGACAATTCTGACTTCCACATGCCCCCGGGAGAAGAAGAGGCAGGACACCCCACTCCACGAGTTAGGGACTGGGCAGCAGCAGTGGCAGCTGGAGCAGAGGCCAGCCCTGAGGCAAGAGGTAGAAGATCAGCAGCAGCAGCTGGGGATGAGTGGAGACAACCTGGCAGAAGCAGGAGGTCAATTCACAGGCTACCTCTAAGCCACAGAGGGATCTAGCCAGGCTTTCCTAGAGGGAAATAGAGTCCTGGCCAGCTGAGGTGGGCAGAAACGATTCCTTGGTACTGGGGCAGGGAGGAAATTGTAGGCTTGAGGCCTGTTTCCCCTCACCCTCTGGATAAGACAGTCTCTCAGCATCCCCAGGGCAGTGGAAGGGGCTGGGAGTCCTCCCCTAAGTGTGGGATATAGAGTAGAAAGCAGGAGATGGAGCAGGGGAACCCAATGGAGCTGAGAGTACTCAGATACAGGGGAGCTTTCTGAGGAGCACTGAATAACTGACGTAGAATACCTCCCAGAATTCCCCAGTATACAGGGATTAGAATTCGGCCTGGGCTCTGTAAGCTAGGTTGGGAAAAGTTTCTGTTTCCCCACCCTGCCCTTACCATGTACTCATGTAAGGGCCAAGCAGATTTGTTCCCTCATTATCTTAAAAAAAACCCTTAAGCTTAACACTCCTTTAGATCCTTTTATATTAAACAAGATATTAAGGAGGGTTAATTATCTGCTGTGAAGCAAATTCTGTATTGGATGTGAATTTACCTGGAGACAACATATCCATTGATCTGTAGAAACTTGAAAATATCCTGTGCTTTCTCTCGGTCTTTGGCTTTTTCTTTGGCTGTCAGCGTGTCATAGGGAACCAGCAGAGGATGGTTGCCTCCTCCTACTACAAAATGTCAAGAAAATGACAAAGTAGTTAGAAAACATGTGGTTAGATGGCACGTCCTTGTTTGTAACAAGCCTGTGACAACATGCAGTGCTTTGTAGGTCACTCTAACAACTAGTAAAATACATGATAGGTTCCTCTTTACTCTAAAGTACCAATAATTTACTTTTTTGTTTCACTAAGCACATTGTTTTCCCACACGGAGTATCTGAATATACATCTGAAGTATATTTATAGACCTGACTACATACATATTTGTAACTTAGTCAAATGTTCCCAAGACCTGCAAACCTCATGGTAGAAAGAAGCATCAACATCCTTGATAAAAAAAAATTCTAGTAGGGAAAAAGCACTTAAAAAGTTACAATTATGACTTCTCATTATGCCAGTGATTACGCTTCACAGCACATCACCACTCCCTCACTGCTAAAACTTGTGTCTGGTTAGATTTTACATTTTTGCTTTTTTCTCCTCTTTCCAAAGAAAATGTCCAACATGATCAGCTGTAGTTATCTTTAAGAGCTCACTATAGTATAATTAGTATATAAATAGTATAATTCAAAAACACTGCTGCTAAATACTGTGTGTCATTGGCTAGTCATACTGAAGTCACTGGCAGAAACTTCCAGGGGGACCAAAATTTGCCCCTTTGAGAAGCAGAGTTCTTTGCTTTTTATAAATACAGTGGTAATAACAAAGGGCTCACATTTTTAGCAAAATAAAAGTGTATCGAGATAAATATCAAATTGTGATGTGGATCTATTTTATAGTAATACAAAAGTCAATACTACATGGAAAAATGTGCAAAGCATGATATTCAGGGATAATTCAGACAACTGCTCACTCTGACCAGCTTTTTGTGGTGGAGAGAGAAAAAAAGATAATTAAGGAAATAAAATTTAAAATTTTCCAGAAAAATATGGCTTTATAATTTCTCACTGGTTGCACATACAGTCAGTTTTTCATGAGTATAAATCCATAAGATAATTATTACAACTACCAGTGTGCATATTTACATAAAAACATTATCTTTGAGTTTTTCTTTGGACTTAAGAATTCATTGGCTCTCAGTCCTTATTTCTCACCCAAAGTCACTATTCTTTAACAGCCCACAATTAATTACTGCGGAAATTACTATGACGTCACAAAAAATGATAACTTCAGGTAAGTATTTTGCTACCACAGCAAGTCTCTAATGAAAATATAACAGCAAGGAAGCAAATCCAATTCAGAAAACACTACACATAAGAAGAGATGTTTTCAAAAAGGAGATTCTTTAGAATTTTTCAGGAGGTCTGAGTAAGGTCTTTAAAATGCATGAAAAATGAAATCCTGGCAGACAAATCTATGTTTTCTCCATTAAAACAAATGGGTGCAGATACTAAATTAATGTCAGGAATTTCTGGTTTTCGTGTCATGTTTCACACATGCTGCTGAGTTCTCACTGCTATTCCTTTAGACAGACATGAAAAACACATACAAAATAAATAGACATCCAAATCCAATGTAAATCATAAGAAAGCAAAACAACCGAGTTTTTCATTAGTAAGAAAAGCTTGTGCATTTGAGGGAGATGTGCATACGTGAAAAATGTTTAATAAAATATAAAACTGTATTTTCTGACGAAAAAGTGTCAACATACATTATACAGCTGACTGCATGAATATCAATTATAGATATTGGGTGAAATCCTGGCAGCACTGCAGTCAATGGCAAAACTCCCAATGACTTCAACAGAGCAGGGTTCAACCTTTATATCTAAGGCCCCAATCTTGTAAACCCTTAGCCACGTGAGTGGTTCTTATTCATATGAGTATCTCCAGAGAAGCAAATGGGACACCTCATGTGAGTAATGGTTACTCATATTTATAGGAGTTTCATTTACATGTTGCTATTTTTACTTTCTTACCATTTACAGAGTCAAATTTCTAAAATGGAAGTTTTGTAATTTATTATTAGTTTCTTAATTGTTTGTAGATTTCATACAAACTTTTTACTTAAGTTTCACATTTAAAATGCTTATTTATACTAAAAAAACCAAGCTTCATTACCACCCTTATTGCAAAAACAACTCAAACACGAAATTAATAAGAAAATATACCATACCAAATTTACATCCAGCACTATCTTTCTATATATTGAACTGCCACAAGTCAGGAAAAATGAAATTCTTTGACCAAGTTCCATCAAGGTTTCCAGTTTGAAGTCAATGGCACTTGTGCTTCTAAGTCACTTAGGTGTTTTTGAAAAGCTCACCCTTAGGTACCTAAATATAAGCTTAGAAGCCTAATTTTAGACTCCTGGGGGCAGATCCTCACCAAGTATAAACCATACTGTACCATGTACTGAAGCACAGGATCTTTCCTTTATTTTTGAAAATTTTGAACTGTGTATAAAAAGTTCACAAAAACTTAACATGCTGAAAGTATTGATGACTTTTCACAAGTTATCAATTTTGTTTAGAAGTGGCCAAGATTTTGTGTCACTAAGACAAAAACTTTTGATGAAAATACAGTTTTGGCCCCTGTTGCTGCAACACTTATGAACATGCTTAAAGTTTGGCAACATATGCAGCTGCACTGTAGTGAGTGGGACTACTCATGTGAGTAAAGTTTTGTACTAGCCTAAGTGGTTGCAGTGTCAGCGCCTTCACTTTCAACATTTTTGTTTCCTATATCAGTTTTATAATATTCAAGGTAGGGAAATTTTCAAAAATTTCCAGCATTTATGATTTAGTTGACTATGAATTTATATCTACAATTGCAATAGCACACATTTGAATTAGGTTTATAAAGTCTCTATCTAATTTAAATTATTTTTCCAATCAATGATTTAAATTGCTCTACCTTGAATGAGATGCTACATATTCTGTATGCAATGCATGGAGAATCTCACTGGATAAAATGCTCTACAAAATTAACATTTTAAAGCCTCCCAGGAAAACCAGAAAACTATAGCTTTCTGGAATCATGCATTTTCCCTCTGTGAAATAGCAACCCACATAAATGTGCCCACACATCAAAAAGACTCATATTTCATAATTAAAGACAGTGAAAAGATCCACATGTACAAGGCGAGAACTCTATAAAGAATATTATTGTACTGAATGTACCTGACCATTAGGTGACAGCAGAGGATCATAATTTGAAAGATCTTTCTGCAAAAAGATCTTAAAAAAAACATACAAGATAATATAACCCTATGTATATACATGACCTGTATCAGACAGCTAAATTATTAGTCTGCCATTTTCATCTGTGGGAAAACAGAGATATTCACTATATCACAAAATGGCAAATATATTGGAAAATTGTAACCATTTTTCACCTGCCAAACCAATCCACACTTCTTACCAAGTAGCACATACCCTCTCTATCATTCATCATAACTCCCTGCAAGGTTTTCAAGAAAAACACACCCCTCTTTATGCTGCCTTCCTTGCCTGTAAATCCCCTTAGTTAATGACAGGTTTCAGAGGAACAGCCGTGTTAGTCTGTATTCGCAAAAAGAAAAGGAGTACTTGTGGCACCTTAGAGACTAACCAATTTATTTGAGCATGAGCTTTCGTGAGCCACGGTACACATCTGATGAAGTGATCTGTGGCTCACGAAAGCTCATGCTCAAATAAATTGGTTAGTCTCTAAGGTGCCACAAGTACTCCTTTTCTTAGTTAATGAGTGCACAGCAGCAACACCTCTGCCTTTTCAGGTGTCAAATACACCTCCCCATTCCAAATGTCTAATCATCCTGCAACATTCTTCAAAAGTCCAAATCCCCTCCCCCCAAACTGGCTATTTAGGTTAGATAAATTTTATTTTAAAAAAATCACAAAGAAACTGAAATGAGGGGAAACATAATGAAGATATGGAAATTCATTCTCTTATTTATCCAACACAAGGTCACCCAGATAAGGCCTTACTGCTCAGTAATACTAAGGCTTCATTTACACATTCACTGACAACGGTTTCAAAATTCTGCCTTCAGTCATACCCATGCAACTCCATTTGAGTCCGTAGGATTGCATATGATTAACACAGTGCAGTCAGCCAATATCTATAGAGCTCTAGTTTAAATACGTGAATAGTGGTGTCAAGCCATCATTAAAACACTAGCTACCACTGTACCGTAAATAGAAACTGAGATAAAAAGGAAAAAAACAATTTCCATATTAGCTCTTTGCCTTGACATCTTTTGATGAGAAAAAAAACCTAAATTCCAGTCAGTGAAATGTACAATGCCATCACTATTTTTTCCATGTAGCAATTAAACAATTATAACATCTACAGAATAAAATGTTAGCATTAAGGCGCAAAAAATAAAATAAATAAAAACCTTAACTTTCTTTAACACGGAAGAAAACATAACAGGTAACAACTATCGTGTATAGTAATATTTATCATCTGGACCAGAAGAGATTAGACAGAGTACACTATTTTCCTTGTAAAGCCAAGGAACTAATCTAGGTTTAATCACGTTTGTCAATTTAATCTGTAATGAATATAATTCTTGATTAATACATTGCTGGATAACTTGGCAATATGTAGAATAGTATGAATGAAGTCTAATTCCTGTGACCAAGAGTCTGGTATCATAAGGGAAATAAAATAAATAAAAGAAACCAAATGCAACACAACCATCAAGATGTTTACAAGTCTTAGTTAAACAAGCTCTTGCCCTCTCTTTTTCCTTATTGAATTAGTCTAATTCTCTGGGTATGGATGTCTCATTCTGTATTTCCATGAAGTGTCTAACACGTTTCTGGATGTTCAAAAATAATAATGATCATGATAATAAAGTAATTTGAAAATTTTGAACAATTGTTCTGTCTCGATGTCTGATTTTTCAGGTCAAGTTTAAATAAATGGTTTAATTTCTTTTTTAATTTGACCTTTTTTAATACTGAATCATAAACACATAACCTAAGTTGAGTCACTTTGAACTTAAAACACCTTAAAAAAAACCCCCAAAAACAAACAAGCAAAAAACCAGAGATGATTACCTTTTGCTTCCAGTTCCATTTTCTTTTTCTTTGCCCATATGTTATGGTAGTTTTCAGCCATCATCTCAGCCATTGCCTTAAGAAATTGGAGAAGTTAATGATTAATGTTATAAATCTCAAAGAAAGGTAATTTTACAGTTTATATTTAATATCAAGATCTTGCAATGGCATTGTAATGTAGGTAATATATAAAATTACATTTAAATGTTCACTCGCAAACTATCATTTTTATTGATAAGTCAAGCTGACAAATCTGGAACTCAACAGCTAAACCCAATACAGTTATTTATTCTACACTGAACTTCTCCCTCAACCTTGCACAAAAGCCAAAGAAACCAGTTTTGTATGAAATACTACATCAGGCGGGGGAATGGAATCCATCCCCAAGCTGCAAGTAGGCACAGAGAAGCTCTCTCCCTATGTTCCTGCTGCTCCAGTACTTAGTCTGTAGTGTGTCAGCAATGACTGTGCACCCCTTACATGGGTGTTTGTATTCACTGGATCCAGGTAATTGTGGATCTGCTGCCACAATCACAATTTCACTTCTCATTCCTTTAGGGGACTGGAGAGCTCCCATATGGGCTGTACCCTTAGATGCTCCTGTATCCCTGGGGTGAGGCAAATTTGTCCTTCTTGTTTTAATGTTCATCTCATCACAGTTTTAGTATGTCTTGATTAATGTTGTAATACATGTTTAGGTTCCACATTTCTCACCAGTAGAGGGAGCTATAATGAGGCTGTCTGGGCAGGCTCGGCAAGTGACCTACAAGCCACGTGTATAACTTGAGAGAGATGGGGTGGGGTTAAGTGCTTCTGTGTGTTGAGAGGTGACAGACTTTGAACAGAGAGGAAGTTTTGTCTGCAGGCATCTAGTACGCCTTGCCCAGCTTACTTACTTTAATGGTTGTATTGTAGCTTAGGAGCATTCATTTGGATTCTATTGTGGTTTTCAGTAAATAGTTAAAACCTACCCAGGTCTCTCAAACTTAACTGAATTGCTCTAGGGGAAAGAGCAGTTTGTAACATTCCTTTTGGGCTATGATATGTAGACCTGGTGCACAGTTCCTATTGCCTTCAATGCAATGTTTCGTTGCCCAGAATATATGAAAACCAGTCCACTCATTTAGGGGACTATCTATGGATTTAGATGCAAATTTTGGCCATAACTTGTCTGCATACTAAGACAATCTCTAGGAAAAGATGGGTATAGTAGAGCACCTTCATAGGACAAAACACATTATTTATATATATTTAATTTAACAATTCCAAAAATCCAAACACCCACTTTTTACTACTGTCAAAGCAGTTGCCTTTCCAAAAGCTACCAACTTAAGTCAAAGTTGGAGTATGTAGGCTAAGCTCTTACTTAAGATACATTAAAACCTCAAGTTACACCAAAATGAATCACACCTCATATTTCCCCTTATCTCTCACAAATGCATTGCTCATGCGCTTGAAAATTACAAGAGAAATTGTAACCTGACATAATGATGCAAATGAAATTTTAGTTAAATTTGTTTAGTTCTGGTGATGTTATTGATTGCGGAACAAAAGTAGGCTTCTAACCGAAAGCTAGCTTCAAACATAACTGGTGAAACCAGTTACTCTCGATCATAAGGACGGTCAGTATTGACTTCTAACTCACTGGAGGGCTGTAAACAAAGGGAAATTATCAGTGACAAACGGCAGATAGTGTGATGTAAAATCATGAGTATGGGATTGGTATTCACAAAGTCCTGAATTCTAAATTCAGGTCTAGTTCTAATGCCAGTTATTTGCAGTTTGGCCATGGGTAAATCACTTAGCTCCTCTGCTTTAAGTTTCCCAATCTGTAATACTGTGATAAATGCTTATCCACATCCCAGCAGTATTGTGAGGGTTAACTAATGCTTGTATGGCTTTTTGAATATGTGAAGTCCTGTATAAGTGATAAGCATAGTTATAATAATGGAGTAAGTCCCCAGTGGAATGCTGCAGGAACTAGTGTGACTCAATTTTATTCACCATCTTTAGTAAGTATTTGGAAGTTTAATGGCTTACTAGTTAAAATATAGCAAGGATACTTAATTGGGAGAAATTGCAAACGCCAGGGAAAGATACACAGAAATCTACAGTGGTTAGAAACAGAGACTGGAAACAACAAAATAATATTTAACCTGAGAAAATTCAGCCTGAGACTTTGGGGAAAAATAAGCTAAAACACAAATATTCGAAGTGACAAAGATATTGAACTTGGAAAGCAGAAATGCCAAGAGACAGCTAGGATTGGTAGTAGACCTGAAACTAGATCTATTAGAACTCTGCAGTACAATAGTTTATCCACTAAGTGATATTTTAGGATTGCATATGCAAAAAAACCAAAAAACAAAAAACCAGAGAGACCAGGTAATAGTGCCACTCCATACAACTCTGTATAATGCATTCAGTTCTGGCATCTCAATGCCAGAAATACACAGGAAACTCAGAGAATAGTAATAAACATCATGAATAAGCCAAAGGGATATAACTAAACTACAAACGAAAACCTAATTATGTGTAGACTGACCACATAACAGCCAAAGGAGAAATGATAATCATCTACAAGCGCTGTGCATCTGACCTGTGTTCAGTAAACTCCAGAGCAGGAGAGAAAATGCTTAGAGGAGTCACAGGGGATATTAATTAGAAGTAATGGCATGTAATTAAAGGGGAAAATCAGAAAAAATGAAATAGCAACAAATCATATATTTTAATACCAATAAATACTCCACTGTCAATACTTGTTATGAAACTTACATAAATTTCTGCATCCCCCGTTGTATCAAAGATACATAGGAGGTTTAAGTTAGGCACAGAGAAAGAGGGATGCTGAGATTGTGGATGTGCTAAGTACCACCACTTCTCTTTTCCATTTCTACAGTGTTTCAAAACTTTCATTTTGTTATTAGAATTGCTGGGCAAAGAGCCTTGAATTTCATTTCACAATGGAAAAAACTAGAGCACCTTGTTCTTGGTACCTGACTTCAAGTAATCAACCTGGTGACTAATCTGGATATGACACTTGCAGGAAGTTATTTCTAAGGGAACTGTGTGTGGTGGTCATCCTGATTTATCAGATGATAAACAATATTGACTTGGTAGTTCTTAATAGTAGTGGAAGCATTGGTATAGGTCTGTAAATCAACCACAGCTGATAATATTTCTGGAAAAAATAAATACTTTTAAAACACCATTGTCCATTTATTTATCACTTCAAAAGTTATTTTATTTTTACTGGCTCCTGATTATAAATCTGCTGAAAGATTAAAATTTAAAATCATGCCCCAGTTAATTTCTCTTTTTCCTTCTTCATAAATACAAGATGGTTTTTCATAAGGCTGACTCATGACCTGGCATTTATTTATTTTAGAAAGAAGAGTAGGCGAGGCATTTATTTTGAAAAACATCATACCATGAACTTTGCTAATAGCTACACATAAAAATTAAAGACTGATCCTGCAAGCCTTTGTGTGCGGAACTCCCATTAAAATCATCAGATTCTCTGCACACAGGGGCTTCCAGGGTCAATTGTCCCCTATATAAAACGTTAGGTTTTCAGCCTTAACAGTGCCTTTTGAACTGACTAAAACTACAGGACGCTGAACTTTTGTTTTACATAAATCCACAAAAGAAAATTTAAGTAAAAAAAAAATACAAAAGCACTAACTACAATAAGACTTACATGCAGATCTCTGGAGAGGGTAACATTGCTCATGTCGATAGCTCGAGGGGTGTAACCATGGGCAGCATCTACAGACACCTGAATGACAGATGTGCAAAAAAGCAATGAAGTATTACAAATACTAGGTCCTAATAGATTCATGTCACCTAGATATTTGAGGCAATCTAACAGCTAAAGAAAAAACAAACTTGAGGTAGAAAGGAGCACTTACATATCCATTGGCGGAAAAACAGAGAGCATTACATTAGAGTTACATGAGTTTTCTTTTTTTGCCTAACAGCAATAATACTAAAAATGGAACAGATTAACTGGAACCACGGGTAGATTTAAGAACGCAGATTAGTCAGATAACTGGCAATGTCTGCATTGTAACTATTTCCAGAGAAAGGTCACAATCAGGCAAAAATCTCTTCCCTTTGTCATAGGATGTCCTGGAGGACATCTTCAGAATACAACGGCTGGCGCAGGAGGTGTGACTAGGATGTCCTATGTCTTGGCAATCCCTGGCAGCCATATAAGCTCCTCTGAGCCTCCACTAGTCAGTGTAAATTACAGCAGCCTTTAGGGTATGCTAATATACCCCAAGAACTAGCCTGGCACTCAGTGGCCAGTATTGAGGGGGGAGACAAAAGGACACATTTATATCACAACCCTTCACGGAAGCTGTGCCAAGCACTTACAAAGCTGACAAGGAGCCTAGCCTGCATGTAGAAATTGGTATTGGAGCTATATTGAATTGAAGCTATATTGTCTTTTCTACAACCTTTTGTATTGACAAAATACTGAATCCATAGTAACATTTCATAATGACAAAGCCTAATGCTTAAGCAGTGTGTTTAAACAGAACTGAGTTCTCTCTGATTACCCAAGCATGACTTTAGAAATGGACTTCAAAATCTGGATGAATTCAACAATGTGTCGAAAGGCCATGATATTTTCTCTCAGACTTGTATTCTAGGACAGCATTTTTGATTCTGAAAAGACCAATACTTCCATGTAAAATTAGGGCAATGTGAGTGTAAAATGCTACCACATCTCTTGTGGTGATGTAAATGACTATCCATAGGGTAGGGCAACACAGAGCAAGGCTCCTACTTTCTGCCACGTGCTTTTCTATTTAATCAGGCAAAATTAATACATCAAAGAAAGGCAGAAGTATGAAAATAGTTTGTATTTTACTAATATATCCAAGTCAATGTCATCTAGCAGTGTTGCAGGCCACATGTCTTTTTTTAAGTGAGAGTAAAACTGAGATCATCAATACTGGTCTTTCTTTTAAAATTATTTTTAATTTTAGTTTTGGCTGTCCCCGAGACTCTTCTGTGGCACATTTATGCCTCCTCCCACATTCCCTACATCATCAGAAAGAAGGAGCACCTGGGACATACTGACAGCTTAAAGACAAAAGATTGCTTCTTAAAATGGCAGCTTCAGCAGCCTAAGATGCCCCTGAAAATATTTTGGCAGCATGGGGAACTAGGGAAAATACCTCTTCTGTCACAAGAGGCAGACAGTTTCATGGGGGGAAATCAATTGTCCGGCTATGCAGACTCCCTCATCAGGCCCTACGCTACCAGCACTCCCAGCTTTCTTTGAGACACCACTGACTTCCTGAGGAAACTACAATCCATCGGTGATCATAGAATCATAGAATCATAGAATATCAGGGTTGGAAGGGACCCCAGAAGGTCATCTAGTCCAACCCCCTGCTCAAAGCAGGACCAATTCCCAGTTAAATCATCCCTTCCTGAAAACACCATCCTGGCCACTATGGATGTAGAAGCCCTCTACCCCAACATTCCACACAAAGATGGACTACAAGCCGTCAGAAACAGTATCCCCGATAATGTCACAGCAAACCTGGTGGCTGAACTTTGTGACTTTGTCCTCACCCATAACTATTTCACATTTGGGGACAATGTATACCTTCAAATCAGTGACACTGCTATGGGTACCCGCATGGCCCCACAGTATGCTAATATTTTTATGGCTGACTTAGAACAACGCTTCCTCAGCCCTCGTCCCCTAATGCCCCTACTCTACTTGCGCTACATTGATGACATCTTCATCATCTGGACCCATGGAAAAGAAGCCCTTGAGAAATTCCACCATGATTTCAACAATTTCCATCCCAACATCAACCTCAGCCTGGACCAGTCCACACAAGAGATCTACTTCCTGGACACTACGGTGCTAATAAGCGATGGTCACATAAACACCACCCTATACCAGAAACCTACTGACCTCTATTCCTACCTACATGCCTCCAGCTTTCACCCTGACCACACCACACGATCCATAACCTACAGCCAAGCTCTACGATACAACCACATTTGCTCCAACCCCTCAGACAGAGACAAACACCTACAAGATCTCTATCAAGCATTCTTACAACTACAATACCCACCTGCTGAAGTGAAGAAACAAATTGACAGAGCCAGAAGAGTACCCAGAAGTCACCTACTACAGGACAGGCCCAACAAAGATAATAACAGAACGCCACTAGCCATCACCTTCAGCCCCCAACTAAAACCTCTCCAACGCATCATCAAGGATCTACAACCTATCCTGAAGGACGACCCATCACTCTCACAAATCTTGGGAGACAGGCCAGTCCTTGCCTACAGATAGCCCCCCAACCTGAAGCAAATACTCACCAGCAACCACATACCACACAACAAAAACACTAACCCAGGAACCTATCCTTGCAACAAAGCCCATTGCCAACTGTGTCCACATACCTATTCAGGGGACACCATCATAGGGCCTAATCACATCAGCCACACTATCAGGGGCTCGTTCACCTGCACATCTACCAATGTGATATATGCCATCATGTGCCAGCAATGCCCCTCTGCCATGTACATTGGTCAAACTGGGCAGTCTCTACGTAAAAGAATAAATGGACACAAAGCAGATGTCAAGAATTATAACATTCATAAACCAGTCGGACAACACTTCAATCTCTCTGGTCACTCGATTTCAGACCTAAAGGTTGCAATATTACAACAAAAACACTTCAAAAACAGACTCCAACGAGAGACTGCTGAATTGGAATTAATTTGCAAACTGGATACAATTAACTTAGGCTTAAATAGAGACTGGGAGTGGATGTGTCATTACACAAAGTAAAACTATTTCCCCATGTTTATTTCCCCCACCCCCCACTGCTCCTTGGATGTTCCTGTTAACTGCTGGAAATGGCCCACCTTGATTATCACTACAAAAGGTTTTCTCCCCCCCCCGCTCTCCTGCTGGTAATAGCTCATCTTAAGTGATCACTCTCCCTACAGTGTGTATGATAACACCCATTTTTTCATGGTCTGTGTGTATATAAATCTCCTCACTGTATTTTCCACTGAATGCATCCGATGAAGTGAGCTGTAGCTCACAAAAGCTTATGCTCAAATAAATTGGTTAGTCTCTAAGGTGCCACTAGTACTCCTTTTTTTTTGCAAAGCTAAAGTGCTGTCACAACGTACATAGAATAAAAAATTAATGTATATTTCAGATTTGTTTACAGTTGCAGTCAATTTAGTTGTTACTTGTACCACTGAGAGATAACAATATTTCCAGAAAGAGGCATGATTTTTAAATTTACAAATTCTATTTAAAGTTTAACCCACTGGTACAACAAAACAAAGTTACAGCTTAAGTTTGCCACTTGTGTGGATAACTTGAAGGACAAAAGGAAGCTGGTTAACTGAGGCAGGTTCCCTCATTTGACCATGACCATTTATCTATTCTCTTTTCCTTCCCATAATCTACATACTGTTATTTGACAATGGCATTATTACCACTAGGCAGATTTCCCCATATTCCTCACTGATTTTTAAAAGATGTGCTTTATGAAGTGTGACAAAGTTCCTGCTCTACCTTGGTGGGTCTTGCGCTTATTGGCGGATTTGCTCGCCTTGGAGCTTCATGGCAGCCCTCAGCTTGGCCGTTTTTCTGAACCCACAGTCCAGGTCGACTCGTCCTCTGTCTGACCAGGAGTTGGGAGGATTTGGGGGGAACCCGGGCCCGCCCTCTACTCCGGGTTCCAGCCCAGGGCCCTGTGGAATGCAGCTGTCTAGAGTGCCTCCTGGAACAGCTGTGTGACAGCTACAACTCCCTGGGCTACTTCCCCATGGCCTCCTCCCAACACCTTCTTTATCCTCACCATGGGACCTTCCTCCTGGTGTCTGATAATGCTTGTACACCTCAGTCCTCCAACAGTCCGTGTTCTCACCCTCAGCTCCTAGTGCCTCTTGCTCCCAGCTCCTCACACGCACACCACAAACTGAAGTGAGCTCCTTTTTAAAACCCAGGTGCCCTGATTAGCCTGCCTTAATTGATTCTAGCAGCTTCTTGATTGGCTGCAGGTGTTCTAATCAGCCTGTCTTAATTGTCTCCAGAAGGTTCCTGATTGTTCTGGAACCTTCCCTGCTACCTTACTCAGGGAAAAGGGACCTACTTAGCCTGGGGCTAATATATCTGCCTTCTAGTACTCTCCTATAGCCATCTGGCCCGACCCTGTCACAGAAGTTAGATAACTTTGCCTCATGGCAGCACTGGCTCAGATTTTCAAACATGAGAGTTAAAAAAAAAGACAGCCATTTATGTGATTGGGTCTAAAATATCATCAGTCTTCATAATGACACATCTTCTGAAAATATTTATATGTATGTACTGGAGAGTCAATGGACCCCTTTGAAAAATGCCTCCTGTTTATCCTTAAGAATACCTTTCAGGGCAGTGTACTTAGAATTATGCACACAACTCCTATGAACAACAGAATGTAAACATATTCCTTCATTTCTCTCTGATACAAAATAATATTTTCCTAATTACAACAGTTCAAACAGCGCTGTACATAAAAATGGCCACACTGGGTCAGACCAATAATCAATCTAGCCCAGTATCTTCTGACAGTGGACAGTGCCAGATACTTCAGAGGGAATGAACAGAACAAGGCAATTATTGAGTGACCCATACAGTCGCAGCTTCTAGCAGTCAGAGGACACCCAGAGCATGAGGTTGCATCCCTGACCATCTTAGCTAATAACCACTGATGGAGCTATCCTCCATGAACTTACCTAATTGTTTTTTAGCACAGTTATTCTTTTGGCAACATGTTCCACAGGTTAACTCTGCATTGTGTGAAGAAGTACTTCCTTATGTTTGTTTTAAACCTGCTATTATTTTCATTAGGTGACCCTTAGTTCTTGTATTATGTGAAAGATGAATTAACATTTCCCTATTCACTTTCTCCACACCAGTCATTATTTTATAGACCTCAGTCATATCCCCCCCTCGTCATCTCTTTTTGAAGCTGAACAATCCCAGCCTTTTTAATCTGTCCTCATATGAAAGCTGCTTCATGCCACTCATCTTCTTTGTTGCCCTTCTCTGTACTTTTCCAATTCTAATATAGCTATTTTGAGATAAGAATTCAAAGTGTGGGCGTACCATGGATGTATATAGTGGCATTATGATATTTTCTGTCTGATTATCTATCCCTTTCCTAACATTCTTACCTTTTTTGATTGTTGCTGCATACTGAGAAGATGTTTTGAGAGAACTATCCACTGTGACTTCAAGATCTCTTTCTTGAGTGGTAACAGCACATGAAGACCCTATCATTTTGTATGTGTAGCTGTGACTATGTTTTCCAGTGTGCCTTACTTTGCATTACATTATCATCATAAATAGTATCATAATTGACTCTAAACAAAGTGAAAAATTTCAAAAATTGCATAAATTTTTCAATCTCAATTTAAAAAAAATGTTTAATACCAAATTATGTGGGAACTACTATTGGGAGATCTAACAAACTGGACATTTTCAGCTTGTTACTTCAGTCTCTTTGAGATGTATTTTTTGTTTACACAAAGTTTTTTTTTCCCTTTTTTTAAAACCACAAGCATTTTTTCACCCTGGCACAATTTGTAAGCGTGGTAACAGATTTTGCTTAGATTTTCATGTTTGGGCTATGGCCAAAAAGGGAACATTACAACTGAAAAGGAGAGTTTTCATGAAGTTTTGAGCATGTGAAACAAGACGTTAATAGACGTGAACTTTACGTTCAAGTGAGTGCTATAATAAAGACACATGGGGGAAGCTCAAGAACATCTCAAGCAGATTTTGACACTTACATTTTAAATACACCATTCCGGTAAAAAGACAGAGACACACACAATATCAGTACATAGTCTTTAATAAAATGGCTTGAAGCCTGTCACAGTACTCACCTGACTTGTCTGAGATATGCGACGTGTCCGATTATAAAGGGCCATACTATCTCCTTCCCTTGTCCTTTCAATCCGCCATCCCCAAGCTAGCATGGTTTTCAAAGATTCTTTGATTGGCCACCGATAAATTTCTTTTTCCTAGGGTAAGTACACATGGGAGTGACTGACTATCTTGATGATTGTATAACTGAATGGAATAAAATCTAATGCACTATTACTCGCCCTCTGCCCTGTTGTGTAGCACTGCAAATTTACATCCATTGAGACAAATTGCAAACAGCCTGCTGTGGGATAGAAACAGCAAAGAAGCAGTCTGTGCATGGATAAGAAGGCCAATTAAGAGAAACAGTAAGGACAACTATTTATTCCTGAACCACTTATGCAAACCAAATCATATGGACATGTGATATATGCACTTTTTCAGTATCACGGATGAGTAAGGCTACGTTTTAGTCACTGGTATTTTTAGTAAAAGTCATGGACAGGTCACGGGCAGTAAACAAAAATTCACGGCCCATGACCTGTCCATGACTTTTACTATATACCCCTGACTAAAACTTGCGGAGGGCTGCCTGGGGGCATCATGGGTGCTGGGTGAGGGTGGCCTGGGTGTTCGGGGTGGGGTGAGGGTGGGCGGCAGCTCACAGCTCGGGACCTCCGCTGGTGCTGGAGGGGGGGGGGTTGGTGGGGCCGACAACCTGGCTACGTGCTCTCCCCACCCGCACCCCCTGCACCAGCGGAGTTTGGGTGTGGGTGTGGGAGTGGGCAGGGGGTTGGGGACAGGGTGAGGTTTGCTATCACATTGTAAAAACAAAGCGGAGACAAGGCACTTTAGTTTTAACACAAGATAAACTCAGTGAGGTCAACCATGATTGGGGGCTATGGTGCTGACCTCACCTAGCTACCTCGCAATAAAAACTACAAGTGTTTTGTCTCCATTTAGGATTGTACAGTGAGGTAACAACCACATTAGTTATCTTGCTGTGTAAAACAAAACAAAAAAAACAAACAAAAAACATCTTTGTGTCAGTGAAGACAAAGACAAAATGCCAAATTTCACAAACAGCCAGTTGCCTCTTACCAAAGATAGAGAAACAAATGTTTAGAAACATCTGTGTAATGAAGAATGAACAAATTCCTCACCTTTTCTGATAATAATTTATATTGTTTCATTAATGGCTGCACCTTGGAAGACTCAGAATATGTTTCACCATATATCCATCCATTTGCAAACTGAAAAAAGTGAAGGAAGAAAGGAAAAAGCAGTGAGAATATGAAGAAAGAATAATCAGAAATCTTATATTTATTTACTTATAAAAAAGAATTGGGGTAATGCGTCTGTAAGACTATTTTCTTATTCAAGTCTAAATCTTTTGCTCCCTTCCCCACCACTCCCTCACAACCTAACCTCCTGCCCTCCCCCCCTGCGTGCACGCACACACACACAAACACACACAGTGGAATCAGTTAGGTCCAATGTCATTTTTATTTCTGAATGTCCAGACTTTTGTTATTTTATCACAACATTTATGTTATCTTAAAGTAAATACATTTGAATATACTTTCTTATTTACTATTCTGCCAGGGTGTCTCTATGAATAGGGACAACACTCTTTGAGGCAGACAGAAGATTTTAACACCAAGCCTGTGGTTTTTACAGAGATATAAAATGTCTTTTGAAAAAATAAAACTTAAAGTGTGAAGTAACAAAACTACTTAAAAATCTACCAATTACATTTTTCTCAAAACAAACACACACACACACACACACACACAAACAAAATGCTGGTATGTTCAAGTTCTGACCAGATGAGTGCAGCTACAGAACTCTTGAAAAAAGCAACTCAAGATAAAAATGATGATACAGTCTTAGCCAGACATCACTAATGTAATGCTACAACAACCCCAAAAACTTGAGTAAAAACTTAAGTAGAATCCTCAGAAAATATAGGTAGAGCGTTAATATTCTGAATGCACCTCAGAATATTAAGAAAATAATATAATGTTACCTTTTCCATTGACCATTTATCATGAGAATGTTCTGCATATTTGTTAATGAAATATTCTAGCTTTTCAGGAATTGTAATACTGAAAAAGAAAAAAAACAAATTTCAATACATTATATATGTTATAATTTGAAAGGGTTCTTTTAAAGAAAATTTCTGAAAAATTATAGAGCACTATATACTGCCAGTTAGAGTGTACTGTTGTGCTGCATTCCCCATACAGAAAAGGAGGACTTGTGGCACCTTAGAGACTAACAAAATTTATTTGAGCATAAGCTTTCGTGAGCTACAGCTCACTTCATCGGTTGCATCCAGTAGATATAGAAAAATATTAGGACCATTATACAAGGCACTGATGAGACCTCATCTGGAATACTGTGTGCAATTCTGATATCCCATGTTTAAGAAAAATAAATTCAAACTGAAACAGGTGCAGAGAAGGGCTACTAGGATGATCCAAGGAATGGAAAACCTATCTTAAGAGAGGAAACTCAAAGAGTTTGGCCTGTTTAGCCTAACCAACAGAAGACTGGGGGGAAATATGATTGCTTTGTATAAATACATCAGACGGATAAATGCCAGGGAAGGAGAGAAGTTATTTAAGGTAAGTGCCAATGTTGATACAAGAACAAAGGGCAATAAACTGGCCAGCAACAAGTTTAGGCTTGAAATTAGATGAAGGTTTCTAACCAACAAAGGAGTGACATTCTGGAACAGCCTTCGAAGGGGAGCAGTGGGGCAATAAACCTAACTGGCTTTGAGACTGAGCTTGATAAGTTTATGGAGGGGATGGTATGATGAGACTGCCTACAATGGTGTGTGGACCATCAGCGACTGCTAGTAGGAAATATCCTCAATGGCTGGAGATGGCACACTAGATGGGGAGGGCTCTGAGTTACTACAGGGAATTCTTTCCCAGGTGTCTGACTGGTAAGTCTTGTCAATGTGCGCAGGGTCCAACTAATTGCCATATTTGGAGTGAGAAGGAATTTTCCCCTAGGCCATGTTGGCAGAGACCCTGAGAGTTTTTCACCTTCCTCTGCAGCATGGGTCACTTACAGGTTTAAACTAGAGTAAATGGTGGATTCTCTGTAACCTGAAGTCTTTACATCATGATTTGAGGACTTCAGTAACTCAGCCACAGGTTATGTCTCTATTACAGGAGTGGGTGCGGGAGATTCTGTGGCTTGAGATGTGCAAGAGGTCAGATTAGATGATCACAATAGTCCCTTCTGGCATTAAAATGTATGCGTGTAATGACGTACAAAATGTGCTGAAGTTTTCTGATATGGATTTAGATTATTAACATCAACTTATTTGTGTTTTAACATATATTTCAGTTCCTATTTTCCAGAAATACAGTGCATATTATATACATAATATAAATTCACTGTCAACCACTTCTTGTTAAAGCAATTATAAACCTGCAAATTTCATTATATAGTTGAAATACTGCAGTTTATAGCCACTCAAAAAGGTACAAATTTCAGATCCCATTGAACGCCTAAAAGCCATTCAATATGAAAAATAAAAAAATCAATATGCAAATAAACTAGCGATCTTTCAGGTGCGCAAGAGGGTACTGAAGTTGAGATTGATTTACCACTACAGAAAGAGCAATAATACTTTTCTTTCAAACAAAAACAAATACTACAGTACAGTGGTCACCAACCGGTCGATCCCGATCTCGGGGCTGCCACTAAGACAGGCTCCCTGCCTGCCCTGCCCCCACACTGCTCCCGGAAGCAGCCAGTGCAGCCCTGTGGGCGGAGGGCAGGGCTCTTGCAGAGGGGGGCAGCATGCGGAGCCATGTGCCGCCCGCCCCCCCCCCGGGACCACAGAGGCACGTTGGCCCCTTCCAGGAGCGGGGGGGCCAGGGTAGGCAGGGAGCCTGCTTTAGAGATAAGTGCTACCCCTAACCCCAGCCCTGAGCCCCCTCCCGGAGCCAGCAACCCATACCCCCTCCTGCACCCCAAACCCACTCCTGCACCTCAACCCCAGCCCTGACCCCCCTCCCAGAGTCAGCACCCCCACGCCCTCCTGCATCCAAACACTCTGCCCCAGCCCTGACCCCCCTCCCAGAACCAGCACCCTGTACCCCCTCCTGCACCCCAACACTCTGCTCCAGCCCAGAGCTCCCTCCTGCACCCCAACCTCCGGCCCCAGGCTCAACCCAGAGTCCCCTCCCACACTGCGAATCCCTTTGCTCCAGGCCAGAGCCAGCACGCCCTCCCAAACCCTACCTGAGCCCAGTGAAAGTGAGTGAGGGTGGGGGAGAGTGAGTGACGGGGGGGTGGGGAACAGAGTTAGTGGGGTGGGGCTTTAAGGAAGGGGCCGGACCTCAGGGAAGGGGCAGCGTAGATCCTGGGTTGCCCTTACATTCAAAAAGTGATCTTGGGTGTAAAAAGGTTGGAGACCACTGCTACAGAACATTTTCTAATGAACAATTTATCATATAAAGCAGTCTCCTACACCTGTGCTCTAGAAAAGGGAAATTGCTGACTGATAATTGTACCCTCTTCTCCCACTCTATGACAGCGGATTAAGGGATAGACAATGTTATAGTGCCGTCTACTGGGAAGCAAGGAGAGTCTGTCCTGTAATCCTTTGTCATAGGGTCAGAGAAAAGAGAGATGTACACCAGTAATTATTCCAAGCAGTTAACAATTAGTGTAGTACTGTGCAAAAATTTATCGAGGTATGAAGTAGGAAGAAGCCACAAAAGATTCATCATGTGTGCTCAGCAGGGAGCTTGGGGGGGGGGTTTAGGGGGCACAATACAGTACTCTGCATGAAGTCACAAATTGAACAAATTACAGCCTGCAGCCATATCACCTATAATCACTTCTAAACGGGGTCAGGCCTGGTTAGTACTTAGATGGGGGACTGGCAGGTAAACAGCTCATGACGGAGGTGATATTGGTAAGGCAGTACTTTCTCTTTGAACCAATACCTCACCAATGCCTTAGTATGGCGCGAAGGGGAAACTGTGATGCTTCAGATGATGTCTTTTGAAAGAGGTTAAAAACCAGTCTTGACAAATTATTGTCCTTGAAAGTCCCATAACAACACTTTTTCACAGCCAGGAGTGTGGCCACCAGAGAGTTGGGCAAACTCTAATTATTTGGTTATTTATATTCTGTCTACCTAAAATTCACTCCAGCAATATCAACTGGATAAAGTAATCTTCATTTCATGTCCTAAATGGTTGTGTAGGACTGTTATGTAGTTAGACACTTAGCACATTACACTTCAGAGGTGATTGTACTTTAGTGGTGGGCCACATGATTCCTCTATTCGGGCTAGATTGTGGCTTTTGCAGCCATCGTCACATTATGGGCGTGTGTGTGCATAAGCCCAGTGCACCAGCGGCAGCTCTTTGAGGTATTCTGCCTGTTGAGTGCTGAGATAGACAGAATGTCTATAAGGGCACTTGCGAAGCCATGCCTACAAGTAATCTTGTTGAAGAAGTAGCGTGGTGGTCTTATTTCTGTCAAGTTTTTATCATCATTGTGTGTGCAGAAGTATGGGGCTATGGTCACATCCAGGATATTAAATCCATTTGGGCTTTGTGCACTTTGGGTGTATAAAATCACTGGCTCTTGCACTCATAGGACACAAACAGTGGGATTCTGGCTGCCCATTGCAAAGATGTGGCAAGCTAAAGAGAGCGCTCCTTCTGGCCACTCCCCATCTTGGCACACCTGTGCAAAACAGCCAGAACATGGGCTGTAGCTTGGAATCCTTCTGGATAAAAAGGCATTACATCAATGTACAATCACCACCACATTTTGCAGAGTAATATTTAAGTGGCAGTCACAGGAATTTAGCACTTGGCTCCTGTTAACTATTAATTACTTTTACAACTCCCAAAAGTGTGCTAGGTGCTTCTGAGAACGAATGGGTTCAGGTAATTTAATTGCCATGCTGAAAATTTATCTCATTTGTGGTAAGGTGTCCAAGGAATATATAGTGAACCACTTGTGGCTTTCATGTTTTACAACCAAACAAGACCCCCATTCTATCTTAAGGATGGTAATTCAAGATGGGCATGCACTTATGTGTTTTCTTTACTACCATATTTCAATTACAGGCTTAAACTGTTCATGGTAAAAATGAGCTGCAACAGAAAAAGTTCATACTTTGAGGTATCAACAGGTTGTGGGTTAAAGTTCCCATCTGAATCCATTGAAGCCTGTTTTTCCATCATACTGACATAATTGGATTCCATGTAGTCTGGGGGTAAAGCTCCTGCAACTGCACTCAGGCAGGGCAAAGCCAGTTTGAACAGTTCCTGTTCATACTTCTGTGAAGAAACATGGGATAAAAAGACACAGTGGTGAATGGAGATTATTTCTGTTATTGCTGAAATTGACTCATCATTATAGCCATACATGAAGCCAAATTGTAATGGAACAACTTTTTTACTCAATGTGAAACAGACTCTCAGTTCTGAAAATAAAAAACTGACGTCTCAACTACACTGAAATACGACTGAATACTGAAGCTGGACTTAGGACCAAATCCTGCTTTCATTGAAGTCAAATGGAAAAACGATTATTCACTTTGGTGGGAGCCGGACTGGTCCCGCACAGGGTGCCAGAACAGAGTAAAGCAAAGGAATATCCAACACTTGTCCAAGAACCTGGATTTTCTATACCAAATGGCTTCCCATCATGGTGAAATCCGCATCAGGTTGGGGGAAAAAAACACTATATAATGTCCAAATGCATTATCTAAGTCTTGTTCAGCAAAGGTATAGATGATATTTCAAAGATAGTTGAGCTCATGTTTAAAATTTTTAAATGATCATGAAAAAACAGCTGTAATAAACATTTGCATGATTTAAATTTATTAAATTATCAATAGTTTTTCTTCCAAGGAGGAAACAAGTCCTGAAGAGATAATATGATGGTACTTATAACAAATTAAACTTAACTTCTAGATACATTTCATTAGCGCTACTATAGTGTATAATATAGGGCCTGATCCTACAAACTCATACTCGTATAAGTAGTCCTTATTACAGTGAGTGGGTGCATGGAACTAAAAGGTCCTACTGTGTAAGCAAGGATTAAGTATGCTTCCCTTCTTAGACTATAACAGCCAGAGGTTGTTAACCTTCAGGACACACTAAAAGGCCCATTTTTCCTCCTTACCTGTGATGAGATAGGTGACGGGGAGGACTGAATAGAGGTGGTGTAGGACTCTGGTGGGGATTTGGTGAAGAAGTGAATTAACATTTGTTATATTAATGCTGTTGCTGCATGAATTGATTTCACCTGTGGTAAGAGATGGGTCTGTGTATCGGTGTGTTTTTAAAGATTGTCAAGGTAAGATCATTGGAAGGGCTCTCTTTTACTGTACAGTAATAAGAAGTCATATAAACAAAAAGACAAATAAAATGTAAGGGTATACAGGATTGGACCCCTACAGGATTGCATGGATACTGTTTTATTTTTTAAAATGATTATATTTATCATGGAAGCAGCATATTCCTTGACAAATTGTTAAACTTAAGCATTTTGAGGATCTTATAAGTGTACACTATTATTAGCGATTTGATTAAATAGTATTAAAAACACATATAGCTTTAGCACATTCGATGTTTGCAGCATAATCTGTTGTGCATGTATTTTTCTTAATTGATGCAGAAGAATTTATAATGTAATTACATAATTTTGATGTAATTAATTCAGTTGAAATAAATACTTTGAATAGAAATGATCAGCGTACGTTGTGATCATGGAGAACTACATAAAAATTACCTTTTGAGACAGGGCATCAAAGATACCCCAGAACAACTTTCTGGATAAATGAAGTTCTTCTTCTGATGCAGCACCAAAGTTGCCCCACCCACTTGGCAGGCAATAATACTTCCAGCATCTTTCGTAATGATTTGTCAGCAACTAGAACACAAATATTTTGAAAGCATCCAAAATATATAACATAATTGATTGTGTTTATCTATCTTGACTTTCAAACACTATTCGATCCACACAATAATTACAGACTAGAACAGTCTCTCAATTCATTCAAGAAGTTCATGTTCTAATATACTGTTTGCCTTTACAATCCAATAAGGAAAATTATTAATAATAATTACAATTTAAAAACAGTGGCTAAGCATTTTACAGTTTTCCAATTCTTAATATTCTGTAATTCTTTTAGATTTCAGATTAATGTTACTGCTTAACCTTAGATGGCACTTGTTGTAACATCTGTGGTCTAGTGCTTAAGCATAGGAAAGAAGGTGAGGTCCTCACCCTATTGAAGTCAATGGCAAAGTTCCAACAGACTTCAATAAAGCCAAGATATCACCCAGAGTGTTTGCATCCTGCATTTTATTCTGGACTCTACAATGACTGCTGCAGGAAGAAAACACAAGACATCAGGAATGTGATTTAACTAGGCAGCAAAATTATTAAGCAATACATCTTGGAACTATCCAGCAATAACTCATCCAGTGCAGGTCATCCTTCCTTCTGTAATCCGTACAATTTGGTAGAAGGCTTCTGTAAACCCCCAACCCCTCTCTTCTGCCTGGTTCTAGCATCCCCTTGTATGAAGGATAAGTGGATAGGGAAGAAGGGGTTGTCTCCTTACTGTACCGGACATTAGGAGCCCCATCCCCATTCTCCACCTTCTTTAGGAGCTGCCTTCTCCTAATCTGCTTCAAATTCTAGTTTTTCAGGGAACCAGACTGTCTAGTGAACAAACATTTGCACTGGACACCTGCAAAATTGTGACAAAATGAATTTAAAAACCTAACCTCTTTCCACCAGCTCCCTCGCCTGCTGAGAGGAAACTGAAAAAAACCCTACATTGCCCACACCAATTTGGCACTAAGGGAAAAATTCCATCCCAACCCCAAAATACATCTAGTATGATGCTCACAGCAAGGCCCAAAAACCTGGTCCTCCTCTAATTCCAACTGGCAGAAATGGGCACAGAATGGTGCCCTGGAGAGGGGGAAGGGTTTATAAGCTCCCCCTTGGGTGCACAGTGGCTAATAAGTTTATGTTGCCCCCTTCTGACCCAAAACGTCCCCCTCTTCCTGTCCTCAAGTCCACAAAGAGACTGGGTTCCCATGAGAAGGGGAAGAAACAAGGGGGAAATCTTTAAAGGGGCCAAGGGATTTATTTTCCTCCCTGCTCATCCTTCCCACCTCTGAGGCTGAGGAACAGTGAGCATTTTGTGATCTTTGTCCAATCCGTTCACCTCTGAGGCACTGAGTTTACCCACCTGTGAAACAGGTATAAATATTACTTACACCTCGTGCATCTCAAAGGTGCATTCTTAAACTTAATTGAGATAAAGTGCTCTAAGAATTTAGATGAAAGATGCTATAAAAAGGATAAATAATTTTAATCCTTCATGATTCACTTAAAAACTGAAAATTAAAGGCGCTCAAAGAAATAAACTCCTTGAAACATGACAATTTTTGCTTTTAACTTTAACATTGATTGTAAAAGTTGAAAACAGACTGCTGGAGATTATTTTATTTCTGCACATAATTTACTTTCTATACAATATTTTTTCTCAGAAATCCTGGGGCAGTCTTAAATCTAAAGAAGTTATTTATGTTGAGAGCAGCATGCCATTTATCATCCTGAAGGCATATTGATAGCATTGTTCTATGACAGAAGTTCTTAACCTTTTCAATACCATGACCCTATCTTACACCAGCAAAGAGTTTCAGGATTCCCCTTTCCATCTGGCTATAAATGAAAAGGAAGGGTGGTCAGAGTCCCTTGGACCTGTTTGCCCCACCCTGAGGATCATAACCCCCAGGCTGAGAATGTACGCTCTATGAAACTTTTGTGAAAGGCAACAAAAGTGAATTCTTGATATTTTGAAATTGCTTTCACCAGGAGGCCAGCAGCTATAAAGTAAAATTTTTGTCAGCACTGCAAAAGTTGCTGAGTCAGACTCTTAAAAGCAATAACAGAACATCAGGGGGCTGCATTATAAAAGCATGATTCCATTGTGTCTGGAATACACCTTTTGGAAAGCTCTTGGTCCCTATTTTCATTCTATTTTAGTCTTCTGGGCTGGAATCTTGAGATTATCATAGCTTCAAAATAACGTCACTCATGATGTGTTAGGATATAGATATTCAGGCCTGTCTGTAAAGGCCTATACTCTAAGAATTTAGGAGTGTTCTTATCACTTAGTGAATTATAGAGGTATAAAAGAAAGAATCAAAATCACTGTCTGCCAGTGTAAGGTCCTTCTCTTACTGTGACAGTCTGAGGCCCTGTTCTTAGGCTAAGATCTTTGGCTAAGCAGCAGAGGCAGCCATAAGCTGGGAAGCGAACGGTCACATCCTCACATTCCAAACTAGTCACGTTGAAATAAGGTGCTATTGGGCTGTTAGGAATACAATCCTGTCCTGATAATGCCTATTGCCTCCAGAGAAAGGGAAGTGCCTAGAAGATGTAAAAGGAAACTTAGTTTGATAGCATCCTGTCTGGCAAGAACTCACTTATCAATAGCTGGGATGTGAAATCCTCATTTCTTTGTTGTTCTGTCACTGTAGTCCCCATTTCCCTATTGTTTGTCTGTATAATCTCTGTCTGGTTCTGTGATTGTTTCTGTCTGCTGTATAATTAATTTTGCTGGGTGTAAACTAATTAAGGTGGTGGGATATAATTGGTTAAATAATCATGTTACAATATGTTAGGATTGGTTAGTTAAATTTCAGGAAAATGATTGGTTAAGGTAGAGCTAAGCAGAACTCAAGTTTTACTATATACTCTGTAGTCAATCAGGAAGTAAAGGGGGGAAATGGGAACAGGGAATGGGAGTGGGGAAATTGGAATGATGTTTTGCTAAAGGGGGGACATGGGAACAGGGACACAGGTAGGGCTCTGTGGTCTCAGAGCTGGGAAGGGGGACACTAAGGAAGGAAACTAGAATCATGCTTGCTAGAAGTTGACCCTAATAAATATCGAATTGTTTGCACCTTTGGACTTTGGGTATTGTTGCTCTCTGTTCACGCGAGAAGGACCAGGGAAGTAAGCGGGTGAAGGAATAATCCCCTAACACGATGTATTGTCACTAAAGTGGAGGACTCTTTAGAATATCTAAAGAACAGTTGTTGGCATGGAAGTTAAACAACAGATATATCGTTATCTCTTTACTGGAGAGTTCCAGGGAATAAAAGAAAAAAAATATTAAGCTAGATTTTTTTGTTCATCTATTTCAACAATCTTGCAGAGAGAGAAAAAGTTCCATAGTTAGATGACTCAAGTAAACAAACAAAATATTCTGAATTACAGCCAGTATACAAGGCACTGGACCTTCATCTTCTCATAAGTCAGAACAAGTCACGAGACGCAAAACTTAAAATGTTCATAGTACATTATAATAGAGATACTAAATTCAAAGTTATAACTCCCTAAAATCTTCAGAAAGTCCTGTAGAGAACAGACGAAAGGAGGATTTTGACTCCAACCAAAAATGTAACTATATATCTGAAGTCCAGGTGTACTGCTCCCATGGATTTAAAAAGAGAACCCAATGTTGTAACTATTTTCATAACTAAACAAAGATCAAGATATGTAATGGGAATCACCTAATTCTTCATCACACCTGTTGAATCATAGCTGTGACAGATCTGACAATTTCCTGCCATATCCTTATTGAATTAAGTTTAAATACCTTTAGCGTCCATTGTATTAAATGAATGAATTAGTGGTATTGTGGGGCAAGACTGTATGTAACCTCTTGAGGAGGGAGATGTGACAGATGTGAGAACTGGGGGTTCAAAGGACCACATTAAACAATGTGCCAGACAAGAATGGACTTTTTGGAACAAAAAGCATTACGTGGTTTTCCTGGGGAATATTTAGGGGGAGGTGAATGCAAATCCCTCAACTCCAGTTATGCAAAAACCCAGTCTTTTGGGGCTATGCCCTGTGTGCTGCTGATCTATTACTGAAGACCAAGATCAAAGGCCTGAGCTGTAAAAAGAAATGACTGCTCTGCCCAACCCATGTGCAGGTTCTGAGACAGTCATGACCTTGTAACCACTGGGACAATCCAGCTATGGGTTTTGAAGGACTGACACCTACCAGAGCCCAAGCTTGGAGCTGGGGTGATCTCTGGTAAGCTTTTAGAACACATGTAGGTTTTTATATTGTTTTTAATACTTTTTCTCTGTAATGCTTTCACCTTAAGAATAAACCTGCTTGCTTATAACAAGCTGTGTGGTTCCTTGTAATTGAGGGCAATCACATTGTTCATAACCTCCGGAGAGAAAGCAAAACGCAGACACTGGCCTTCCATGCACTCTGGCTAGCTGAAGATACCACAGTGCAGGCAAGAAACTCTGCAGCCTGGAAAACCCCCAGTCAGGAGGGAGAGAGGCACAAGTCTCTACCCAAGAGAGGTGACAGATGAAATTAAGTATGACCTGCTTCTTATAAAAGGAGGGAGAAAAGGCAAAATAAAAGGAGAATAGCTGAATGCCTTGCCGAAAGCTGTGTTGGGAAATCATCAGAAGTGATTTTTCATAGTTCACTAAAAAGCAGTAGCATATACAGTGGTGAATGATTCAGCTCTTGGCACACTAAGGCTTTACTCTGAGGACTCTGTGTTGGGGATCTTGTCTAAGTAAGGATATAAATGTATGCCTTCATGGAACAGAGCCGCAACCAGTATCAACAGGAGACGATAAAACCTTTGGAGCCCGAAGACAACCTGAATGGTAGGAAAAAGATCTGGATTCCTCAGACGTCCCAGAGTAGCCCACTATCAGGCCTCATCCTCAAAGGAAACCTGCACAACACTTCCAGAAAATGAGCCCAGGAGCTCAAAATTCATAACTTTGCTAGACACTAAAATTCACGGTCTTAAACAAGACACTCGATTTATGGCTTGTTACAAAATTCTATAACCCACTAACCTCCCTTTTTGTCCTATGACTACAGGGGTGTTAACAGGCCACTTCACCTTGAATGGTCTCCCTTAGAGTATGTACTAGATACTTATGGTAAACTATCAGCTCAATCTTATATTTAGTGGTGACACTCTGAGTTCCTTTCCCAGACCTGAAGAAGAGCTCTGTGTAAGTTCAAAAGCTAGTCTCTCTCGCCAACTGAAGTTGGTTCAATAAAAGATATTACCTCACTCAGCTTCGTCTCTCTAATATCCTTGGACCAACACAGCTACAACACTGCATACAAAGAAAATGAATCAGTTTTCTGGTAGGAGAGAGACTAACACAAGAACCCAAGCTGGAGATCCTGGGGAGACACCCAGAAATTTACATGACCTTTGTTCTATTTATGCCTTGGAATCATCTCTCTCTTACCCTCTCTCCATCTTGTTTCTTTTTTACAAGGTGTCATAAATATAAAGGGAAGGGTAACCACCTTTCCGTATACAATGCTATAAAATCCCTCCTGGCCAGAAACAAAATCCTTTCACCTGTAAAGGGTTAAGAAGCTAAGGTAACCCCGCTGGCACCTGACCCAAAATGGCCAATGAGGAGACAAGATTCTTTCAAATCTGGAGCGGGGGGTACAAAAGGTTTGGTCTGTCTGTGTGATGCTTTTGCCAGGAACAGATCGGGAATGCAGCCTTACAACTCCTGTAAAGTTCGTAAGTAATCTAGCTCGAAAATGTGTTCGATTTTCTTTTGTTTAATGGCTTGTAAAATAAGCTGTGCTGGAGGGAACGTATATTTCTGTTTTTGAGTCTTTTTGTAATTTAAGGTTTTGCCTAGAGGGATTCTCTATGTTTTGAATCTGATTACCCTGTAAAGCATTTAACATCCTGATTTTACAGAGGTGATTCTTTTACATTTTCTTTAATTAAAATTCTTCTTTTAAGAATCTGATTGATTTTTCATTGTTCTTAAAATCCAAGGGTTTGGGTCTGTGTTCACCTGTACCAATTGGTGAGGATTATCATCAAGCCTTCCCCAGGAAAGGGGGTGTAGGGCTTGGGGGGATATTCTGGGGGAAGACGTCGCCAAGTGGGCTCTTTCCTTGTTCTTTGTTTAACGCTTGATGGTGGCAGCATACTGTTCAAGGACAAGGCAAAGTTTGTACCTTGGGGAAGTTTTTAACCTAAGCTGGTAAGAATAAACTTAGGAGGTCTTTCATGTGGGTCCCCACATCTGAACCCTAGAGTTCAGAGTGGAGAAGGAACCTTGACACAAGGGCTTGAAGAAAGGACAGAATTGGAAGAGGAGTCAGAGATGAGGCATGAACTCTATGCTTCCGTGTGGACTGATCAGAAGTGAGCGTTAGAGGCTGTCACAAAGAATACTTTTTCTCCTTGCTTCCTGCTAGAGAGATAACATGATATTGTCTCATCTACAGGATGGAGGCAAGGCAACATACAAGAAATAGTACATTGTATAGAAGAAAATTAAAATATACTTTACGGTAAACCACACATACCTTCAGAGGCATCTTTGTTTGCTCGTTTAATAGAGGAACATCAAACACTAATCTCCTTAGCAAGTGTTGCATCATGGAAGGCCTCAATTGGCTGCAGGTAGACAGACAGTTTCAACAAAGCATACAAGTAGCTTTTATGCAATAAATAGACAACCCATTAAAGTAACCACACACTCCAAGGATCTGTGCCAATTGTCCTACTCCTTATGGATTTAGGAATATCTGAAAGTGATGTAATTGACACAGCAGATTAAAAATGCGTGGGAAGGAAATGAAGAGCAAACAATAACAGATGCATACTAAACAAAACTTCCAGAATATGCTACTTCCAGTGTGAACCATATAAAAAAAACTGTGAAAACACAAGCTCTAAAATAGAGAAGAGAAGGACAGGCGCAAACCAGAAAATGTAATATTCTGATACTGTATTTGATTATCACCGTGCATACTGTAACACATAAAAAAAGCACATAAGAATAATCTTTTGTATTGTATTCTTGCATTGAAGAAGCCATATAAACTAAGTTTTGACACTGTGGATGTACTATATTAGGGCCCAAAGAGTATTGGGCATCAGCTGGAAAGAGAACAAACAACAGGGATTTATCTATATGCCACTCTATAATAGGCAGAGAATATACATATAAAAAGTCTCTCAATAACAGCAAACCATGAACATATATGATATTGACATTATCAAGATTAAAATATTATTATTAACTACATTGAACTAAGGTTTAGGAAAAATGACCTTTGAGAAAAGGTTAAAAAAACCGAGCATGTTTAGTCTTGAGAAAAAGACAACCGAGGGGGGACCAGATAACAGCCTTCAAATATGTTAAGGGCTATTAGGCAGTAGGATAAGTCGTAATTGGATTTATATGCATCAAGAGAGATTTAGGTTACATATTAGAAAAATCTTTCCAACTATAAGGTTAGTTAAGTACCAGAATAGGTTACCAAGGAGTGTTGTGGAATCCCCATCACTGAAGGTTTTTAAAAACAGATCAGACAAACATCTGTCAGGGATTGTCTAAGTATAATTGGTCCCGCCACAGCATGGGGGATGGACTAGATGATCTCTCATGGTCCCTTCCAACCCTATATGTCTATGATTCTATAATATATGGCATAAAGAATTCAGTACACTGCTTTTATTTGCCCTGAATTTCTTTCAGTGGGACTTAGGTTCCTGAATGCTTGCACATTTTGAAAATGAGACCTGGGCACTTTTGAAAATTTTGCACTTGGGCTGCTAGATTGAGAAGGGAGAACATAGGCAAACATTCCAAGATGGAAAGAAGGTGACGCTAACGCAACTGATAGGTTGGAGAGTGTGCTGATCATGAACTACTATGTAATTAAAGATCAGCTAGGATTTAAAATGTAACTGATAACTGAATAGCTTCAGCAAGCAATATAACCTTCTATAATAAATCACAACATGGAATTATCAGTTTGCAATGTTAAAAATGTTCTTAAAAATAATACTCTATTATGTTCATAATTCCCTATTTATATAGACTTTTGTCCCCAATACAGTGCATTCTTTTGGTTTTCTTACTGAGGTTAATTAAGAAGAGTCTGTTAACAGAACAATAACTGAAAAATCTACATGTAATTACCAACTGTGCAACATGAATATAGTCAAGTATATATTTATTTAATACATCTTTCCCAGACTTCAGCAAAATGGAAAAATACAGTCTCTAAAGGGTGACAGTGTATTCAATAAAATCCATAACCATGCTACTGATAAAAGGTGATATGTAGTTAGCTAATCTGCCTTCGTGCTCTCGTATACATCACATCTCAGTATAGCAACTCATCTTTCTATGGAGTCTGGTATATTCGCTTACCCACAAATAGAGAGTAAACATTCTTCAATGGAATCCCGCTGAGCTTTGGTAAGAGAGCAGCCCTTGGAGAGTCTGTACACAGTATGTAATAAGGAATCTATGAGGGAGGCATGGTGCTCTGTGCCAGCAAAAAGAGGAGCACATCTGGTCAACAAAGGCAAGACTGCAGTACAAAGGTATCGATTCAGAGCCAAGGCCATGTCTGTAGCACTCAGAGCAGCCTACGAAACAAATTAAACCCAAACAATGAGACTTGTTTGATAAATATTGTTACAAAGGAAAATAACTACATTTTTCAGCTTTTGCTTATATAGTAGATATAAAAGGAATTAATTTTCAAAGGCACAAAGGGAAAACTCTCCTCCCTACATGCCATGTATGATACAATTACACACTAATTTTTCAAATATACTATAATTATTTTGTGGAAAATGTCAAAGAAGAAGGTGAAAATTGGATAAGCAATGAGACTTAGTACACGGAGAGACAGACAATATACATCCTACAGCATGCACACTCCATTCTAATCTCCTATATTCAGTCACTTGTTACTTTCCAAACATGTCACTTGATATGTAGAGATTTTTCCAGATGAAAAAAAATGAAAAAAAAATATTTAAAAAAATTCAATTATATATACTATTTTTTCCCTGAAAAAAACATGCTATAGAGAGTTGGCAAAAATGGGGATCTACAAAATGTTAATCATTATTCAACTTATAAACTGTATGATATATAGATACACAGATATTATATATATAAGTGGGCTCAAGCTGCAGAAATTATTTTGAACTGTCTAAAGTTCATGAACCATTTGACAAGGGGTTTAGGGTCAGCCATTAGGAAGACTAGAGCTGTTTACAAAATTCAGATGCATTTTTAGATTTTGAACACACCACATATTGAGGTACAATAGAAGGCTTTGTTTCAAGTCCATTCTCTCTCTTTTAAACACACAAGGCAGTGTGTTTAAAGTATCACCTCTGGGTATTCACATCTCTGGCAATGTTGAGCTTTGAAACCTTCTGGAAAATAAAGGCAATTGAGGCACTGAACAATCAAAGTTGAGGTTATGCATTTTCCAATTGCCTTGATTCCTTCTGCAAAACTCAAGCATCCTATGAAGTCAAAATTCCTGGAAAGGTTCACTTCTTGGAATTGATGTTCTTGGTGTTCATAATAAACCTGGGCCCTACAGCTCCAAACCATCCAATAGTGACTCGTCTGGCATTTAAGTCAAAAGCAGCTTGCCTTGTTTCTTCACAAAAATGCACTTGTTTATACTTCATTCACGTTTGCAAGTTCTTTTCCCATTACTCTGAGGACTAGAAACTTTTTTTTTAATAAAAACTTAAACTCTACAAAATCTGATCATATCAAATATACATCCAGTGGACTATGTTTCTGATACCTCTGCTCTAGGGTGCGCTCTTCCTGTTGCCAGCACAATTGTATATGATCTGTTTTCTGTAACTATAGAATGATGATCTGTTTAAAAAACAAATTTAAAGTTCCTGAAATGAGACTACTAACATATAGTACCTTCTCGTTCAAAGTATCTGCTTCGGATGTAGAGAGTTATAACTTACTGATTAATGACAAATATTTTCCCTTTTAGCCTTGCAGAACAAACACAGCCAAGAATAATATGGATTTTATTCCTTATCCTTCAAAAAAGGGCAAAAATTCTGTGCCACTGGTATTAATGCTCACTTCTCTTCAGACTTTTTTGCCACCTTCCATCTGGAATCTTGAAGCCCAAGTCTCAGCCCTCAGACTCCCTTTTTTCCTTCTGGTCATATAGGAAAAATTACAAGGGACAGACGTCTGAAAATAGGAGACGGGTGATTCCAAAGCAGAAATAGGACAAGGTCAAGAGAGTTCGAGAGGTAAGAGGCAGACCCAGATCACAGAATTCTGGAAAAGAAATCCTTTATTCCTGTTCCCTAGGGAGAGGCCCTTAGTTATATCCACAGGCACCTGATCTGATTTTAGATCCAGGACTCCGGCTCTGAAAGTTTCTTTGCTGGGAAAGACACTGAGCCTCTGCGGGCTGGGGCCCTGGGCTTGAGGTGTGAAGGCTCTATAAAACAAGCATAATTTCTGGAGAATATGCATCTTTGCTGTTTTTTCAAATGTTCTCAAAGGTCAGCAGCACCATGGGATGCATCTAGCAAGTGGGAATGGACAGAGGCCACCTTGAAAGAGAAGAATGTCATTTTGTGAAGTGCTTGACAAGCTGAGGGAACTGACAAATCAAAGAATTTAAATCTTTACCGTGTCTAAGGAAGCAGCGGCACGGAGATCTGGCAGAAAGCCAACTTCAAGGAGATGTAGAAGGAAATCCTGGTCCTCAATTCCATAGACTCTGTCAAGGAACAAAACCATGGCTGCCTTGTGATCTGGGCAAAACCCCGCTGACATGTCAGGTTCCACCACAGTACCATCTAAAAGGAAGCAATAAGGCTTCAATAAAAAGGATTATTCTGCATAGGTAAGGGTATTGAGTATCTGTTAATATCTGAACATTTTCCACATGTTTATGTTACACAAAGGCAACCAGTTCATAGCTTGACTGAATAAAATGCGTATGGCAACCTAAATCCAGGTAAACCTTATAGTATAAGTATGTGGTCTCATACTCTGGGTGTCAAAGCAGTCACGCTACCTGACTCTCTTATGTAGCATAAGAAAAATACCCTGTAATATATAGTGTTCACTAAAAAGGTCCAATGAAAAGTGAGCGGCAAAATGATTCTGACTTGTATATCCCTGGAATGCAGCACTGGTGAGAATACCTGAAAGGCAGGTTCATTAACAAAGGGAATGAGAACAAGAGATTACAAGAAAAAAATCTCAAAAAGGACCATTTACTAGAAGATCTTAAAAGGTGATGGAAATTCAGAGCTATTTTTTGAGCTTTAGGAAGTTTATACATGAAAACTATCCTTTGATAACACAATCAAGATGCTGGTAGTAAAGGATCTGTATAGTTATGTTTGAAAACATAACAGAAATGCTAATCCTTTTGATATTTTCTTTCCAAATAATTCTTTTTATTCCTGTATTTTATAGAGCGCTGTTTAGTTATAACTTCTGTCTATAATATGTTCTTATTTGTAAGGTAAATTAGCATTGCTGTGTTTATAACACTGTATTAGAATCAGGATATTCTTGTGCTGTAAGTGCTGCACTGAACCAAGCTGCATCCATGCCTGCAAATGCAGTGATAATTCTACTAAATGCCAGCAACATGGGGCTGACCCTGCTCCTGCCATGAGCCCTATGTGGGCTGACTTGGAGTCCCATTGAATTTATTGGGTCTCTGGTGTGACTGGAACAACAGAGACTTGGTGGGGTAGCTCACATGACTGGAGCGCTGGATGGGTATAAACTGTTCAGGAAGGACAGGCCGGGGAGAAAAGGAGGAGGAGGAGTAACTGTATGTAAGAGAGCAGTATGATTGCTCAGAGCTCAAGTATGAAACTGGAGAAAAGCCTCTTGAGAGCCTTTGGGTTAAGTTTAGAGACGAGAGAAACAAGGGTGATGTCGTGGTGGGCATCTGCTATAGACCACCAGACCAGGAGGATGAGGTAGACGAAGCTTTCTTCAGACAACTAACAGCAGTTTCCAGATAACAGGCCCTGGTTCTCATGGGGGACTTCAATCAACCTGATATCTGCTGGGAGAGCAATACATTTTTGGAGAGTGCTGGAGGAAACAACTAGGGGACATGCTCCTCTTGACCTGCTGCTTACAAACAGGGAAGAATTGGTAGGGGAGGTGAAGTGTGTGGCTACCTGTGCAGCAGTGAGCATGAGATGGTTGAGTTCAGGATCCTGACAAAAGGAAGAAAGGAGAGCAGCAGAATACGGACCCTGGATTTTAGACAAGCAGGCTTTGACTCCCTCAGGGAACTGATGGGCAGGATCCCCTGGGAAGCTAATATGAGGGGGAAAGGAGTCCAGGAGAGCTGGCTATATTTTAAAGAAGCCTTATGGAGGGTCGCAGGAACAAACCATTTCAATGTGCAGAAAGAATAGCAAATATGGTAGGCGACCAGCTTGGCTTCACAGAGAAATCTTCGGTGAGCTTAAACACAAAAAGGAAGCTTACAAGAAGTGAAAACTTGGGCAGATGACTAGGGAGGAGTATAAAAATATTGGTTGAGCAGCAGGGGTGTAATCAGGAAGGTCAAAGGACAACTGGAGTTGCAGTTAGCAAGGATGTGACGGGTAACAAGAAGGGTTTCTACAGGTATGTTAGCAACAAGGTGGTGGTCAGGTAAAGTGTGGGACCTTTGCTGAATGAGGGAGGCAACCTAGTGACAGATGATGTGGAAAAAGCTGAAATACTCAATGCTTTTTATTGCCACGGTCTTCACAGACAAGGTCAGCTCTCAGACTGCTGCACTGGGCAGCACAGTATGGGGAGGAGGTAAGCAGCCCTCACTGGTGAAAGAATAGGTTAAGGACTATTTAGTAAAGCTGGACATGCAGAAGTCCATGGGGCCAGATCTAATGCATCTGAGGGTGCTGAGGGAGTTGGCTGACGTGATTGCAAAGCCATTGGCCATTATCTCTGAAAACTCGTGGCAATCGGGGGAGGTCCTGGACAATTGGAAAAAGGCAAATATAGTGCCCATCTTTAAAAAAGGGAAGAAGGAGAACCCGGGGAACTATAGACCAGTCACCCTCACTGCAGTCCTTGGAAAAATCATGGAGCAGGTCCTCAAGGAATCCATTTTGAAGCACTTGGAGGAGAGGAAGGTGATCAGGAACAGTCAACATGGAGTCACCAAGGGCAAGTCATGCCTGACCATCCAGATTGCCTTCTGTGATGGGATAACTGACTCTGTGGATATGGGGAAATCAATGGATGTGATATACCTTGACTTTAACAAAGCTTTTGATACAGTCTCCCACAGCACTCTTGCCAGCAAGTTAAAGAAGTATGGGTTAGATGAATGGACTATAAGGTGGATAGAAAGCTGGCTAGACTGTCGGGCTCAAGAGTTAGCGATCTTGGAGCCGGTTTTGTTCAACATCTTCATTAATGATCTGGATGATGGGACGTATTTCACTCTCTGCAAGTTCGTGGCTGACACTAAACTGGGGGGAGAGCTAGATACACTGGAAGGTAGGGATAGGGTCCAGAGTGACCTAGACAAATTGGAGTATTGGGCCCAAAGAAATCTGATGAGGTTCAACAAGGACAAGTGCAGAGTCCTGCACTTAGGACAGAAGAATCCCATGCACTGCTACAGGCTGGGGACTGACTGGCTAAGCAGCAGTTCTACAGAAAAGGACCTGGGGATTTCAGTGGACAAGAAGCGGATATGAGTCAATGGTGTGCCCTTGTTGCCAGAAGGCTAACAGCATACTGGGCTGCATTAGTAGGAGCATTGCCTGTAGATCGAGGGAAGGGATTATTCCCCTCTATTTGGCACTGGTGAGGCCACATCTGGAGTATTGGTTCCAGTTTTGGGCCCCCCACCACAGAAAGGATGTGGACAGATTGGAGAGAGTCCAGCAGAGGGCAACAAAAATGATTACGAGGCTGGAGCACATGATTTATGAGGAGAGGCTGAGGAAACTGGGCTTATTTAGTCAGAAGAAGAGAAGAATGAGGGGGGGATTTGATAGCAACCTTCAATTACCTGAAAGGGGGGACGTTCCAAAGAGGAGGGAGCTTGGCTGTTCTCAGTTGTGACAGATGACAAAACAAGGAACAATGTTGCAGTGGGGGAGGTCTAGGTTGGATATTAGGAAACACTATTTCACTAGGAGAGTGGTGAAGCACTGGAATGGGTTACCTAGGGAGGTGGTGAAATCTCCATCCTTAGAGGTTTTTAAGGCCTGGCTTGACAAAGCCCTGGCTGGGATGATTTAGTTGGGGTTGGTCCTGCTTTGAGCAGGGGGTTGGACTAGATGACCTCCTGAGGTCTCTTCCAGCCCTAATCTTCTATGATTCTATGTTGGGCCCATATGTGGGTGCAGGGCTATGCCCAGGAGGAGTTAGTTGCAGGATCAGGATCACAGTGTACATCTAAACTAGAGCTGGAAGGTGTAAATTCTAGTTTGAGGAGATATACCGGCACTAGCTCAGATCAAGCTGGCACACTAAAAATAGAAGTGTAGCCACTGTACATGGGCCATGGGAGGGACTAGTCACCTCAAGTACAATCTGATCTGAGTACATACTTGGGGCAGCTAGTCCCTCTCACCTCTGTGGCTACACTTCTATTTTTAGTGTGGTACCTCAATCAGAGCTAATGTGGGTATGTTAGAATTTTAACTTACCTTCCAGCTCCAGTGTAGGCATACTATAAGTTCTGCTGGAGATAAAGAACAAACAACAAGATTGTGGTGCCAGAACTAGGGGTTAGATTACCAGTCTCTCAGGAAAAGAGACGGCGAGTTGGATTTTTAAAAAATTTTTGTAGAAAAATAGAGAAAATATGTTTGTGGGTATAAAGACATGGATTGTCCCTATGTTCCCATTGGGGAGCTGCCGATGTGCCACACCTTAATTTCCCCTGATTGGGACAGCAATAAATTCCCTTCAACAGCCCAGGGCAAGGACAATCCAACACACACTAACAAAATAGCATGTCCCTTCTAACAAGCTTTCTGGACAGGAGCCGTCACAATAAACGGTTTGTAAGGTTCTCACCTCAGCACCCTAGTTCAGAACTCCCAAATGTTGAAGTTGACAAAACAAAATCTGACTTTGGTGTGGTTAGTCTGTCAGAGAAACCACCACCCACTGCAACCTGCAGGGCTCCTTGTCCCCCCACCCTCCCAGGCTCAGTTAAGCTTTCTGCTGAATGCTGTTTAACGCAGCCTCACCCTAGGGCAGGGCAGTTCCTCCTTGATTACACCCCAGGCTGTCAGGGTCCTGTGCTCTAGCTTTTCCTTTAAAGGAGCAGCACACTCCATCACAGTGGGATTATTTTAAAAAAGGTCTTAAGGGGTTCTTCGTATCTATTTGTTAGTATTTTCCAGAAAAAAAGAAAAAAACTTTATCTGAAACCTACCAAAAAAGAACAGCATCTTAAAGGCTTAAAACAAAAAAAAATTCCTTAAAAAGCAAACAGAATGTGCTAAAAGTAAATAGTATGTGCTAAAGTGGGGATCAAGCTCCAGTTTCTGGTGTCAGCATCACAGCCGTACTGTCACCCTTCCCCTCCAGCAACACAAACATGGAGGAGCATGAACAGCCTTTTGATACTTGTGCCCAGTGCACATACTTCAGGAAAGAAGGTGCTCCCAGTGCTATTATAGATTCAGAAATGGTAATGTTATGGCATTGTGATAAAAGTAGGGCTCTATAGTAAAAAGTGAGGGGCTTGTTCCATTCTCTGAGTGTCAATATATTCTGAAAATACAGAAATGTTGTGTTTTATTTGCCAAGAATGAAAACAATAAATAATGTTTATGGTATATTAAATGGAACGGTTTAAATTAAAAAATCAGATAGACTTTTTAATAAAAGCCAGATATGAACAATGGAACCTGTCTTAAGTGTTACCACAAGAAGCCAGCTAATTTTGCTTGCTGAATAAATTGCACTGGAAACCTAAAGGATACATTAAACTAGTTCCTTAAAACAGAGGGCGCTTAGAAGGTGATCCTTCATGAAACTTATCTTGTTCTATTCCCAGTAATTAGCCTTCTCTACTTTCCCTCCTGTGCACCTTTAAAATTCCCACTTTGTCTACCATTATTAGATCTGATGGCCATTGTAGACCCAATGACGATCCCACTGAAATCAGTGGAGGTTTTGCCACTGATTTAAAAATGGACATAGAATCACTATCTAGAAAATCAAAGAAAGTGGTATGACTTTTCTAGTTCACATCATGAATAATTAAATTCCCCAGTGTGGGAAATATGGATATAAATATTCACATATTAATAGCAAAATTCAAAAGAATGAGTTGACGCAGGAGAAAGAAATGCACTGCAATCATCTTACCTTTAGCTATTGTTGGCATGTGGAAAGGAATGCTAATTACACCCACCAGATCTTCCAGGGGAATCAAAGACCGCAGAATTGACCTGATCCTAATGGCTTCCCCTTTGCCAGCATGGATTAGCTAATGGAAGAGTAACAAAAAATTAACATTTTTTTCCCTGTAACTATATTTGCCTGCATACTCTAGAAACCTTCAGAAGTACACATTTACAAGAATGAGTGCTGAGCCAAATGATAAAAAAACATACACATTTCACTCAATATATATTTCATTTTTTTTTACCCAGATGCAAATTTGTGGGACTTAGTGCTATAAAGGTTTTATTATTAATGTAGAATGACTACATTTTCATGGTGAAATGCTGAGACCCCTGGGAAGAGGGCAGGGTGTCAACGTGTAGTAGGCTTGGTGAAAGAAAATCCATGAGATGCTGATGAGTTCAGCTATTCTATCATCATCAGCTTCACTGTCTTAGTTAGCTTACGGCTCCTTCAGGGTGACCATGGGTTTATGAAAACTAGTCAAAATAATGACAGGTTTCAGAGTAGCAGCCATGTTAGTCTGTATCCGCAAAAAGAAAAGGAGTACTTGTGGCACCTTAGAGACTAACAAATTTATTTGAGCATAAGCTTTCGTGAGCTTTTATTTTATGCTCAAATAAATTTGTTAGTCTCTAAGGTGCCACAAGTATTCCTTTTTTAGTCAAAATAATGTTTATTCTTCAAACAAAACAACACAAAAACACATACAGAGAATTTATAATATAGATACTTCCAGTTTTTGAGGATGCCTAACCCTGTATAAACCTGACATTTGGGGGAACCTGTGCAAGACAGTGTTATTTAGAGAAATGAGGCCATAGTTTGAACTTCAATGAGCACAAGTGGTTCCTACCTTATACTTCCCACTCCCACTTGTTAGTTTGCCTCATCCACTTGTTGCATCTAGTCATAACCCAGGCCCCAGTAATGAAAAAAATTACATACATATTTAATTATGGGAGTAGCCCTAATAAATTTGGCGAGACCACTGACATGCATCAAGTTAAGCATATGCATAAGCCTTTGCAGGACTGGGGCCTAGACTGTAAACTCTCCGGGGTGGGGTCTGTCTGTTTATCATATATCTGTATAGCTCCTAGCACAAAGGACCCTGATCATTGACTAGTATCCCTAGGTGATGCTAATACAGTACAAAGATCATGGTGGAATACCACAGTCTATCTTTGGGAGTGGAATTGATTGTTCATGTTTTAATGGATGGCAACATCATTTTTACTTTCTTTTATATGTGAGTGATGTGAGTTCAAGTGTATGTAATGCGAGTAAAAAAATACTGCTTGTTGTTTAAGAAATAGTTTACAGCTGTGAAAAAAGAGGGCAGTTTGGTCTGGATAGTCTCACTACCACATGGGAGAACTTAGTTCAAGAGTATCTCTTTGATGCTTCAGGCAACTTTATGGGATATTTTCAGTCTCCTCGTAGGAAAGGAGGCAACCTGACATTTTGCTTTGTTCCTGTTAGCGACTGCAGAAATGCACAATGGGTTTCAGTGAGAGACAAAACAGGGAAGATTCAGGGATTCTCCAACATTTTTCTTTGACTAAACCTTCTCGTGTATTCGGGCAAAATGGTGATCTTAGAGCCATGTGGTATATCTTGACTGATGATTCTCTGCTTTCCCTACAAGCCCATACATACTGGTACACCCATTGGAAGTTCTGCACATGTAATAAGGGAAAATTACTGGAGCTCAGATGTGCCACACAGATTCTGAAGGCAGAATTTTGCCTCTGCACAGGTTACATGGAAATCCTTAAGAAACTGGCAACTGGACATTGGATTTAACTAATATCAAAATGATCCCACATACAGTTTATTTAAATCACATCTGCACATTTAAATATTATACTGGCATAACATTGTTTCAATACTAAGGGATAACATGTATTGCAGTGAAAAGGCCAATGAACTAAAACACCAGACTATCAGTAAGAAAATAGCTGTACTTGCAGAGACAAAAAACTTACATGCATTTCAGGGGCACAACGTCCTAACAGGTCAATCAAAGCAGCGTAAAAGGTCATGATGGCATTTCCCATGTGGATAGTGTCATCTTCTTCTTCCATCTCACTTTTTATTTATTTGTGACAGGAAACAAAATACAAAAAAAACAAGAGTTTTTCATCAGCTATGAAATCAACACAAAGTTGGAGCCAAAGTCAGCTCACACTTACACTGGTTAAAATCCAGGGAGACTCCATCACCCTCAGAGAAGTTATTCTGGATTTATACTGAAGCAATTGAGAGCAGAATTTGGTCCTCAGTGATCATACTGACATTTCCATTCTTACTTTTTAACCTTTCGTTTTCTACTGTGCAAGCTATGTAATCCAATTTCAAGCACTCCTCTTTCAATAGGGGCAGCATTGCAGCAAGAGTAAAGTAACTAAGAAAGAGAATCTGTGTTTGTGGAGTAAAGAGGCATTTTTTTTAACCTGAAAATATCTAAGGCAGCCATGTTGAGGCTTGGGCTGGATCCCCGGCTCTAGGACCCTGAGAAATGGGAGGGTCCCAGAGCTTGGGCTGCAGTCTGAGTCCAAACGGCTATACTGCATTTAAGCAGCCCCTTAGCCTGAGCCCCACGAACCCTAATCAGCTATCATGGGACAGCTGTGGGTGTCTAACTCCAAGGCAGACATACCCTAAGACTCCATCCAGCCCTATGGTGTTTGAGAAGAACAATAGGGGAAGCACAAGCTACATGCAGTCTCTCCCTAACTCCACAACAGGAGACTGGTTCCTATCTACACCTGACTGATAGGAGCAAGAAGGAATCCTAAAGATGCTGTGCATCTTGAAAACAGTCATCCAGACTGACATCTGTGAGTTCAGGGACAGTTGCAGGGGCCTCACTTGGCTGAAGATGCACACCCAATGGAATTTTCGGAAGAGGAGAGAATATTTCCTGCCCCACATCGTCAGATTATGTGATAATATTTTAAAAATATGGTAAAAAGAAATACTGAATTCCATAAATAGGATTATAAAACAAAAGGTGTAGGTAAACTGAACAGCCCCATTGCACCTACAGAGTTTTACTGGATCCATTACTTGGGGAAGGTCCATCTCTAGTAGAATCTTCTGATATTTTTATTGCTTCCTCCATGGCAGCAAGTAACCCGTTACCTCCTTCCCCTCTCAATGCTGGACCAAAGCACTCAGGACGACGAATAAGTAGCCTGACCACAACATTAGCATTCTCTTCAACACTCTCTCCTAGCATCATACAGAAAAAATATTGGTAAATGGATCCATTCAGTGTACATCCAAGATATGATCTGATATAAGGTGGGTGATGAATACACATTACATATGCATCAGTACAAGGCAGATTGGACTTAAATATGAAAGACAAAATTCAACTTTATTCAGCTGTTCTTAAAAAAAAATCAGATGTATGAAATTGTGTAATGCCAATAGAAAGAAGCAAAGAAGATTAGTGTTTACATATTTAAATTCTTTCACTCTTCTGTTGTTCAATTCTGCCTTCAGAAATTTCATATGATTAACACTTACTTGATATTGTGAAATCAAAGAGACGGAAAGTGTTAGACCTTGTGTGAATTTCATCAGCATATAGCTAAAAGATTTATAAATGAAACTCAACAAATCTAGTAGCATGGTTATAAGCTATTAGACCAATAGGATGAAGCTGAATTTTATATTACACACACACAAGCACACAACTTCTGATGATTATTGCAATGAAAGTTAAGTATACAGTAACAGAATATTTATTTCACTGAATTTTAAATTAAGTTATGGTCCAAAAAGTGACTAACACATATGCCATTCACCTACGGTAAAATTTGTACCAGTGCCAGAGGGCTAGTGCAAGAATCATTGCACCAGTTAAACACTTAAACCAGATCTTATATAGGCTTCCTGAGCCATATAAGTTTACTTTGTTCGTTATGTCATGACCTTTGACTGTATCTGTAATTTAAGTGCCTGTCTGTATGGCGATTTAGTGCCCAGCAAGCTGGGGCATGAACCTAGAGTGCTCCAATCTGCTGTGTACTAAGAGGCTGTGCGGATCCTGCTGCTATGCACTACAGAAAATTTAGTGTGCTATAGCAGTCCACATAGCAACTTAGTGCATGGCAAGCTAGAGCGCTGTAGAGTCAGACCTCAGCTTTCTGTGCAATAGATCACCATGTAGACAAGCCCTCAATGACAAATTTTACATATACAATTATTTAAACATTACAGAACAGTACCATTGCAAAAAACTGCAAAGCGAAGAAAATCCAGATACCGCTCTCCTTCAACTGGATTCCATCCAATGTCTGGATATCCCTTAAAAACCAGCAAAGGGCAGCTTTGCAAACCACATCCAGCCAAATAGCGAACTACCTAAAAATAAGGTAAGATGAAAAAAGACAAACATTTATTGTTGAAAAGGAGAAAGTTACTGTTTTTAAAAGGTAGTTTACTCAAACTCCCTCCAATCTGGCTTCCACCCTCTAAGCTCCAATGAAATGGCTCTAACTAAAGTCTCGAATGACCTCCACTTGGCCAAATCTAAGGACTAGTACTTCATCATCATCATCATCCTCAACCATCATCTACCAAACATGATCTACATCATGAAATCTTGTCCTCTCTCTTCTCTTCCTTCTTCTCTCATCATTCCTTCAGCACTTTGTTCAGCACTTCTCATTTCTGCTCCAACTTTCAGCGAGTGTCCCAAATGACTCTATTCTTAGTTCCCTCCTGTTCTCGCTTCACACTCTATCCTTATTCAAAAATAAGTTTACAACTAGTCTCTTTATCCTGACACCTTTCAGATATGCTCTTCCATTCTAACCAATCTCCTTCTGTCCAAACTAAACTCTTGGCCTGTTGTTTTTTTGGACATCTTACCGATATCCAGGCATCAACTTAAATTCAATGTACCCCAAAATGGGCTCTCATTTCCCTCCTGTCCCCCAACCTGGCCTCTTCCCACTTCCTCATTTCTCACTCACCATCGGCAACAATTCCATCGTCCCTGAGACACAGTCCTGTCACATGGGTGTCATCTTTGATTTGGCCATTCCTCTAGACCCACAAATCCAGGCTACACCTAAGTCATCCTGCTTCTTCCTGAACATCTCTAAGATCCAGCCTTTCTGTAAGTGCAGATAAAACTCCCATCCAAACTTTCTTCATCTCAGGTCTTGACTACTGCAATCACCTCCTTGTTAACCTTGGAAAATGCCATCTTGCCCTTCTTAAATCCATTGATGCTGCTGCAAAGATCATCCTCCTGACTTGGAGTTCCAGTTATCTCACCCTCCTACTTCTCTCCACTAGTCCCCCTCCTTCTCCACATCAAGCACAAATTACCTGTCTACACTTGTATGGCCCTTCAGAACTTAGCGCCATTCTACATTTTATGATACTGAGATGTCCTCTCTGCTTTATCACCAACCTTTAATGACCACTAGTTGAATCTTCCTTTAAACACATTTGCACTTACTCTCAGGCTGCTTTCACACATGAGAGGAATGCCCCAAAAAAATCTGCAAAGCCCTTAACATTTTCTTCTTCATGGGAAGATCTATCGTAGAAAATTTTGCCAGTTTGACTACACCAGAACACCTGAACCAACAAAACCCTCCCAGCGCAGACACTGTTATATCAGTATAAAATTGCTTATACTCTTACAGCTTATGCCAATTTGGGGAACAAGCATAAGCACTTTTATGTCAATATAACTATGCCTACATGAAAACAATGAGGAGTCCAGTGGCACGTTAAAGACTAACAGATTTATTTGGGCATAAGCTTTCATGGGTAAAAAACCCACTTCTTCAGATGCATGGAGACTACACTGCAGCTTTTACTGATTAGCTATGTCAGCAAAAAAATCACTCCCTTATCCAACATAATAACTATGCTGGTAAAACTTTTAAGTGTAGATTAAGTCCCAGTACCTCCTTAAAACTCACTTCTGTTGTGATGCCTACAAAACACTTGACAGCGGCTAGGCAGCTGTAGTGCTGTAATGGTTGCTTATTAGGTTAATCATAATTGCTACTTTGTGCATCCCCACATGTGTTATCTTTTGTCTCATACTTTAAAATGAAGCTCTTTGGGACAGGGACTGTATTTTTGTACTTGGCCTAAGACAATCTGGTCTGCACCAAGACTGGGGTCTCTAGGTACTACTGCACTACTGCTACATCATAAAATTTTTCCACTGAGTAAATGTAAAGTTTTCAAATTGAAAATGTTCGAAAGCCTAGCATAGATAATACAAACAGAAGTATCACATGTCCAAGAAATATATGACTTCAGGTAATCCATTACTTGTAGTTATAGATGCTTGTTGATTCATATTTTATGTACCTACACACACCCTGGGAAAATGCTAGAAAAATACTATCATTAACCTTCTCCAGGTCAGGCTCCCTTAAAGCTAGTGCAAGTTCATTGTTATCCATCACAGATGCTGCTGCAACATCTAGAGGGGTTGATCCTCGCATAGAAGGGGAAGCTGTTAATAAAACAGTTGCCAAAGTTAGTAATTTAAATAAAAAATAATAAAGATGCAATAGCTTATAAAAATACAAACGTATCCAGAGGACAAATATATTTACCATTAAAGTTATAATAAACCATGGGGCAAACATCTGAGGTTTGGGCATTAATAACCAACTAGTAGCTGAAAGTCCATGCAGTTGTATGTGTATAATTTGTAATATCATGTGTGAAGAAAAAAAACAAGAGATGGCTGACAACTCAAAAATGTGATGCTAACAGACCACGAACCCCAGTGATGACTGAACCTGGTGATATTCTAAACAAAAAGGGCTCTCAGCTGTGCCTGCAGGGAGGGGCTATGCATGCCTGTTCTATGTATTTGCCTGTTTGTGTATGCTGGTTGTGTTGTTTTGTGGGTGGTTGCGTTTTGCTGGGAGGGTTATATGTATGGGGAATGAAGCAAGTGTGTTGCCATGAGGGGCTTTCAACAATGCTTGTAGCTGTTTTTATCACTTCATACTGACAAACAGACATTCTAGACGCACTCCAGGGACAATCCCAGAATTTTATTACACAGATACCACTTAACTATTTTTTTTTACCAATACCATTATTAACACTATAATATAAGCGTTCATGGTGCTGAAATTTCCAAGTGTGAGGCCCATATCAAGTCCCCTTGTAACCTTGTGTTTTCATTCAATGAGAACTTTATGCAAAATTATCTTTTTAGTCTACAAATACAAATGCTTCATTTCAGGTGGAAGATGATTATTGTTTTAGAGGGGAGGGTGAGTGGGAAGTTTAAAGAAAATCCATTTAGACATGGTTTGAGTTATGGATAATTGGGAAATATTTTTCAGATTTAAAATAAAAGGTTTTTTTTCCCTTTTCTTAAAAAAAATGGAAATTAAATGAAACCTCCCCAATGTTAACATAATATTAGCAAAAGATCTCACAGTAACATTGACTAAGTCCAGTACAAACACAATTTAACTGTTTTCACTCTAAACATACTTTTGGGCTATGCTTCTGACATGTAAAAATATGTTAAACATGAAAAATTTGGTAACTAAATTTTTGAGCATCAAAATAATCAGATACAACTATGTAGTCCAGAAGAAAAGCAGTAAAATAAAACAAAAGTGGCATTTCACATTTCTGAGCCTCAGCATAAGCATCGTGGACAAGCTAATGTTAGCACGAAAACCTTACATTGGGATTCAGTTGTGAACTGCCTACCACACCCATGTAAGTGAACAAGCACCAGCTACTCTCCCACCCTCCTTGTACAGGTGGGCAGGCTCTTGGCTCTGCCTCTTCCCTGTACAACCCAGAGCGTCTTGGCCTGTGTGGGTAGGGAGAAAAGCTGTCCCAGGAAAATCCCTGTAGAAAGGGGGAAGCAGGCATTGAACAGTGACTCTTACAGTTAAACTGTTCTGTTAAAGATCTTCAGCTCCTAGAGCAGCACAAATAGACTCTGCCCTTTACATGGGGAGGAGGGAAGGGGGTAATTACAAGGTGCAATCCAACCCAAAGGCATGAAATGATATTTTTGCTGAAATTGTGTCCATAATTTTGAATTCATGTAGGGTGGGCGGTTGTTTATTTATGGGGTTTTCTGCATTAAATAATACAATTGCATAAGGTCTTTTTCACATTTAATAATATAGAAACTTCAAGTTTAAAAAAATAAAATCATGCTACCAAGCAGAATGTTGTGTTTTAAACATGGAGTTTGAAGGTTTTTGTACTGTTTTTCTGTTTGTTCATAACTTATAAATCAATGAAAACATTTAAAACTGTATTTTACACACAATTTAGGATACATTTTATGTTACTACTCACCAAGTCCAACACTGCTGTTTTCCAATAAGTAACTAAGATGATCAAACATAGCCTTTTGATTCTGCCTGCTGATGCGGCAGAAATAACATAGAAAACGACAGCAATTTGCCACCATCTTAGGAAACGTGATTTCCTAGACAAACAAGACTAAGTTAGAGTTGCAAAAATGTCTAAAAATCACCAAAAAATCATCATATGCTGGGTCCTTTTACATATTTGTCTTCACATACTTTTTTTGTGTGTGTGTGTGTGTGTGTAAACACAATTAGGTAGGTACCAATCCCGCAAAATGATCTTCCAAGGGCAGATCCCATTGAAATCAACGGGACTCTGGGCAAGTGCATGGTTCATTAAGTTTAGTTGCACAGATTGTGGCCTTAACAAGAAAGAGAACTGGATTCACACCTAAACCCTAGATTCAAACACTGAAATATGGGAAAGTTCAGATGCAGAGCCTGATGTTACAGCCATCTCTAATCAGATGTTTCCAAAAAAAATCTTACTCTAAAACACTCTTCATTTTGGAAATCCCTAAGTATCCTTTTTGGTTTTTATATATATTAGAATCTTTTCCACATACCATGCAGATCAAGAATCCTTTGAAACCAATACCTATAAAACATAGTAGGTTATAAATGCTTTTGGCTGTCCTTCCTTTCCCACGTGAGAATATAGTACTGCTCGTATCCTATTCTAAATTCACAAACAAAAATGGAATCCTTGTAATGTAATATTATTAGGATAATAATTAGAAGATATACAACTTTTTCAGGAAAAGGTGATTCTACTCACTAAGAACTTGACCTTATATTGTGCCAATGGGAAAAGAACAGGAGTGTAGGGCTCTCAGCACTTCCATGAGTTTCTGAGCACCTTGCAGGATCAAAGCTTTAAAAGGCCACATTCTAAATTCCCTCTCTTCTGCCAGTGAAATTCTTTACCTTGGATTCTCCTCCTCCGAGTACATTGACCATCACTTCCATGACAGTCTCATGCATTCCTAGAGCCCTCATAAGATTAGGATGTTGGTAAAACACTTTATTATTCATGATGTCTCTATAAAGAAACATAATAAGAAAATGGATTAAAATGTACTGTTCAGGGAACACATTTTAATTTCTCTGTCACATGATACTCACACAACTACCAGTCTGAAGAACAAGCCTGCTCTTGCAGTTCTTACCTAGGTATACCGCCCTGTGTTTGCACAGGGACAGAAGGACTGGGCACAAATAAAGTTAAGTGTTAGAAATTATTGAATTTTATTGATTGATTTCAATCCTTGTAATTTAATGAAATTCTAGAAAATGCACAAAGGATTGAATGCTTATTTCACTGTGTATTACTTACATGGAATGTTCGCAAAGCCACATGATACAGAGATCATAAGTCAAGTTAGAGGCCTTAGTTCAAATCCAGTGGAAAATACCTCGTCATGATGATGGCATATTTCCTCTCCTAACAGGTTAGCTGGATTTCAGCACATTCATACAGTTTGTGCATTCAGTGCACCTGAATTACATACATACCAATTTGATAGAACAAAACTCCTAGGGCTGTCAGAGGGAAGGGAGCAGAGCCAAAGAGGTATCATTCCGCCAGCCTCCGACTGCGTGCTGGACACCATACAGTCCATGGGCTGAGGGGTAATGTGACTGGATGGCATAGAGGGGGGTGACAAGTAGAGCTATTCTCTGCTGCATCATTCCAAATAAAACCCACAAGGAAATTGGCCAAGGGGCAGGCAGAGAGGCATTTAGTTCTGAGTGGGTGGAGGAGATACCCAAGGGGTCGTGCCAAGGTCTAGCACCTTTCACAAAGGCCCCAGAATTAGTAGCATTTCCTCATGGTTTTAGGACATCCATAAGGTTAGAGGGTCATGACCAAGGACATTGTGGATTCTTCATCACTTGAAGTCTTGATTTAAACACTGGATGTCTGTGTAAAAGATATGCTTTAGCTCAGACAGAAGTTATGGGCTTGAAGTAGGAATTATTGAGTGAGGTTCCATGGCCTATATTATGTAGGAGGTCAAACTATATCATCATAATGGTCCCTGCTGGCCTTGAAATCGGTGAATCTAACATTTCCCTGACATTCCCACCCCATAGTGTCACCCTCTTTTTTTTTTTTTTAATAACTAAAGCCTAAATCTGATATTTACTCTAATTTATTTTCATGCCACATAAATATCGCTTAGTACTGTATACTACATAATTTACATAGATGTAACCAATATGATAATTCATAATTATAACATCCTGGATTACCCCTATAAAATTGGTCAGACTGCTAGACGTGTTTTTTAATTAAAAAAAAAGATTTTAATAAACAACAGTCATAGTGGAATAAAAACCAAATACAGTTATCTCACAGAATAGCAATAAGATTTCCACAAAGAGGAAAACAATGCCGCAAAACAGGAGCTGTGGGTAAATGATATTAATAAATTAACCAGTCTAAGCCCAGTCCTTCAGTCCTTACTCCCACTGAAGTCATCGTGATCTCAGCCTGAGTACAGAATGGAAAATGGAACCCGAAGTGATGTGACAATGGAAGCTTCAATTATCCATTAAATAACAATTATTCTGCAGTCAGAGTTTCGAAGATTCATTCTGTCTAATTAAAAGATTGTACTATACAGGACAGAAGTGAAGGAATTTTTTTTTCCAGTAACAGAATGCACATTTGCAAACATTGCCCCAAATAACAGCACTAACAGTACTTGTACCATAGAAATGTGCCAGTTACATCTCCAAGCCTTAGACGTTTGCCTGTGGAATCTCCTATCAAGATCAGAAAAGAATTTAGAGTCTGGATAGGAAAGAGAATTTACGACATGTCTACACCGCCACACAGTTTGGACTACAGAGGTGTGAATAGCAGTACACACCAAAGTACTGTGCTGTAACATCCCTGTGTGGCTGCTGCAGGCATGAACAAAAAGGTTCCTAGTTCACATTAATGTAGTTCTCTTCCAACAGGACTACACTGATGCAAAATAGGAAACCTTTAGTTCATGCCTGCAGTAGCCACACACGGGAGTTACAGTGCTATTCACACCCCAACAGCCCCAACTTCAGGGCAGTGTAGACATGTCTTTAGTTCCAGTTATCCTCCTGTCATCAAGTATTAGCCACATAAAGAAAAATAATCGTAAGAACTTTACTGGTTTTCCAATAAATGTTAACTTAAGTGAACTACTGCTCAAGAGAACATTCTTTCCTTTCTAGTGCACTTCAGCAATGCAGCTTTAAACATGAGCACCAATTTTGAAAATTATGGTGTCAATATTATTTTACATAAAGATAGAGATGTCTAATAAACATGAATATTTTTTACAGTACAATTTAAAAGCTGTAGCAAGCCTACAAATTATATACAACGTAGAAATAAATTTGAAAGCAATGTGCCTCAGGTCAGAGGAAAAATGACTAGATAATTATAAATGAAGCAACAGTATTGTTAATTCTCCTGCTAATATTGTGAGTCTTGTGATATTTGCTGTTCTTCTTTTAGCTTCTGCTCCTGGAATTATGTGATTATGTAACTCAGCTTTAGTTAAAAAAATGGTTGTGAAGAAAAGCTTGAAAACATGAACACTAAAATCTAAAAACCAGATGCATCAGCCACACTACACAATCTCTGTAGTGTAGCTGGCAGCTGTGTCATTACTAATAGTGCTTAACTCTATTAGCCCCTAATGACTTAGGTGCCCCCTCTGCCTGTTCCCCAGACAAGCCTTCAGGTCAAAGTTGCTATGGGATCTGTACCAGGAATCTCCAGCCAGGAAAGCTGCTCCTGCTACGTGCCACTACGTGCCTGGCATCTACTCTGTGTGCCCTGGGCCATGACCTTTTTAAAAAAGAGGGGCAAATCAAATCTTTCAGGGAGGCCACAGGCAGGCTGCTTTGGCTGTGTTCAAGAGCCTTAATTGCTTACTACTCTGAATAGCCATAAACTCTTCTATCTCTACACCACACCATGGCTTAGATTTTCCTCCTTCATTGGGAACTGAGCCGTCCTGGACATATAAGACACTTCAAGGATGGGCCAGTGGTATCAAGGACAAAGACTCTTTGAAAGCATAACTCTTACAATACTTGGCATAATTACTGAGCATATTATAAAGTGTGACAACTGAAAGACTCTGCTGTATTAGCTTATCTGCTGTATCTCTGAAATAACACTGTGATGAAAAAGACCTGAAGAAGAGCTCTGTGTAGCTCAGAAGCTTGTCCCTTTCACCAACATAAGTTGATCCAATAGAAGATATTATCTCACCCACCCCGTCTCTTTATTATGATGAAAAAGAAAATTGTGCCTTTAAATGTGATTGAGCAGTGCTCCCATTTATCCACTGGAAGAGACAGATAGTTGACACTAAAAGAACAGGAGTACTTGTGGCACCTTAGAGACTAACAAATTTATTAGAGCGTAAGCTTTCATGGGCTAGAACCCACTTCATCGGATGCACAGAATGGAACATATAGTAAGAAGATAGATAGATAGATATACACATTACAGATAAGTTGGAAGTTGCCATACAAACTGTGAGAGGCTAATTAATTAAGATGAGCTATTATCAGCAGGAGAAAAAAACTTTTGTACTGATAATCAAGATGGCCCATTTAGACAGTTGATAAGAAAGTGTGAGGATACTTAACTTTAGGGAAATAGATTCAATATGTGTAATGACCCAGCCACTCCGAGTCTCAATTCAAACCCAAGTTAATGGTAGCTAGTTTGCATATTAATTCAAGCTCAGCAGTTTCTCACTGGAGTCTGCTTTTGAAGCTTTTCTGTTGCAAAATTACCACCCTTAAATCTTTTACTGAGTGGCCAGAGAGGTTGAAGTGTTCTCCTACCAGTTTTTGAATGTTATGATTCCTGATGTCAGATTTGTGTCCATTTATTCTTTTGCGTAGAGACTGTCCAGTTTGGCCAATGTACATGGCAGAGGGGCATTGCTGGCACAGGATGGCATATATCACACTGGTAGATGTGCAGGTGAACGAGCCCCTGATGGCGTGGCTAATGTGATTAGGTCCTATGATGGTGTCACTTGAATAAATATATGGACAGAGTTGGCATCGGGCTTTGTTGCAAGGATAGATTCCTGAGTTAGTGTTTTTGTTGTGTAGTATGTGGTTGCTGGAGAGTATTTGCTTCAGGTTGTGGGGGCTGTCTGTAAGTGAGGACTGGTCTGTCTCCCAAGATCTGTGAGAGTGAGGGATTATTTTTCAGGATAGGTTGTAAATCTGTGATGATGTGCTGGAGAGGTTTTAGTTGGGGGCTGAAGGTGACAGCTTGTGGCGTTCTGTTATTTTCTTTGTTGGGCCTGTCCTGTAGTAGGTGACTTCTGGGTACTCTTCTGGCTCTGTCAATCTGTTTCTTCACTTCAGCAGGTGGGTATTGTAGTTTTAAGAATGCTTGATAGAGATCTTGTAGGTGTTTGTCTCTGTCTGAGGGATTGGAGCAAATGTGGTTGTATTTTAGAGCTTGGCTGTAGACAATGGATCGTGTGGTGTGTCCTGGATGGAAGCTGGAAGCATGTAGGTAAGTATAGCGGTCAGTAGGTTTCCGGTATAGGGTGGTGTTTATGTGACCATTGCTTATTAGCACCATAGTGTCCAGGAAATGGACCGCTTGTGTGGACTGGTCTAGCCTGAGGTTGATGGTGGGATGGAAATTGTTGAAATCATAGTGGAATTCCTCAAGGGCTTCTTTTCCATGGGTCCAGATGATGAAGATGTCATCAATGTAGCGCAAGTAGAGTTAGGGGACGAGAGCTAAGGAAGTGTTGTTCTAAGTCAGCCATAAAAATGTTGGCATACTGTGGGGCCGTGTGGGTACCCATAGCAGTGCCGCTGACTTGAAGGTATATGTTGTCCCCAAACGTGAAATAGTTATGGGTGAGGACAAAGTCACAAAGGTCAGCCACCAGGTCAGCTGTGACATTATCGGGGATACTGTTCCTGATAGCTTGTAGTCCATCTTTGTGTGGAATGTTGGTGTGGAGGGCTTCTACATCCATAGTGGCTAGGACAGTGTTCTCTGGAAGATCACCGATGGATTGTAGTTTCCTCAGGAAGTCAGTGGTGTCTCGAAGATAGCTGGGAGTGCTGGTAGCGTAGGGCCTGAGGAGAGAGTCTACATAGCCAGACAATCCTGCTGTCAGGGTGCCAATGCCTGAGATGATGGGGCGTCCAGGATTTCCATGTTTATGGATCTTGGGTAGCAAATAGAATACCCCTGGTCCAGGTTCTAGGCATGTGTCTGCACACATCTGTTCCTGTGCTTTTTCAGGGAGTTTCTTGAGCAGATGGTGTAGTTTCTTTTGGTAATCCTCAGTGGTTTCAGAGGATAATGACCTGTAGAATGTGGAGTTAGTGAGCTGCCTAGCAGCCTCTTGTTTATATTCCAACTTATTCATAATAACAACAGCACCTCCTTTGTCAGCCTTTTTGATTATGATGTCAGAGTTGTTCCTGAGGCTGTTGATGGCATTGTGTTCAGCACAGCTGAGATTATGGGGCAAGTGATGCTGCTTTTCCACAATTTCAGTCCGTGTGCATCGACGGAAGCAATCTATGTAGAAGTCTGCATCCCTCACAAGACTTGACACACTTATGAGAATGACAGTGAGGCTTGAGCAAAGATTAAAAACCATCAGCCTTTTCATTAAGCCAAATATCTTGGTCTGAGCTCTCAGATGGTCAAAAGCTATTTTACTGCTTGCTGTACTCCCTGGATACAGGAATGGCTAGAGGCAACAGAGACATATTTGTATCTTCTTTACTGGTGGAACATAATAAGAATGGAATTGTTTTCCTTATTCCTTTTAAACATCTAGCTATGATATATCTGCCTCATATTTGGGATAGAATGTAATTGGTCACTGCACTTACAATAATTGATACATTGCTTTCTTTTCAGTGAGCAGCTATTACGGACTCTGCAAGTGTTTGACTTTGTGAATCAATTAAACTATAATCTCTGGTTTCAACTGCATAATTTAGTTAGAAACTAGCCATCTATCAATCCCACAGAGGTGCTATGTACATGGCCCTACAGTTACCTCTTGAACTGTTAAGACAAGGTACTTTGAGCTCTTTCCCATGTGCATAGATCACTTAAGGGCTATCTTAGCAGTGTGTGTGGATTTAAGAATGGATATAAGATGATACATAGAAAAAATGTTTAGGGCAATTTGAAAATGTATATTCCAAGCTTTGGTAAAATTATACTAATACATCAGATATGTCATGGGCTTAAACTTGTAGATAGAACTTTTTTGTGGATAGAACTTTTCTGAAGAGGTTGAGACAAGTCAGACACAACATTTCAAAAATATAAGAGTTCAAAACTGAGCTGATTTCATTTGAGGTGGGATCACCAAGGGCAACCCTATAGGCCCTCATAGGAGACTCCTCAATCAAAGGTAGGTGGAAGAGTCAGAGGAGATCATGGCCTGCTCATACCAGAATCTCATACCAGATGGGCAAAGTATCAGACCTCCACAACAAATATAGATCATGGAATGCTGCCTCCACGAGGTCCTGTTCAGAACCAGGACTACATATGGATACAGGAGAACTGTCAGGGTAAAGGGAGCAAAAATGACAAACAGATCCCTGACAATGAGTTAAGGCATCCCCCAGTTCCAACCTTTCTTGGATCTGGAGGTCTGCTTGGAGCAGACAGGTGCCTGGATCTGTGGCTTTTATGATACCTACAAGTTCCAGTACCTGGGCCTGAGAACTCACATGTTTCTCTTACGGCAGAGGGGACTAGATCTGAGGACTCCCTATGGTTATTAATCGTTTACCTACAGGGAAAAGGTCAGAGTTTTAGTGGCTTACTTGGTAATTCAAATAATTAAAATAGTACTAACTACATTTTGAGAATTAAATGATTAAATATATATGAATAATGAAATGCAAGTATAATTAGACCTACACAGAATTACAAATGGAAGAAAATGTAGGGAAGTTCTAATTCAAGTAGACAGATGCTATCTCATTAATTTAAGATCATTTTTGACCATACTTATCTACTGACTGTCATACTCTGGAGGGAATCTCACTGCTGCTCATAAAAGTACATTGCAATAAAATAATGTCACCAAATATATAATGCTTGAATCCACATAAAAAGAGAGAAAATGTAAGAGGCAAGCTGACCAGCACTTCCTGTGAGGTACAGAGCATGCTCAACTCATCATGCAGAATCAGAGTTAAGAGATGTGTACAGAGTGTAATTGCTACTGAAAAGTCAAATATATTTCACTAGTTACCACCAAAGGCATTTTTGAGGAACTAAAATGTTCCCAATGTGTCAAAACAATGGTGCAACTTCATACATAAAGTTGGGGTTATTTAACCAGGACTGACAATGCTCTGGGTCCACAGTCAACATGAGGGGGACATAAAAAAGGGATGTGCATTCTAGGTGTGCTCTACTAGGTGTAAGGTCTAATAGTGGGCAAGCTACGGGAGTGGTAGAGGAATCGGTGTGGGGATTAAGGCTGGGTAAAAACTTCTTTCTTGTTCTCCTAGACAACTAATGGCTGTTACATAGCATTCAGGGCTATGCTGCTTCAAGAGGAGAAAAAACACTGCCTCAAGCAACAGTAAAAAACAGAAGTGGAAAATCCAATTTTTCCCTTTTAGTGAACTCAGAAACATGAATTTGTGCTGGCAGTTAGAAGATTTATGGAATAAACTGGTCTGAGTGCAATCATCACTCTTTTGGTAGCTGGTTCCAGCAACGACAAAGCCCATTAACATCTCACAAATAAATGTATTCTCCTTAAACTCAAGTGGATGAAACCTCTGGCTTTGGTGTTGAAAGTCCCAGGGTGATCTTTACTGATGGCAGGGCTACTTATATGAATATGCAGCCTCTATCCATTCAATTTATAGAAAGGTCTAAATGCTGAACCTGATTGTATCCTTTAAAGTGAAGTTACAGTGTTTCAAATAGGACTGATATATTACTGTAGAACTGTAATGCTCTTCACTTTTGCTTCTCCCTTCTATGAATTTTCCAAAAAGATAAGACCTTATAGTGCAGTTTACTACTATTCAAAAGACATCTTTGTTAACAATGCTTCAAAGCCTAGATCTTAGAACTACTGAAGCTCCTATCTATTTCAACCCAAAACTTCCCTTTTAGCCTCCTTAAACCACAGAAATCATATTTACAGTCAAACAATATGCTTAACCCAAGTGATAACAATGAGACAAATAATTGGAAAGTAAGAGATCTGTCAATCAAATGTTACTGTACTCCAGTGATTTACCCTAATCCACGAATCATAAGCTTCTCTTCCTCCTTGCCCATTCTGACGCTAAGCAAGGAACGGATCTGGCCCAGGGATGCCAAGAGGTTGATTGTATCTTCCACTGATACACCATTTATGGTGTAGGTCTTCGGTAAGCTTCGAACCAGACCACCGATACCATCATACTGGCGATGCAGCAATACAAACATGGCCCTCACTAACTCCGGATCCTCTATTATTGACTCCTGAGCCCAGCGTACCATGGTCTCTGAAATCAATTGCTGAAGAGTGGCTAAAAAAGAATGAAGAATGAAAAAAATCAGAATTAATTTCTCATGTTTCTAATAACAGTCTCTTTGAATGCATTATGCAGCATATTAGAATTAGCACAATCAAGAAAAAAAATTATTTTTGTTTTCTTAACAGGCTGAGGTACAATGTAATACATTGTGTCAAGAGAAAAATATGCCATTATAGGGAAAACAAGCAGTAATATTTTGCTGCAAGAAGCTAGCTTTAAAATAATAGATATCACTTCCACATATGACAGTGTAAAAGAGCACGAAGATGTACTGGATCCTCACTGGAGAGTGACTTTACAGCAGTGGCCAGCTCCACTTCCAGATACTTTTTCCATGAGTTTTGAAAGCATGAGTTTTTATTATTTTTTTTTATTATTATTTATATGGTAGTATCACCATTGTCAGCTCCTGTGTATTGGACTATTAATTTAGGATACAGCAATACATATCTTATTTTAAAAAAAGTAAGTGTTTTGGCTGACATTTCAGACAATAATTGGGTTGAAGCAAAGATCCCATTGAAAAACCAATATTGTACACTCCGAAAACTTCAGTTAAGCCTGCTTTGAGTCAGAGCCATAAGCTTAAAGGTACACACAGAAGCTTCCCTTAAAATCTAACTTCCTATGACACATAACATATACGGAGATGCCAGAACTTTCCACCCCCTTCCCCTTCAGAGCAGGACTACACTGGACTTTAATTTTACTTACAGGGCTTCTTAGCATCATTATCAGCTGGTTTCTCATTTTGTTTCTTCTTTAAATATGTGACTTTTTCTACTAGGTACATCAGGCGACCTCTAATGGTTAAATCACTGTTTCCATCCAGGGCTCCATCTTCATCTAATTCAATTCCTGAAAGCAACAAATATTAAATCGCTAAAAAAATACAGTTGAATAGATGACAGCTGTGCTCAGTGTCCAAATGTGAAAATATACCAAACTGATTTTGTTCTGCTCTGTTAGCTAAGTGTCCCACAAACAAATACATATATAGTACTGCTTCAAAAGTTATACCAGTTTAAAGGTTAGAGTAGAGGACTGGGAGCTGGGAATCCTGTCTGCTGCTGTCATTTAGTCAGTGTGTGACTGTGGGTCAGTCTCTTAGCCTGTGCGTGCCTTAGTTTCCCCATCTGCAAAATGGGATAATACCTGTATTCCAGGGGATTTAGTGATGCTTGACTGAGGTTTGTATTTTGAGATCCTCAGTGGAAAGGAATTATAGAAATGAGGGCATTGGCATGGCTGTTAATTCATTTTTCAATGAGTAGGTATGAGCAAGTAACTCCATTCATTATATCATGGCACATGTGATAGGCAGCTATAAGGAAAAACAAGGTGTGAAAATGCAAAATATGTTGATTTGATGCAAGATTTGTTCTTCATTTTTATGGTTTCATCTAAAATAATGTAACTGAAACCTAAGGGTTTGGTCCAGGATGATAACTAATATTAAAGTGTCATGACTATATGAGTTCAAAGTAAAAATGACATTCAGTATTTTTTTTCAAATTCAGAATTATTCAACTTTTAAAAAATATGATGGTCACTTTTACAGCAGGATTCTACCTCACATTAGATCATTCTGCTTGCTCCTTTGGTATTTTTGATAAAGAAGTTGGGTTGTTTTTAAAATACATTTGCCTTTTTTCCATTAATCCCTTTGTGGGATGTGATCTATTCTCTGTTTTCTTGCTTTTCACCCTAAGGAAAATGTTAATGCATAAGTCATTGATAAGACTACAATTAAGACATGGGTATTTTTTAGTAAAAGTCACCTGTCCATGATTTGTACTATAAATACCCCTGACTAAATCTTAGCTGGGGGCTACTGCTCTGGGGAGCCCCTGGGAGGCTGCTTCTCTGAGGGGCCCCTGGGGCCAGCCCCACTGGCTGCTGCTCAAGATGTCCACGGGACCAGCAGCACCAGCTGCCGGGGACTGCTGAGCAGCGGCTGCTTCGGCCGCCCCCCGGACCACTGCTCAGGTGGTCCCCGGGGCCAGCCATATCGGCCGATGCTCGGGAGGTCCCCCGGGCCAGCTGCCGGGGGCCACCGAGCAGCGGCCGGTGCATCTATCCATGGGGCTGTCTGGGCAGCTGGCCTCTGGGCCAGCTCCTTTGGCAGCCCTGGGGTCAGCCACACTGGCTGCTGCAGAAGTCACAGAGGCCACGGAAAGTCACGGACAGACATGGAGCCCTAGTCATCAATAATCACATATTTTAAGAATTATAAACTGGTTTGTAAGGAAATTGCAATCTGATTGGTGGAAATTCCTTTTAATTTAAGTAATTAACAATAATGTAACTGAATTATCTAATCCAGTTAGAGTACAGAAACACTCCTACAGTTATTGATGCAAAAATGCCAGTTCCATGTGTCTGATTTGCAGAATATCAGAATGATTATTTCTTAACCAATACACAACATATGAATTCCCAAATTATGACTGGTTGACAGTCATCAGTAGCCAGTTATCTACAACCAAGAGTTGCATAATCTGTGTTTGTTTCCTCTTAACTACATAAATCTATGTACTCTGCCCTACTATAATCCCTCTTCTCATTGGCTTCTGTCTAGGTCTTTCGGTTTTTTGTAGCTTTTCTTTTCCATTTAAAATTGGAATATTTAATTTGAAATGTCATAACAACAACAAGAGTCCTTGAAGGTCCCTCCTGTTAAAGACCCAATCCTGGAAGAAACTCAAGGCAAAAAAATCAATTGGGTTCTAGACAAGTATGAAGGCCTGAGTAGCAGAGTCCCTTCCAGGATCAGGGCCTGAGTTAGGAAAAAAATAATAATCACATGACTCAGCTGCAGCTTTCTCCATGCGGGAGGGGAGGAGGGAGAATTTAAATGTGAAGCAGCTCAACTGCCACCTCCCTCTGCTGCTTGTCAACTGCTGGCTCCTTTTACAAACTGAGCAGCTAATTTTTCCTGTTTTCTACAGGTGATTTACAGAAGAAGGCGGCATGAATAACTTTAAATAGAGAAGTGGTGATTAACCACAGCTTTGTCTTATCAGTCTCTAGGAGACTGAAGCAAAATTTAAATGGAAGGAACCTCTTCACTGGATCTGCAGTGTCCACAGATGCGTGTTTAACATTTGAAAAATTATTTTGTTTTGGTTTCTTGGCATTTACTTTATTTTCTTACAATGGTCAACATTTCGACACTAAAGAGACTGTTGCATTTCATGTAATTATTGTAACAAAAATATTTGGACTGAGCTTAAGCACCATTTTCTCTGTCTGTCTTCAACAAAACCCCCAGCCTCAAAGTTTTTAGTAAGTGAACTATAATGTTTTTTTAGCATGTTCATTTTTCATTTTCATTTGCCTTTGGAGAACTGGAACAGCTGTTATTGTGGTTAATAGGACCACAGTTATTTTGATAGAGTGAAATTCACCTATTGGTGAATGGGAGCAGTTTACCTATGGTACTGGGGGAAAAGAGGAGCAACAGCTGCTATTCTAGCCCCAGATTATTACTGAAGAGCTATAGAGCTTCCCAATACCCACAGGAGCTAGATTTCATTCACTAACCTCTGAGGAGTACCACACAAGTTCCATTTATTTGGAGCTTGTGTGGGAGGAATGAAATTTCCTCTTGTCGACTAAAATGTAACGTGTTTTCTTCTATTCTGATCAGATGAGAGGGTGCACTTGTATTATAATGACTGAGGAATCCACACCCCCTTGTGTATTATTTAGCTACCTGTTGCTGACATAATTTAATGGGTAGCTTGGTTTTGCTGAAGTTATTGAATCTGGCTAATACAGTTTCAGAGACAAGAACATTCCAAAATAGGGTTTACCACAATGTGTCATTAAGTCCTCATGGAACTCCAAGAGTTGATCTCTAATTTCTTCAGAGCAAGGACAATCACTTTTATCATCCTTAAAATTCAGAAGCATGTTAATCTTAAAAAGAAAGAATACAAAAGAAAGTTTAAAGCTTTGGGAGCATCTTTTTGAACACTTTGCAGTAGGCTAGAAGGGAATACGGAAAGCCAAGGATGCCTGGAATCCAAATATGTACTTAGAAGACCAATAAAGTATCCACAAGGTTTACAGTTAATATGCAAATACTGCATTTCTTTTTGCACATTATCTCCATAAATATGTGCAGATAACAAATTTTAAAACATTTTTTCTATTATAGAAATCTTTTAGGTAAACTGAACTACACAAATACCAGAGGAACTATGATTTCTGAAGAGGAAAAAAATCAGGCATTTAAGTAGAGTAGGTAAAAAAAGTAATAAAATGAGCATCAGTGTGAACTGGCGGCTAGAGCACAGGATAGGATCAGGACTCCTGGGTTCCGTTTCCAACTCTGCCACTAATTAGCTGCGTCACCTCGGTCAAATCACTTAATCTCTCTGAATATCAGTTTCTCTATGTTTAAAATAGGTTTAAAAGGGTGTTGTAAAGTTTAATAAATGAATGTTTGTAAAGCATTCTAAAATCCAGAAATGTATGTCTATGCTAAGTTTTATTATTACTGCAGAACCTCATCTGAGAACTGTCTACTTTCCTATAATGCCATTGTATACATAGACAGAAGAGCATGACAAGGCTGTACTCTAAAAGCTTGTCTACACTGGGAAATTACACAGCACTAGACAACGCTAATACATATGAATGAACACAACATATTACTCAGTGTAGATAAAGACTAACATCCCGTGGTGTCATGTCATGATTAGCCCTAGTGTGGACCTTAGGGCTCACCACAACCGGCTGACTGACAATGTTAAACATGACCTATCCTTGACTGCACTGAAGTTGTACATCATGTATGTTTCATTACTTGATTTACCAGCATAGAAAAGGGTGAGAACCGAATGAAAATTTGAATGTTAGGACACAGCACTCTGACTGGGCTGGGATCCTACTTCCCTGCTTTGGCTTTTCTGCCACGCTCACAGTCTGGAAAAAAGAATAACTGCCCATTTTAAGTGGTACCTGCTCTTGAGGTGGAGACCGAAACTCTCTTGTTTTTCTTGCTGTCAGTGCGGCAGACATGTTTAAGGCCTGCATAACTTCATTGTATCGGAATCGCTGATTCTCTTGAAGCTTAAACACAAAATCATCAGAAAATGCTACAATGGCTTCTATCCGGTGACGTATCTGGCAGTCACAGAGGTACTGGAGTAGGTAACACATCTGAGAAAATATCAGAAAGAGGGCAACAAAAAGTAGACAAACTTTTAAAATATTCTGTTAACATATAACTGAGTGTGGGTACTGTAGACTTCAAGTGATAAGGCAGAACCTGTTATCAGATGAATTGACAGTAAGCTGCGATACAGCCATGCTTGAGTTAGTATTGGGGCTTATAAATTGCCATCTGCAGGAGATCTATCTGCCTCAGAAACATATACAAGGACATGGGAATTGTGCTAGAGTGAAAAGATAATAATATAGATTTAGACCTTGTCTATATAGCAATTTAGTGCACAGCAAGCTGAGGTGTGAATCTACAGTGCACCGGCCTGCCATGCACTAAATGGCTGTTTGGGCCCTTAGTGCTCTTAGTCTCTATTTCCAGTGGATCATCTTTTGCATTTGTACATGGAAGCTGCAGAATGTCCTATTAAATTAGTTCCTTTTAGAAATTAATTCTGACTAGATGACAACAGTTGGTGCTAGGCTGATGGCTAAAATAATACCATTTTATTAGCAATTTAACTCCACAGTTTACTACCAGTAAATATCCCCCTTAGGCCCAACTAATAACCACAGGGCAGCTCAAATGAGAGAGTACAACTTACAAAAAACAGAAATGTATCTGAATGTATTTGGTTAAATGTTTCATCAGCCCTCTAGTTTTTTTGTTTTGGGAGAGTGTGTGCACCTGTGCAAGAGAGATAGCTCAGTGGTTTGAGCATTGGCCTGCTAAACCCAGGGTTGTGAGTTCAATCCTTGAGGGGACCATTTAGGGATCTGGGGCAAAAAGTGGGGATTGGTCCTGCTTTGAGCAGGGGGTTGGACTAGATGAACTCCTGAGGTCCCTTCCAACCCGGAGATTCTATTAATTCCTTTATCTTTCTTTATAAAATAATCACATCCATCTCTTATTCATTAAAGGTGAGGTCACCCAGAACAAAGCCTATGCACCACTTTTATCCCAATTAATCTAATTTGATGGCTTCCAGGGATTTAAGTGGTACCTAGGCCTTGTCTGTCTCTCTGCTCAGGGGTGAATTTCATCCTAGAAACTACATTGTGCCATTTAAGATTCCTTATAGAAAGGGGTATTGCACAGTCACACGGCTTCAGTGCAACAATGGGAGGCCTTCTGCCTAAACTGACAAAATGACTCCCACAGCTTCTGGGCATGCAGAGGCAGAATGACTATGTCTGCTACTATGCCAGTGCCGGTTCAGCCTTTTGTTGTTGTTGTTATTTGGTTGGTTGTTTTTTTCCCTCTGCTCTGTTGTTTGACCAGCCCTTTTCAGTCACTGCTCAACTATGTAACAGCCAGGAAGAAAATAGCTCTTAGAAGGTGCTCTCACTTGGTTATCTACTAATAGCCACAATTCTCCAAAGAAAGTTGAAGGGAAAATGTAATACATTATATATAAGTCGCTGCTTCTAAATTTATAAAATGACAATTTTTTTTTTTAATTCAGAAGATATTTCCGACCTAATTATGTTTTATTTATGTCAGATTTGGTTCGAAACAGGTCTCACAACGTCCACCAAGGCTACTGTTATCATAGGGCAATAAAGGGGATAATGCAAAATTATATCATTAATAGCGATTATATTTTTAAAACACAATGTAAAAATGCACTACAGATGCACGTGTGCCTGCAATAAAGAGTGCATGGCTTGAAATATGCTTCAAGACTGCTGTGTTCCTTGAAATATTTGAATGAAAGGAAGAAGGAAGTCTGAAATATACAAACAGCCACTGATACTGTCTCAGTCATTACCTGTAATTTTACTGGTTCAGGAAGTTTCATTTGAAGAAGGCCTTCCGTCAGCACCTGCCCCCCTTTGACTTCTTCCTCTCCTCTTTCTGGCTTTAACTCCTCTGTACTCAACTCCTTCTCTGGCACTTCACTCTCATCCTCCTGGCTCATGCCTTCCTTAAAAACGCTGGGCTCAATCAGCTGCAAGATGTGTTTCAGATCCCCATTATGGAAGACTCCCATGATTAGCAGAGTGTAAAAAAGCTTGATGAGAGGGACAAATAGAAACTCTGTCGTACCCCCTACTGGATCTCTGACATGGAGGTTGCCCTCTTGAACAGCCTCAGTCAGCATCTCTATAGTTTTGGCCTTTAAGATATCCAGAGGAAATTCAGGGCTAAACTGATAGCACTCGCTGCTAATGCTTACAAAACTGGGAGACGAGAACTGGATTCTAGGTCGTAGTGAGGTGCTGAGTCCTATACCAGGGAGGCCATGTTTTTTGTTCTCATCAGGGAACAGAGTAATGCTCTTGGTCTCATCTGTCATCGGAACAATAAATTCATTATTCATCATTAACCTGGCCGTGGCATAGGTGTTGAGGTGGATGTCAATGAGTAAGTCATAATAGCCTGTGCGAAGCAAGCCTGGCATATACTTATTCTCAATGCCATACAGAAGCTGAGATTCATCCACATGGCTGCACATAGCATGTGCCACCCGGTTGTTCCCTAGAGCACAAACAGCTGAATACAATCGGAGGGTATGATAGTGAAATTTCAGCAATTCTTCCTGTTCTGTCAGTTCTAAAATATCTATAGACCTGTAGAGAAGAAGGGAAAATAGAGGAAGTTCCATATCAGTGCAGTAGCTAGGAACATAGGACTCAAAAAGCAAGAAAGTTATTCAGAATTTTACAATTGTGCAATATGGGCAAATTAGCCATTGCTCTGGACCTTGAATTTTTGACTTCCTAACTTTCAGGTATTTAAATTTGCAATTTTATAGACAACAGACGGCTTAAAAATCATGAGCCAAGCCTTGAAATTGTTTAGACTGTATAAAAACTATCACTTCAAAAAACTCCAATCGTCTTCAGTGGGAGCAGGATCAGGTGGAATTATTTAAAACAAATTTCCCTTTAGATTTACATTTGAAAAAAAAATTAGATAATTGAGAACATAAAGACAACATTCAAATTAAATTTTTACTATTCATGCTACTTATTTAGTTTTCATTTCAGGCTGGACAACGAAAATAGACTACTCACTTTCACTTTTGGTTTCTCATCATCATTAATGTAATATTCTAGGCAATTTCACTTTCAGGTTCTTGTAGATTAGCACAATGCTGCAATATTTGGGTCACAAATACTGTGGGGGGGATGTATTACACTTGTTTTGAGGTTTTATTTAAATGTTTCCTTTAGAATTTAACATTAATAAAATCATGGAAATGCTTCTATTGGTCACAAGTTTTGTAAAAGCTTACTTTTACAAAAAATAATTTTGGGGTTTTTCATAACATAAATGTAAGTTTTTGCTTTCAATTTCCTTTTTTTAAAACAAAAGCAAATAAAACCTATATGCATTGGAGTTGAGTAACAGTCCTGCAAAGTCTTTCAGGTTTGAAACACAACAGCAATGGAGATTTCAAAACAATCTAGTTCATGAATACCTCTTGCTCTCATCTGTACATTTTTAAAAGTGAGATTAGATCATAATACAAGCTAATCACTTTTAGGGCTAAATCCTTCTCTCAGTGCCAAGACCAAAGTGTCAGGCATGCACAGGGAGATTTCACAGGGGCAAAAAGAGACACCCTGCTCTGCTGCCAGCATGCCCCTGTCCTCAGACTTGATTGGTACTTTCAACTACCTGAAAGGGGGTTCCAAAGGGCTCTAGACTGTTCTCAGTGGTAGCAGATGACAGAACAAGGAGTAATGGTCTCAAGTTGCAGTGGGGGAGATTTAGGTTGGATATTAGGAAAAACTTTTACACTAGGAGAGTGGTGAAACACTGGAATGCGTTGCCTAGGGAGGTGGTGGAATATCCTTACTTAGAAGTTTTTAAGGTCAGGCTTGACAAAGCCCTGGCTGGGAGGATTTAATTGGGGGTCGGTCCTGCTTTGAGCAGGGGGTTGGACTAGATGACCTCCTGAGGTCCCTTCCAACCCTGATAGTCTATGATTCTATGGTATCTGAGCTAGCCTCTCCAGCACACCGGGGGGTGGCTAAGCCACACCAGCTCCAGACCTGCTTCCTGTGCTGTGGAACCAAGTCCGTTCCACTTCCCCTGAGGCCCTTCATAGCCCTGGGAGAAGTAGCAGAATTTGCCCCACAATATTTTTTAACAAATATACTCAAGCTGCACACGATATTTTGGTTTTTCACTACGGACCACAATGCACTAATTCTCACTCTCCACATATCTCATGCATAGGTTTGAAGATAATATATCTGAAGATAATCAAAACAGTCCATTTGTTCTACCGAAATTGAGTTTTGATGAGCCTTAAAGCACACAGCATATCAGTTGTTTGATTATTGCTAACACAAAAATCCAAATAAATTACTAGACTACAAAAAAAAAAAAGCACTGAAAAACTTTGTACACACACAAGCTACAACTGAGGCTCCCTCCCTTCTGACCTATCTAATGTTTTGTAAGGATTAGTTTCAAAATTTACCAGCAGCTTTGTACATATTTCCCCTCTCAGCAAAATAATATACAAAACAAAATCAGGTATGCCTTGTCTACATCTCTATGTAGTTCTGGCGTCCACAGAAGCATGTGCTTCTCCCTGAGGAGAAGAAACCCAAATCTGTCATAAATGCTAATTGGCAACGTGTCTTTAATTCAAGAGATCTCTTGTTGTTGAACACGACTAGAAACAGTTTATTAAAACCAGTGATTATATTTATGTGACCCAGTTAATAATTCACTAATTGAATTTAATTGGGGCCCACAAGAAGGGATTCCTTTCTATGTCAGAATATATTATTTGTATTTATATATATTATACAAATGCAAGAGAGAAAGGGAACTGACTGTCTAGCAGACTATTTTCTTGCTACTTGTCTGACCTCATAAAACCCACACCTACTCTCATTCAGTTTATACATACAAACAAAGCCAACCTGTTTTCTTCTGGGATATGGAGAGACATGAACTGCAAAGGATCCAAGCACTGTACCATCCAGCCTTGACGTTCACTGACCCGTGAGATATCAACCTTCAGAAAGTGGTTTGGCATTCTGCTCCACAGCACATGGGTCAAAAACTGGACATGGAGACGGGGAGGGCATTGAGGGACTGGGTTTTTATGCTCGCTTTTGAACAAGCCAGCAGACAATGGCATTACATTCTGGAGACAGCAAGAGAAGAGACAGTTAGCTTTATAATCACTATAGGACAATGCAGTGTATGATAATACACAAGACAAATGTGCTACAAACAGATATGAAATCAATGCAATGAAACAAGCATAGTATGGTAGGAATGTCGCATTTTATGCAGCTCCCAAAACAGGCTGGGGACTGGTGGTTCTCAAAGCAAAATATAAAACACTAAATAGAACTTGCCTAAAGGGATGTCATAGAGGTTTAATATCTAGCTGCCCTGAAACCAGAGATATGAAATCCAGTAATCCTTACGCCCGCTGAAACCTCAGTCTTTCATTCCTCTGAGACAGAGTTCAAGTTCTGTGCAATTCAAGTTCGCTAGAAGCAAGCAGTTTGGGTGAATCCTTGAAAACTGAAGCCCAATCTCTTCTGTATGGACATTAATGATCCCGTGGCCCTATTTGTAAGAGTAAGGGTTTGCCCTGGTATTTAAACCAAAAATTGTACCCCCATCTCCACCATCACAAGTTATTATGTTCTCCTCCTAATTCAGAAGAAGCTAATTTCAGCATGAAGAATAGGATTTAAAGGCTTCCATGGAACCTTAAAAAGTCTGTGTTAGTTCTTCTGGGCTGCAACCCTTTTCATGAGACTACACAGTATCCCATACATATAAATTGACTCTGAGCTAAAACAGACATCAGTGCATTGGATATATTTAAAAATGAAAATTCTCACCATTTTTACCTACACAAGTGTACATTTGAATTCTATCATTTTGATATTATTTATACTACCAATACTGATTGTTTATATTGCGATAGGACCAAGAGGTCTCAGTTAGGATCAGGGCCCCCTTGGGCTGTAAAAGCACATAAGTGGCAGTCCCTTTTCCAGAAGGCTTGCCACTCTCTTCTATTACAAAAAATCACTTCTCAAGACTTGTTGCTGATTGTTAAAGCCAAACCAAGGTCTTAATAAAGGCATTTTGAGCTTCAGAAAAATAGGCACTGAAGACTAGATTCGGCTCTGGTCCTCTATAGATACACAGGGCAGTAAGGCCTCTACTACCCCCTGTCCATGTCCAGCCACCAAGGACATACCCAGATCGTGCCTCTGAGCAGGGGACAGGAGAGATAGCAGGGGCTGCCCAACCTATACATCCAGCGACAAGCCTATGGGAAGGGAATGGACATGGAGTGGATGAGTCCTTAGTTTGCACAGCAAGCATTACAACAGTTAGAGTAGCTGGCTGTGCGGACAGATATGGAGTATGCTACATCGCCAACGGTATTTTATGAAATTACTCCCTGCAACAAGAGAAAAGATGGAAGAAGAATCGTGCCTCTCGAAGCCACAATTGTTCCTGATGCTCCTCCTGAGAAGGCACAGCAACACACTGCTGCACAGTAAGCCTGGAGACTCAAGCCATGTCTACAATAACACTTATGCTGGCAAAATTTTTGTCGCTCTGGGGTGTGAAAAAATGCTCTTGCACCGACATAGATTGTTGAGCTGGTTTTATTAGGTCGATGGGAGAGCTCCCTCCCATCAGCATAATGCATCTACACGAGCGCTCTTACAGCGGCACAGCTGTATCGGTACAGCTGTGCCACTGTAAGCTTGTAAGTGTAGACATGGCCTCAATCCAGCACTAAATATCCCAAATCATTAAATTCAGCTAATACACACAGTAACTTTTGTGATACAAATCTGTATATAACTATCGTAATTGTTCTTTGCTACAGAATGACAAAATATAACCAGGCTCGGGGAGTGAAATATGAGAGTTATAGAAATTGACTAAATTTGCAGTAGTGACCGATAAAATGAGCATATAGTCCCTTTCACAATGTGAATAGTACCTCACACATTCGCACTGCAGGAACGTGTGATTTTAGAATCTTTTCACAAAAGGGTGAGATTCCTCCACAATGTTCGCATTCATTTTAGCTGTGACTACCTTACATGTTCATACCATAGATGTGATGGCTTCAGAGAAGACATGATATGATCTAATGAATAAATAGTGCATACTTTAAAATTGATCTAGTCATTTTTATTCATTGCATGACATACAGCATGAAGGGTGACAAGCATAAGAAATAAATATTGCATTTACAGTTTGGAAATATTTAAGTTCTCAGATGCAACCTTAACAAAATTGTTTTATTCTGTGCCATAAGATCAAATTTCCAAGCCTACTTGCAGGCAAGAACCAAAATATGTGCCTTACAAAATGCCATACTAAACAATTGCACAAACAAAAATATCCCTAACACCGGGAACATACTGAATTCAACAAAATAGCAACAACTGGATATTATCTGATATAACAATTAAACTTATAGAGAAACGAATAAGTGTGGTCTTATTTACCTTTATCCTTCCCAACTCAAACTGGAAAACATTGGGGCTTGTAGCTTGTGCAAATACTGCAGGAAATAACTTAGTACTTGGTTCAACCTAAATCACAAACAGAAATACACAGTGACACAAGATAGGAAAACACCATCAATGCTAGGAAACCTATCACTTGTGTCAACTGCTTGTAGGTACAAACTACTTCGTGAAACTCTAGAAGATCATAATTGGGGTTCAGAAGAGAGAGAAGATTACAATCGCATCAGAGGCAATGTCTTTTCCTTTCATTTCTATTAATAAATAAGGCTAGTAAAATTCAATCTACTAGCTTTTCTCATCTGGATGAGGTGACAAAACCAAATAAATATATACCTGATAATAGGTGCTCAGTTCCTTGCCATTAGCAGTGAAGGTTAGCAGACCACTGGCAGCATCGACCACGCAACCAATCTCTAGTCCATTGTTGTTGCGTCCTTGTCCAGGGCTCATGCTCTCTCCAGCGCACACCATATAGCAGTTGCTGCGTTTGATACTGAATTTCAAGAGATACATTTGTGGCTAGCAGGTGAGCTTGTATGGGAAGGTAGAGTTGTAGTCTGTTTATTCAAATTAAATTACACTGTTGCAACCATCAGGCTACTGCTGAAACTGGAATGTTGTATTAACGTCATGGTTGAAATCCTGGCCTTATTCATAGCAAAACTCCCACCGATGGCAATGAAGCCAGAATTTCACACCATGGATTTTCCAAAGTTCCGTAAAGATGGAAGAATTATTTCTGACAAAACAAGAACCAGCCCAAACCTTTACATGAACCAGACAAAAGAGATTCCAGGAGTTAACATTTTAAATCATTTATTTTTATGCATCCCTGAACTTACAGATTCTGACCTGCACCATAAGCAGAAATGCCGTGAAAGCATAAGAACAGTCAGCCTAATTCTGGCCTGACTAGAAGCAGGACGTACCACAATTCTAACAAGAGACTGTTCTCACTTGACTTTGCAGACTGAAGATTTTGCAGGCTCGGGGCCTGAATGACTGAAATGGCACACAAAGGCGGTACTGCTTCTATTTTTCAATATACATAATTTTGATCAGGCAATTATTTCACGTATTCTTTGCAGTGGAGATACAAACAGGTAAATTATATTAGTGATGAAACTTTACTGCACCTTTACCTGTCATCAGTTATTTTACTTTCAATAACATGGTACTACATCCATGGATCTTGAATTCACGTTTCCAAACAAAAACATAACAGCAGCTATACTGGGTCAGATCATTGGTCCATCCAGGGGTTCTAAACCTTTTCCGACAACTGTACCCCTTTCAGGAGTCTGATTTGTCTTGCGTATCCCCAAGTTTCCCCTCACCTAAAAACTACTTGCTTACAAAATCAGACATAAAAATACAGAAGGGTCACAGCACACTATTACTGAAAAATTGTTTACTTTCTCCTTTTTATCATATAATTATAAAATAAATCAATTGGAATATAAACGTTGTACTTACATTTCAGTACATAGCGCAGTATTAACAAGTAATTGTATGAAATTTTAAGCTGTACTGACTTCAGTAGTGCTTTCTGTGTAACTTAATGTAATACTAGGCAAATATCTAGATGAGTTAATATATGCCCTGGAAGACCTCTGCATACCACATTTGAGAACCACTGCTCTAGCCCAGTATCCTGTCTTTTGACAATGGCCAATGCCAGGTGCTTCAGAGGGAATGACCAGAACAGGTAATCATCAAGTGACCCATCCCCTGTCATCCACTCTCAGCTTCTGGCAGTCACAGGCTAGAGACATCCAGAGCATGGGGTTGCATCTCTGACCATCTTGGCTAATAGCCATTGATGGACTTATCCTCCATGAATTTATCTAATTCTTTTTTGAACCCAGTTATACTTTTGGCCTTCACAGCATCCCCTGGCAATGAGTTCCACAGATTGACTGTGCATTGTGCGAAAAAGTACTTCCTTTTATTTGTTCCTGCTCCCTATTAATTTCATTGGTTGACCCCTCAACATTTACAAGCCTGATTCTCCTCTGTAATTCCCATTTTATACCAGGTGCTAGATGTTTAAAAACATACCAAGTATAAAACAATTCAATTAAAAAGAAAAATAATTGGAACCAACCTCTCATGAACCTTTCCTTTTTCATCCCCTAGTGTCACTGTAACGGTGCGTACTCTGTCCAAGTCAAAGGTCATGTCATATTGATGGAAGTCAGATGTAATCCAGCCCACCCAGACATTAGCAGGTTCTTGCCCAGGAAATATTCTCACTGAGTAATAGTACTGTCAATAAATTAACAATATCGCATGGTGTTAATATCTGGTGTATGTTATAATTTTGATTCAGAATTAATTTGTTGTTTTAAAATCTCGTAGTTTATTTTTCACAATCTAACTGGGATGAATCAGCTTTTGTGAACAGATATAGTCTTGTTTGAGAGTAATTCATTACTAGAGCAATGGAAGAATGATGATTGCTTTGCACGGACATGTTCTTCAAAAAAGCGGTCTGATTTAAACTGAAAGACAAGAGGATAAAAAAAATGCATGCAGAAACATTGGCGGTATGTTCACATTACAGTAGTAGAGGATTAATAGACATACAGGTGCATTATAATGCCTGCAAACTCTGGAAACACAGTAAACTGAGCAGATTTAAGGGGCTGAGCCTGTCACTGATCCATGCACAAAACTCCCATTACTTTCAATGGGACTTCCACATTTCATACTCTGAATCAGGATCATGTATTTAGTTGTTGACTCTAACTCTCTATGTTTGAGTAGCTCTGGGCTTGACTAGCTGTTTCAAAATAGGGCCATATTCTGCCCTTGTTCTGTTGCCCATGGAAGTTCTTTTAAGCACAGATCCAAGCTAAGTTAAGTCTCTTCAAATAGGAGTTGTTTTGGATTTGGGGCTAAGTAGGAGGCAGGTCAAAATGGAATGAGTGTGGTGATCTCAAGTTTTGTTACACAGTACTACTGCAGAAAAGTGCATAAAAAATATGGCCTGGAAATAAAAGGGAGAAAAATTGAATGTGTTCACTGTGACTCCTACTAGCAAAAGTAAGCAATTGTTAGAAAAGCAAATAGCAAAAATATGAACACTGCGTTGCCATACCGTAGAAGTATGCATCAAGTAATCATAGTCATCTCTGTCATCTGCCAGAACATCCTCTGTGAGCCGTGCCGAGTGGCTTGTGCTGTAATCTGGCTTTGTCCTTCTGAGCATAAACCTGTAATACAGCAAAGTACTGAGGACGGAGTAAAATCACAACCTATATCAATTCTGAGCAAATCAATACACACAAACACGCACACACACACACACACAGGAATTCCGCAAATATAAATTACCCTAAAAGATTTAGTAGTTGGGTCCAGATTGTTATTTATTGTTTACATCAGGTATGGGTAGAATAAGTGCTTTACAGAAGACACAGGGTAAAATTTTCAAACTTGCCTAAGTGACTTAGAAGCTTAAATCCTATTCTCAAAAGTCATTTAGGAGCCTAAGTTCCATTGACTTGAAATGAGTGTTTGTCTCTTAAGTACTTATGTCATTTATAAAAATGGACTTAGGCTCCTAAGTCAGTATGGAGCTTTTGAAAATTTTATCCACTGCCCCTATTCTAAAACTTTACAATTTAACATAACACAACAAGCTAGGGGGTGAGCAAAAGTAGAAAGGGAATGGAAGGATGAAGGTTTCAGTAATATGTCTGGACAGTTACTAAGTTAGGTATGTGTATCTCATGGATCAGATGGGGAAGGGGAGGGTTTGTTTGATTACCTCTGAAAACGATAAAGATATAACATAGTGAATATTCTTGCCTCACTTAATTGGGGCATGGGGAAAGACCATGAAAGTTCAGATGTTCACCAAAGCTTATCTAAATATCTTTGGCCTTTGCTGGAAGTCTTATAAGCATAATTTTCTGATGAAATTTCCAGTATTTCCTAGTTTTGACAGGATCAGAAAAAACCCTCTGGCACTTTTAGAGTGCCTTTCATCTGAGAATGTCAAAAGACTGCATTTAGCCTCACAATACCCTTAGAGGAAGGCTTCTTTTATAGATTTCTGTTTCTTCTATTTAACAGATGATGAAAGTGAGGTACAGGGAGGTTAAATGATATGCTTATTGTTACACAATGATTCAGTGGCGGTGCTGGGAATAGAACCAAGGAGTCCTAACTGTCAGTTTAGCACTAACCACAACTTTACAAACTCTCCACAGAAAACTTTTACTGGTGATATGGAGAGGGATTTAAAATGAATTTTCTAGTAATGTTTAAAGCAAACCCTACCCACCGTATTATGACAAAAACAGATCAAATATGTTACTGACCTTTGTTTAAGACGTGAAGGTTTCTCTTGAGTGTAATCCTTGTGGTTATTGAACTCTTGTTTTGTAGCTTCTTTTTCTGCCCGATCAGGCACTAGGTGACCATGAGCTGTCTTCATCAGAACCTCAAAATCAGAATCAGCATCATAATCCTCCAAGTCGCTTTTTGGGCCAAAAAGACCAGTGCCTGGCAACCCTCCTGCTGATGTTTTGGAGAATACTTCTGCACACTCAATTGGCATGCTCAAGCGAAAAAACATGATGCCTATTTTGCTGTTCTGTGAGCCAAAGGACTTCTGTGTGACCTTCAAACAGGGGGAGCTGTCTACGGTGCCATCTATTCTCATCACCTATCAAATATAAAAGCTCATTTATTATAAAAGTAAATGTCTTCTCCGCCTCCTCCCAAATGTTCCAGTTTGATTTTTAGCATAATATATTTAAAGTATTTAGAGTTACAAAATGATTACATGTTACAATATGGCCTAGACATTTAATTAAACATCAGCATGCCCTATAGCAGCAAGAGCAGGTAAATCCATTGACAAGTGAATGGAATTGCTTCCTTTTAGCACTTATAAACTGGATATACAGTCAAAGACTATCCCCACTATTTTTTGCAATAGTAATCCAACCTTGGCCAGTATGATCCATAATAACTCAAACACAAGGCACAGATATAAGAGAAAGAACAATATTTCTTTTTACCTATGCTTCCTGATATACTTCAATAGGGACAGAGTTTCTATTTCATTCAAACGTGGCTTTCATGTGGTCTGGTAAGAACTGATTGCAATTGTATAGAGTTATATGTATTTTGAAAACGTATGCATTTGTACAGATTTTTGTTATTGGATAAAACAAACAATCTGCAAATGGCCTATTGTCTATGCACATGGGTCCATATATAAATTGAGTAACAATTTCCGTTGAATTCGTGAATTTAGAGTATTACATTGAATTTGTGCACGAGAGCATAAAAAGGTGACCGGAATTTCGGTTCCTGTATTTAAATGCCTGTGGAGGACAGTCAGCAACAGTACATGTAGAACTCTGAAGTGTCTTTATATATTACAGTCCATATTTTGAGAGAGAGAGAGAGAAATACTATTAAGATCGCAAAGGTGAGGTCACAGAAGTTAGGAAAATACCAGAGATGATGGTTACCAAGGCAGTCTTAACTCTGCTCCCTTGTGCGTATGCCTTATGATACAGGGTAATATTTTCAAAAGAACCTAAGTCATTTAGTACCCTAAGACCCAGATTTTTAAAAGTGTTTAGGTGTTCCTTTGCTCAGCTGACTTAGGAACCTAAGTCCCTTTTGAAAATGAGACTTAGGAGCCTAAGGCTCATTAAAAGTCAATGAGAGACTCCAAAGAGCCTGTGTCACTTTTAAAAATGATATTTAGGAGTCGCAGTGCTGATTAGAGAAAGGTCTACGTACCTCTAAAAACTGAGCTTAAGTCACTTAGGTGCCTGTGAAAATATTACTCATAATCTTTGACTTTTTTTTTTTTGGGTAGAATCCTTGTCTCATTCAGTGTGGAGTTTGTATAGAGTGCAGTATAAAACTTATGGGACAACAAGATAAAAGCAAGTATTAAAAATTTACCTCACCCATGGAGCACTATCTGATCTACACTATTGAATGAAGTAGTAATCTTTAAGTTAAAAACAATATAATTAAAGATTGTTTCATGATGTACTCATGCAAAGGGGTAGCATTAAGGTTGCGGAAGCAACCTTAACTCTGGAACTTTCAGGCTTTTGACAGCTCAACTTGGCAAGCTTAACATATTATTTTATTGTTTATTTAGGAGTCTAATACATTCATACTCTTCCAAGAGATCACTCATTGGCTGACAGAATTCATCATCATGTTCTCATTGAGCTACAATCATAGTTTACCAGGGTGAGTAAGTGCATGTCAGATGCCAACACTGATATCCATATTCAAAGGGAAGGCTGAAATAGCAAAGCAGCAAGTTAACTGTAGAGTTCATTTAATTAAAACAAATTCCTGAAAAATTAACAGGAAACCTTAATGTAGAACACAAACCTCAATGTGTTCATGGTTTGGTGGCACTGGGAAAAACTGAGGGAGTCTCTTGCTCAGCCACATGGTAATGTCTCTGTTTGTATTAACAGCAAAGGGTTCATAGCCTTCTTGTAAGCCACAGATAGTAAAATATTTCAGGGAGCTGACATCTTTGCCAAAGTTCATTCTTCCCACTTGAGACAAGCCCAGGCTGCACACAGGTATAAATCCTATAGAAAGACAGAAAGAAAGAAAATTTATGCATCCCATATATTACAGAAGTGTTTTCTTGACATAACACAGTCAGAAATGGTTTGGGATAAAAATGCGTGAAACCCAAAAAGTACAAACTCCTGTATTAGGGCGTAGTAGTCTACCTTCCAGGAATCAGCAAGCAGCACATCTCTGTTATTGTTCTGTATACAAGCCTCTCTAAAAGGAGATGCAGCAAGAAATAATATCACATACCAGATAATTCACTGTTCAGAAATATCAGACAGTGATTGTCATATTGACCATAAGGCCAAATTCTCTGCGGATGACCAGTGCTGCCAGCGCTCATGATTTTACAAGACTTACAGTATTTGATTTTGCTCATCAAGTTTCAGCTCAGAGTTCTGGAAGTTTTGGTTTTTTTTTTAAAAACAAGAACCTCACCTTTCCTTTAAAAAAAATGTTTCTGGCCCCAATGGCTGCAGAGAAAAACTTGAAAACATGGCCCAAAGGTAACCTAAAGGTTTGAAAACCAGACGGGCAAATAAAAAGAACCCACGTTCATTTCTTTAAATCTCATTATTTTTGTACCAATCTTATGATATTTTGGGGTCAGATTCATGACTTATGAATGCTTAGGGTAGGCAATATTGTACTGTAACTTCCGTGAAGTTGATGGATGGGTTTGTCCCTGTGTAGCATCAGGTGCAAGTTTGGGGCACAACGCAAGAACAAGATTGGTCTCTTGGTACTTCACATCTAAGAGAAGACCCTATTCATTAAAGAATGAAATTCACTCCTGTGCTGAGTAAACACAAGACCTATGCACCACTTCAAAAATTACATTAAGACATCTCTGGTTGTTAGGTTCAGTCTGTTATTTTAGAAAATGAAGAAAATGTATTTTCTTTCTCCTGTTCATCCTTCTTGTTCCCCTTTCATCTAACAATACTATTGAAAACTTATTTGACCTGTCTGCTAAAAAAAATAATCTATTAAGTTTAATAAAAGTGTCAAAAAGGTAATTCCCGTATTGCCCCCCAAGAAATGTAAATCTGGATGCTCCACTCCATTACGCTGGTAGAGGTGAGTAGAATCTAAGGAAATTGGGGAGTAGAAATGGCAATGGTCAACAGGCAGAGCAGCTGGATCTTCCCATTCTTTGGGGCCCCTGAAATTAGGGGCTATGCAGGATGGGAAGGAGCAGAGCCTCCATTCATGACATGCTCTGCATACACAAGTAGAAGAATGTCACAGCCAAAAGCCACAGTGGTTAATGCTGTTCTGCATTAACTTCCAGACTTCAAAACTTCCTTTGAATATTTTATTACAGATAAAAGAGATTCACTGTCATTTACATGTATGTTAAGCATGATAAACATAAGGCCAGAAACTACAAGCCATAGACTCTAGTCGGTAAGATTAATATCTGAACTTCTATCTTTGTGGCCAGGCTCTTAGTAATGAGACATCAGTTTCATACACAGATAATGAGATTGCTCAATCACTGTGATTTATGACTACTTTTTATTGCAAATCTATTAAATATCTATTGTTAAAATATTATACAAACCATTTCTCAGCAGAATACGAGAACTAAATGGGAAAAATCATATTAAACAATTTATAACAAGAGGAGTTACATTTGCATAAATCAATATATATTTAAATTAATATTTGCCTTGCAGCTTAACTTACAGGGAAGGTAACATGCACGCTGCAGAGTTCAACGAACCATGAATGATTGCAAATGTTTTTAGGCAAAGCCAAAAATCACAGCTCTGTCTGCAGTAGGATGACAAATCTTGATGCATCACTCAAGAAGAGTTGTTCTTGGGAGCAACTGTCCCTGGGGGCAGCAGTTAGTGTAGTTACAGGAAGGGTGTTCAGAGAAGACAGCATGGACCTCTGTAATGCAACTCATCACTTGCAAGTTTCCACTTTATATATGGCAGGAGAAACCCAACTAGATATAAGTTTATCAGACTTACAGCACATGCCTGCCTGCCTAACACCTTGTCTCCCTTTACCCCTGTTTCTTATTGATGTAAAGCACTTTGAGAGTTCTTCAGCATGAAGGTCAACATATGAATGTCAGTCATTCTTGGGTAGAACTGCCCAGCGCTGAGCAGGCATTCAAGAGGAAGAAGGAACAAAAAGCCTCCCTTCCCATTTCTCCCCTTGCAAAAGGGGAAAGCACAACTGCAATTCTTGTGCTAAGGGAGCACAAGGACAGTACAAAAGTAGGTACCGCACAGCAGCATAAATCTTTCCAGAGTGGGTGGTATTATAGCCCTGCCCCACACTCCACAACAACATGCTTGTAAAGAGTGGTGCCAGGATTCTCCTCCCCAGGCACTCTAAGGAAGCAGGCACTGGAGGAAGTGATGTGTCTCAGTGACTCAATGTCTCCTGGAGCTCTCAGTGGAGCAGTACAGCCCTGCACCATCCTCAATATAAAGAAGTCTTTAAGTAGCATTGATATAACATACACCTTGATGCAAATGACTCTGGAAACAACATACAATATTCCACACAAAACCTGATTTCATTTTTTTTTAAATAGCATTATAGATTGAAAACTATGAGTGCATGCCATGTTTGTATGAGGAGTTTTGGAACAGTCAGAATGCTATTGAAGTTATTAGTGACAGTACAGATGAAGCATTTAAGAAACTGTAGGTGTATTTCTTTGATGTAGATAGGATTTTGTCTGATAAAGGAAAAAATATATATTTAGAATGAAATTTCTAAGAAGTCCCTGTCATCCACTCTGAAGAAAAAAAAGTGAACATGTAAAAAAGAGCTCCAAAATTTACTCAAAAACAGGAAAGTGGAAGAATCCAATGCCGTCTACATCAAATTCATGAGAGTTTGCAATATAAGAGCAGCTAGTTAAGGTGGGTTTTAGCAAGAGTCAATGTTTCATGTGAGGAAGTGGCAATATTTTTACCAAATTCTGTATCTACAGCTATTGGAGATCCAACTCAGATAAGATAGTCCCTTACTACAGCAATCAGCTCATAAATGAAAGAGCTTAGTTATGCATAATACAGGTAGTGGCAATTGCTGTGATGAGCAGAAGCAGGCAGGAAAACAGTAGGAGTGTAGAAGCTGAGTATATAATGAAAATGCAGTTCTGCATCTCATCACCCCTAACAAGAAAGGGAAATGAGTGGTGTACAAGATGACACACATACATTATTAATTCTACTACATGCATGCATGCATGTCTGTCAGATCTGGAGTAGCATTCTCACAGAGGCACACATTATTAGAAATATAGTACACATTTGCTTCTCATCACACATTCACTAACTTGGTAAAATGAATAGGAATCATAACCTTAGCAGACACCTTTTTTTCAGAGATACCTTAGTACAATAAATACATCTGTAAGTTGTCTTTAAGTTACGCATATCTCACCACGCAGCCTACGTTGCAATGAATTTTGAACTAAATCCTTACCCAGGAAAATTTTTCACTTGACATCAATTGGCTAAATGCAGAAGGTTCTCATTAACTCAGTAACCAGTCAGTGTGACATGCAGATGAGAATTCTGTATCATCAGCCCAGTTCCACAGGCACCAGATTAATCACCAACTCATTCTGCAATAGCCAAAATCCCCCAAATACCCCACAGTGGACCAGTATTTGCTGTGGTGCCTCATAAATTGAGTGAAAATGGTTGAAGATGCCTGTGGCAGCATTAATTTGCTCCATAGGTTAAATCCTGCCTTGACTTACATGCAATGCAACCACACCAAAGTAGATGCAGTTGCACAGGGCATGAGTCAGGGTAGGATTTGCCTCTCCCCTCTCCTGCAGGTTGCTTCTGGCAGATGCATATTGAATAAGGGATTTGATCCTGACTACAACTCCATCCACTTTTTCCACATCCAAGGTGAACCACATAATGCCACCCTTTGCTCACTGCAAAAGGATAAGGGCAGCATAATTTCTGTGTAATTTATACTCTTTTGGAGAAGACAGGGTGCAACTTGTAACCTTTTTGCCACATATACAGTGCAGACATGAAAATCATACTCTGAAGTTGCATTGGTGTAACTGGGGACGGAATTTGAATCATACTATTTACCTGGCTGAATATTCAGAATTATAATGCATGAATACACCATACCTCCTGCATGAAATCTCTCTTGCACAAACATAAATAAATGTGCAATTATCATTTAATAGTTATGTTTACTACTGACAAGAATGATATCTCACAAGTGGTACCGTCTGCCATAATTCTGTGGAACTCTTCTTGTTGGCAGTAGACCCTAAAATAGGGGCCTGTGAACCTGACTGGTAACTTGGCAGAGCGCCATGTTCCTTTTTCCCTGTTTGTAAATATGTTATAACACTAGCACTGGCTTATAAGTAGGCTGTGTCCTCTAAAGCAGGGCAGATGGCTCTGACAAATTGTTATCTTTTTACTGAAGTGAAAAGCTTCATTCTGCAGCACCCTAAGTCTCCAACTGCTTGAAGCTGGGAGTGGACAACAGGGGATGGATCAGTCAAAATTTCCCTCTGAAGCATCCAGTACTGGCCACTGTTAACCTCTCAATTACCCTATCAGTTCAATGCTTGCGGTGGGGGGTGGAAGAGATCATTCTTGCCTGCTTTTTGAGGGTAGGTCTACACTACAGCAGGAATGGACACTGAGATCGATCCACCAGTGTTCGATTTAGTGGGTCTAGTGAAGACCTGCCAAACTGACAGCAGATCACTCTCCAGTCGACCCCTGTACTCTACCCCCAACGAGAAGAGTAAGGTAAGTCAACAGGAGATTTTCTCCCATTGACTCCCCACAGTGTAGACCCTGCTGTAACTCGACCTAAGGTACGCCAACTCCAGCTACATTATTCACGTAGCCGGAGTTGCGTAACATAGGTCAACTTTCCACGGTAGTGTAGACATAGCCTGAGTTACAGCTGTAAGACCTTGTTCAGTAATAAGGGCTGCGAAGTTCACAGAATTGTGTACACTAGTAGGTGGAAGCAGGAGTCTTCTACTCACACTCACCACACCTTCTTTGAGTGGGGAATGTAAATGAAATCAGGAGCAGCTCTAGGGCAGCACTGACAAAAATGAGCACTTCCTCTTCTTATGGCAGAGCTGGGAAAGCTGATGCAGGAGTAGTCATTTAACCTTCATCAGTTCTACTAACTCTACATCCTACTAAAATAGAGGCCAAAGAAAGTACAATGTAACCTGTTATTAAAAGCTATAATTTTGAAAGCACAGTAACATACTCTAAGAGATGTGTGCTCATCAGTCAATGTAAGCGTCCTTAGCATGTAGAGACACATGCCATTTCAACTGACAAATGCACACGCAACAATGTGCTATTGTTCAATTACATCAACTTACTTACACTCTGTGAATATGGCACAGAAAATATTTACAGTGGGGATGAATGCACACCATCGCAGACTAGAAAACTGAAGCTTTTTTTTTAATTAAGAGAGAGAAATAAGAATTTATTTTCATGACCCCAGAAAAGTGCTGTTATATTCAGCATTGTGTAGCACGGGGACAAGGCCCAAAAAGGAAAACCATTGTCCCATGACATGAATATGGGACAGGCAGCAGGGAAGTCATAGAAAGAGGATTTGATTCAAAGCCAACTCAAGTGAATGGAAAGACTCCCAGTGGTTAACCGGTCTTTTGATTAGACACCTTCTGCACTCTATGAACTGCTCCACAACACTTTGATGACAATGTGGAGAGGAACTTGTGAACAGGATAGGGACTCTCTCTTCTATATATGTTTCTATTACAATGGGATCACACTCAGTGCTCTATAAATAATTAATATCAGGCAAGGCTTGAGGAAGCCCATTGTCTCTTGTATGTCTGCAGAAACATCTCTCAGAGTTGTTTCAATGCCTTTTTGAAACTGGAAGCACAAATTGCGTCACATAATACTGCAAATGCAGACAGAATGAAGCAACTTTGTGTTCTACATTGAATATTTTAAGGGTGAAATTCTACTGGGCAATACAATCATGTTTCTAGCAAGCCATTTAGAGATTATTTACCAATATATGTATCATTCAGAAAAACAGAATACAAACTTTCAAAATATGCAGTGAACAAACACAAATCTCCATTAACAGGGATCTGTCAAGTCTGAGAGATTTAAAATTCCATCTAGCACTTTAATTTTTGTTTGTGGGTGTGTGCATTTTTCTGAGCACCACACTAAATTATTCAGAAACACTTTTATCAGACATTTGCAGCCCTACAGTGGTTCTGCAACTGTAGATATTAAAATCAATTCTTAATTCTACATCCCTGTCACTGAAGCAAACTTGAGAATTTAGGCCTAATCCAAAGCCCACCAAAGTCAATGGAAAAACTTTTAATTGTAAAAATCAAAATCAGCGCTCATCTTCTTTGCACCAACATTTAATTTACCTTCATTTTTCTTTTGAGGGCCTGAAGATAAACCTCAGAAACAACCCCCCCCCAAGTGCAAATATTGTTACACCCAACAGTGGTTTGATTACTTATGGGAGTGCTAACAGTCTGCAGCCAATTGCCTAGAAATGGGACAGCAAGATGCACTGTTTACCTGCGGTACAACAGTATAATGGCACAAGACATGCCTATTTGAGAGCTGTCTTATACAAGAATGCCCGAACGGTATTGCCATAGCTGCAGTGAGTGGCGGTACTTGAAGTGTAGACCTCTTCGGATACAAGAAAAGGTGCAGCTTTCTGCAGGAGTGGCCCACAATTTTGGAACCTATTCCTGTCCTTTGTACAAAACGGATTAGGTTTGTTGCCCTTCAGGACAGACTGAAATGTTTATTTATTTACTTACTCAGATGTGACTGAAAGTTTTCTTTAGCAGTTGTACCTTTCATTGTTGATTGGCTTCTCCCAAAACACAAAGTCTATTACAAAATCTTTTGCCATGATGCGGTGCAATGGGTATGTGGTGTTTGTTTTGTTTTTATGTTATATTGGCATTAGGATAATTTTTAACCATTATTTATATTGTAAATGAAAGTTTATGCATACAAACCCCAGGGATGGGAAGTGGGTGCACATAAGCCCAATTAGGTGATGGGGGAAAGAGAGATACACGTAAGCCTGGTTTGATGGGAAACAGAAGCACATAAAACTTCTTTATCAGGAGAAAAAAGAAAAGGAGGACTTGTGGCACCTTAGAGACTAACCAATTTATTTGAGCATAAGCTTTCGTGAGCTACCAGTTCTGAAGAAATGCCTCAGTACTGTAACAAAATGATGAACCAAGCTGCTCTAACTGAAATCACTAGTGCTCAAGATCAGCATCATACAGTAATTACTATTCTATTTCCACTGATGTTCACCCTTTTGCCCAATGCAGTTCTCAGCTAAATGAGAGAAAGCAAAGATACTGCAAAGCAATGCCAAATAACAAGTATTTTTCTGCCAAACTATGCTGTGCACATGTGACAAAGCTGCATTCTCATCTGCTTGTACACCCACAAAGAGCATGTTAAAAGGATGTCAACCCACAATAGGCACAATCTAGCAACAAAAGCAAGTTAACAGCACAAAGCGTGCAACCACTTACCATCACCAACCTCGAAGTCCTTGAATGCAAGCTCTGAACCTGAGTCATCGAGCAGGATTTCACCATTCAGGGTGAACATCATGGTGTGCTCGTTCATGTCAACCATACATCCCACAACATCCCCTGCCAGCCAAGAGCGGCCAAAATGCTCATTACCCTGGTGCCACCGCTGGGCCTGAAAAGGATTTCAGAGAAGGATAAAAACAATGAGAGTATTTCCCTCCCCCTCAGTGATATGACTAATAATCATCCCCCGCAATTAACACAGCACTAGAATTAATACTTTTACAGCAACTCATTCTGAAACAATGCTCATAAGTATCACAATTACACTTTGAGAGTGGCAATCCTACAATTAATTTTGTTGAAGCTCTCCGAACATCAGCATTGTAAAATGAGGCCCAGTGAATAGATGAGTTAAATTGATATTTCAGCATATTAGTAACACATGTAAGAGCATATTTTATTTTTATTTGGAAGATCTACAAAAGGTCTGTCATGAAAATAATATGGTCTCAATTGCAAAGTTAAATAGCTGCTTTATAGTATTTTTTAAATTACTTCCATGCAATTGTTTGGCCTCTAAATTTTATGCTTCCAAGCAATCTTCAAAAATATGTTATTCTTAATGAATTTATTTAGATTTATGCAACATGCCTGCCATGCTCTCTATCGGCCTGAACATGCTGAGCAATTCTTGGAAGTGATGAGCACCCTCAGTTCCCACTTGTTTCTATAGAAGTAGTTGAGGGCATTCATTACCTCAAAGAGTGGCTCAGCACCTTGCATGACTGACCTCTAGAGGAATAAATATTGCAGGTTTGGATGGATGCCTGTTGTGGAGTTTGCATAAGAGCAGAATCTAAATAAATACATACAAATTCTTAGAAAATTTACACAAAAAACCCCCATTATCAATGTACCTCTTCCTAACACACCCATTCTATCAGGACTAAGTTTCCATCCCTTACTCCCACTCCTCAAAAGCCTGGGAGAACACATGAGACTTGCGGCATGCCCTGAAAGTCAACAATCTCAAGCTCTCTTTGACCAAGGGGGGAGTGAATTCCAGAACTGACGAACCTTCATCTAAAATCCCTCCTGTAAACAGCCTCCCAAATAAACTGGAATCTGTTAATTCCAGCACCTCAGCTGATCTCAACTTCTGTGGTACAAGAGGATAGAGCCATTCTTAAAAGATAGTCACAGCTAAAATCCTTAAGAAATGTATCAGTCAAAACCAACACCTTATACAGCACCTGGAAATCAGATGGGAACTGGAATAGAACACACAGCAAAGGTAAAATGTGCTTCCTGCAGGAAATACAACTAAGAAGGGGGATAATGTCCATTTCATTAATCTTAGCAAAACAAAAAGTATTACTAAAATCCCAATATTGGCTTACAAATAGACTGAAGGAGTTTTTACCTGAGATTGTATTAGCTTGGAAAACTTGACTGATGACATGGTTTATATCTAAAAGAAGGCAGGGAGTAGCATTCTCACTGCTGCTTTAGGTGTTAGTGATCTTACACAGTTGCAAGGAAAACATCAAGGTCCCAACTCAGGATTTAGCAGGACAATTGATTCTCAGCTTTTTATTGTTATCATTTTCAAATATATTCAGTGCTCATCCTCTGCTAATGATAGGACACTGTGAATGGTTATTTAATTTGATCAGTCATTTAAAAAATTCTGACTTTTCAGTTCAATGTTAAGGCATCTCAATTTGTATCATACAACACTGTCAAATAGAAATGCAGTAACAACAATAAAATAGGGCTGAGGTAGGCTTGCTTGACAATCTGCAGTTCTGAAATTGAGTTTGTGAAGAGTAATGCTAACTTCTGTCAAGTATTATAACAACAACATAACTGTATTCCAACTCCAGACACAAAATGCAGTTAATATGCATTTTTGTACTAAGACATGAGTCACCACTAGTCTAGATAGCAACTGTTATCATGGCAGAGATTTCACATGCCTTCACACTAAAATGATGTTTTACTGCCACACTTTAATGAGTCATTTGACTCTTGTGAAGGATCAAAAACCAGCGGCATAAAAAAATGTTATGCTTATCTACATATTACCCATACAACTAGATTTCAGTCTTTCATTGTTTCTTTCATACTGAAGTTGGAGCTAGAACTACCTGCTTTCTCATACTTAATTTGTGCTAAATACTATCAGAAATTTCCATTAAAATTTAGTCTTCCTTTTCATAACTTTTACATTCCTATATTCTTAACCAAATTCAGTCCAATGGAATTACTGCTGACAATGAAAATCACATTCTCTTTCCTATAGCGATTTCCTATCGGGAGATCACTGCACTAGGATTCAGGAGAAATGGGTTCTAATCTCAGCTCTCCCAATGACTTGATTTAGGGTAAGTTACTTAAGTGCTCTGTGCCTCAAATACACACCCAATTTTGTACAGCATTTTGAGATTTTCAAACGAAAAGAGCTATGAAAGTGCCAAGTGCTCTTACTGTATTTTTGCCAAGTAATACGGTTCTACATTCTAAAATATTATTTTACCTTTCATTTCACCCAGACCCTAAAGAGGATTCTTAATATTTTCAAACACTGAAACAAAAGCTAAGGCACAGAAGGGCATTAAGCTGAAACAACTAGAATAGGAAGAAAAAATAAGTGATTTTTGTTAACAACTTACTGTCACTACTTACAATCAATCCCACCAAAACAAACTATACAAACCTTGAAGCCATCAAAGACAAAAGCTTGCTCATCTGAGCCAAGTTCCTGGTCTGGCTGGCAGCCTGGCCTGGTCCAGCCAACTCTCATGTCTCCTGCAGTGACAGCCTCAAACTCAAAGTACCATTTTCCAGCCTTTACTGCGTAAGTCTTCTCAGTGCGGAATATCCGGAACCTTTCCATTATCCCAGTGCACATGTCTGACCTTGTAGCTGCAGGGGGAAAAAAGGGCCCTTATGTTTATCTGATAACAAAATGAAAGCAATGAAAATAAACGGAGATTACTGTATAGTATCCATACCTCTCAACCTTATAGAAAAATATTAGGAAGTAGATAATGGGATTTAGCAATGATTTACCATAAGTCATGATGCTGTATAGCCAAGAATTGAAGCCCTGAAAGCTCAGTTAATCCAGTGAGCTAGTGGTACCAATGATTGGTAATGCACATGAAAATATCAGAGACTCAGATTTTAAAGGCCAGAAGGTTAACTATGAACATCTACTCTGGCCTCCTTCATAACACAGACTACAGAATTTTTACTCAATATTCCTACTTCAAGCCCATATTCTATGGTTGAGATAGATCATATATTTTTGAAAGACATCCCATTTCGATTTAAAGACTTCAAGAGATGGAGTTTACACTACATCCCTAGATAAATTGTTCCAAAGAGTAATTACACCTCACTGTGAAAAAAAAGTGCTTTATTTTCAGTCTGAATTTTTCTAACTTCAACACCCAGTCTTTGGATCTTATTACGACACTCCTTGCTAAATTAGAGTCCTCTACTATCAGAAATCTTCTTCCCTAGTTGGTACTTAATCTGATATTTGATATGTTAATTAGATAGAGCTTCTTAAATCTCTCAGTGTAACACTGCTGTACAAATATTTATTTACTGTAATGAGTCCTACCCACAGTTATATGTGCATAGCTAAGGGTACTTGGACCATGTTATTTTAGCATCCTTTTTCTGCAGTGGGAGGAGTGGGCAGAAGGAAAGGATACATTTATCTGCATGAGTCTCTAACACACCAGATGACCACATTTCTGCATTAGAAAAAATATCACAAGGAGAAAGGGCAGAGGGTTTGAAAAAACAGATGCCCTTTAAAATACAGTGTAGGACAAATAACTGGCATTTCTTATTATAATAAAACTGACTCATCTGAGGTTAAGTGGGTGAGGTCATATCTTTTATTAGACCTACTTCTATTGGTGGGAGAGAGAAGCTTTTGTGAATACACAGAGCTCAAGGCTGTAAACTGTTCAAGGATAAAAGAAAAATCAATGTTTTTATGATGCTTGAAATCAGACCCAAAGAGGTATTTAGAAAATATTGCTGAACACTGAAATAACATATACGTTTTCAATTGAATAGACTATCCTTATTCACTTCCCATCTGTCATATATATAAAGGGAAGGGTAAACACCTTTAAAATCCCTGCTGGCCAGAGGAAAAAACCCTTTCACCTGTAAAGGGTTAAGAAGCTAGGATAACCTCGCTGGCACCTGACCAAAATGACCAATGAGGAGACAAGATACTTTCAAAGCTGGAGGAGGGGAGAAACAAAGGTTCTCTCTGTCTGTGTGAGGCTTTTGCCAGGAACAGGAAAGGAATGGAGTCTTAGAACTTAGTAAGTAATCTAGCTAGATATGCATTAGATTCTGTTTTGCTTAAATGGCTGATAAAATAAGTCATGCTGAATGGAATGTATATTCCTGTTTTTGTGTCTTTTTGTAACTTGAGGTTTTGCCTAGATGGATTCTCTATGTTTTGAATCTGCATACCCTGTATTTACCATCCTGATTTTACAGAGGTGATTCTTTTACTTTTTCTTCAATTAAAATTCTTCTTTTACGAACCTGATTGCTTTTCCATTGTTCTTAAGATCCAAGGGTTTGGGTCTGTGTTCACCTATGCAAATTGGTGAGGATTTTTATCAAGCCTTCCCCAGGAAAGGGGGTGTAGGGTTTGGGGGGGATATTTTGGGGGGAAAGACGTTTCCAAGCGGGCTCTTTCCCTGTTATGTATTTGTTAAGACGCTCGTAAAGTCCAATAAAAAGTCCAAGAGCGAAAGGTAAATTAGTTTGTACCTTGGGGAAGTTTTAACCTAAGCTGGTAAAAATAAGCTTAGGGGGTTTTCATGCAGGTCCCCACATCTGTACCCTAGAGTTCAGAGTGGGGAAGGAACCATGACACCATCCTAAACTGTTGTATAGATATTGTGTCCTATTAAACAGTTGCCCTGACTGCAACAGGTAAAGAACAACACACAAGTTTACAGGCTAAAAGGTTACAGGATAAAAGTATCACATTTTCTGCCTTAACATACGTTTCCTTCAAGACTACTATGGCTACATAACAATTCACTCAAGAGGGGCTCAGCATGAAACACTATTTAAAAAATCTCCAGTAGACGGACACATTAATCTTACTCTTACCACTGACATTATTATGCAAACAGTGTGTCATGTATCTTGATCACAACAGATGTAAACTCCACAGAAAGATTAGTGGTACATGGCATAAGTGAACTATTGTAGTTCCTAAACAAGAGAACTGTGGAGTGGTTGGGAAATGCATGGGTTTAAAAAATAATCTAAGTCAGTAAATAAAATGTATTTAGATTTTAAAAACGAAAGAATGTGCATGTGTCACTTTGAAGTGCATGAATAAATCTATTATTCTCTCCTCTTTTTCCCTTACAACTGACACTGAGGTTTCACACTTTATTTCTAGCCTCTGACCCACTCCACTACTCTCCTGAGCCGATACCTGTCCTGGCCTCCTGCTTTCATGCACTCCTCTTCCTTCCTCCTTAACCGCCAACTCTTCTCTGGCTCCATCTCCTCAGAATGTAAGTATATTATGGTTTCCTCAACAGACAAAAAAAGCCAGCCATTGATTTTGTCTCTCTCTCCCATTATGCCACCACTCCCTTCTTCCCCTCAGCTCTAACCTTATTGAGTATGCAACCTACAACCATTGCCTTATCCTCTCCAACTTCGCTTCTGTCCTCCTCACTCCAACGAAACTGCGCTCACAAAGTTTTCTAATGCCCTCTTCTAGAAAATGTCTCAAGGTTTCTACTTCACCCAGAACTTTCTTGATCTCTATGATACTTCTCATACCTTCTTGACATCTTATCCTGTCCTCTTCCTATCTCTCTGGCTGATCCATGGAAAGAGATACAGAGGAGGAGAACCCACAAAACGATGTACCCAAAGGGCTCTCATGTTGGCTGCCTCCTTTTCTCACTTTACAACCTCTCTTTCATCCTCTTACACAGCTTCAACTACCACCTCTAAACTGATTACTTGCAAACTCTCACTATTCCTAACTTATCTTCCCCCATTCAGTCCTGCATTTTATCTGTTTCTGACACTTCCTTCCAAATGTCCCATTGTCAACTTAAACTTAACACAGTCACCCTTGTGCAAAGTGGGTGTAAATGGCAATGATCACATTTTACAAAGCTGTAAAGGACTACAAGGCACAAGAAGGAGAAGGCCCCTTATTGCCTTCCCAATACCCATATTCTCTGTCATTATAGACAATGTCATCATCTTACCAGTCAGTCAGGCCCACAACCTGGGGCTCATCCTTTGATTCTTCTGTTTCCCTTCTCCTGCATATCCAGACTATGTCTGGATCCTGCTACTTCTTTCTCCATAAGATTTCTAGAATTCATTCTTCTACATACAGCTAAAACGCTTATTCAGGGACTCGCTCATCTTGATTACTGTAACATCCTTCTCATCTCTGATCTTCCTGTTAGCTCCACTGCTTCCCTTCAGTCTGTACAAGACATAGCTGCTAAAATCACCTTTCTTGCCTGCTGCTTTGACCATGTCAACAACCCACTCCCCATCTCACCTCTCCAATCCCTCCACTACCTTAAGTCCCAGCTTCTTGTTCGAGCCTTGAAGATTCTATGGAACTGTCTCCTCTGTACTTATCTGTTCTTGTCTCTTTTCCTGCTTTCCATCCCCTCTTCTCCACCCTGCCAGTGAAGCCAGCCTCAGCAAAACTGCCCTGAGCTTTCTTCCTCACAGCTGTTTATAAATTGCATTTTCTATCCTTGCTGCTCTACATGCCCACTGCCCTCGCAACATCAAATGCCTCCTGAAAACCCCCGGTGTCATAACTCTACAAGAAATTAGCTGACTACTAATAGCAAGGTTGAACAGAAGTTGGGAATAGTGTATATATCTAATTAAAAAAAACAACTAAACATCACCCAACAACTTGTATGTTTCACCCATTGCCCCTACACTTTGTCTGATTCACTGTATTTTTAGATGCCAAATAGCTCTGTATCTTCTTATGATGTTTGTACAGCATCTAGAACATTTGGGGTGCTACTGGAAGCAATAAATAACAATTAATAAGGATACAGCTGAAGATACTCCATTTGGTTAACAAAGGCTTAAAAAAAAATCATGAACCAAAAACCAGAAAACCACTAGAGATCTCTAAATCCTTTTACAATACACAATACAGAATTTGAATGACGAAGAGGGGCTTCCCACAATGTTTCAAAGGAAAACATCCTATGTCAGACAAGAAAACCGGAGAAAGCAACGATTCTGCAAAACAATCATATTATGTAACACATATATATAATATAGCAGTTTAACTCTATCAATTCATAGTATTGTCATATTCTAAAAAAGAATAAAAATACCCCGCCACAAGCTTTTCAAATACCTTGAACATATTACTTAGAAAAATGAAGGTTTATTCTTTATTTGCATTTATTTAATATTATTATTCAAATTTTATTAAGTCTAGGCACTAAATTCAGCATGTAATACATTGGCATAAAAACTAAGTAGTATGCAACTAGAAACATCCAATTTAGTACAAACATAATAAAATAACTAAAAAACAGGACCCACTTCTGCAACACTTATTCATGAACGTTAGGGCTAAAAGCATCTCAGAAGTGTGGTATTTGTGTGTGTGAACTGTGAGTGTGTGTGTGTGTGTGTAACAATTGCAAAGTAAACCCCAAGAAGGGGACTCCATACCCCAACATACACCACAGAAGAGTCCTCCATGGCAGTATAAATCTCCACACTACACTACAGAGGATGCAATATCAAGCATTTAGACAATCGATATACACAAGCATTGGTTCATGTTCTCTCAAGCATAATGTATTCTAAATAAATAAAATAGAAGGATATTGATAAAGTGAATTCAATATAAAATTACCTTATTTCACTTCATTTAGCATATTCCTAGGAAAACCTAGTGAATATGAAGGTATTTTGCATAATTTTCTCCATCCCAGCAGGCTCATATATTAATTGCAAAATAATTTTTATATGCATCCATACTCTTCCTCACATTAGCCTTATACCCCCACCCTCTTGCAAATTTTATTCTTACTAAGAATAGGAATATTTTGTGTGTGTTCCTGGGGGTAATGACCATTCTTTCTTCTTGGTAGCCTCATATGTACTCACCCACTTTCCCATCACGACACCCTGTTAAGCTTCCTCTGCAATGCCAGTCAAGGAGAAACCTCAAAGCAGTTTCTCTCTGAATTCTCAGAGGAGAACAATGGAGGTAATCAGGCAATTTTTCTTGGGCATTACCATTTCTGCTCTCAAGATTTCTGGCATACACCTATTTAAATCAGCACCTAAAATAGGGTTCTGAATATTTAAATCTTATAAATTGGGTTTAAATAATGCTTTCTTTTCATTATTCTTTCCTTCAGGATTATTGTAAACACAGAAAGCTCTTTTTAATAATAATGAGAAGTTAATAACTGAGACTTATGAGTTTCATTCTACAATTCTACCATAGAAACACAGGCCACACATCTTGAAAAATAATTAGCTTTGGGCCCTGATGCAATCTACCGGATAGCTGAGAGTATCATTAATTAAAATATATGCAGACTTAAATGTTTAAGTGTAGTGAGAGCCATTCTGTTGAATTTACCATCTGTTATCTAATGAGCATTGCTAGTGGGACAGTGCTGTACAGTACATAGAGCAACTCTCAGTCCTTAGTTTGCTGTCTAAAATGGACTAACAGCACATTTCAGACGCCAGCCATTTAGGGGTAATCTCAAAGTGGTACGGGCATATTGCCTTAATGATTTCATTATGTACTTATGTTTTGATGAAGTTAGGGACATCTTCTTAACTATCACCGAAGCACACAGAAGAGAACACCCAAGCACCAACATGCATACTCAAACCTGTCAGTTTATTTCCAAAGCCATGTATCCTAGAGCAAGCTTTATAATACATAATTATGAAAGCTTCCCTAAAACATACTTTCTCTGCGTATATCCAGTTTATAATTTCTGATTTTTTCCCACAATGTTTTTTCCCTGCAGCCATTATCTATTTTATTTCTTTATACAGCTGATTTCTTTTAAGAAGCAATGATAAAACATAACATCTCCTCTGAGTGGCAGGTTATCTCCAGTAGGTATCAAATGCCAACTAAGGAAATGATGCAGGAAGTATCTTCCACAATCTAGATGTTCTGTGATTAGAATACTCATGAGCAACACTGCACAGTCTGTTCATTATCTGTAAATTTAAACTGACTGGGAAAGTGACCATCTTTCAAATAAGGGCACTCACAAATTGATCAGAAGTCCTTTCTAACGGCTCCCTACTATTAGAGCAATCATCTAAAAACTATTATAAAAATGGTGTCACTAGAGTCACAGTTTACAAGAATTTGTCACCTATTTTCTTGTCTTTGAGATTAGTTCTTGCATTGGACATTAAACCAGGATGAAACACTGGACAACAGCTAGCTTGCTACTTGCTTAAAAGTAGTTGAAAGAATATAAAGGTTCATTCTTTCTTGAACACACATGCGTAACATCCAGTACTGCAGCCTTAAGAAAAGTTATGCCCATACATTAAGAAAGTAAACAAATCCTCAGCTTTTAGAGAAAAGTATTTCAGAGCCAATGATTTCACACAAACTAAGTTAAACTGATGTGTAAGAATAAAACAAAGTTCTCTACAGTCACAGGAAGTTTCATTGACATTCAGGTCCACACTAAAGGATCCTTTGCAGTATTGGGAATTACATTATTAAATTTCTTATATACAATATGTGTAAATTGGTTCTGAATCTGACTACAACCAAGCAAATTCACCAAATTCTGAGGTCCTTACTCAGTTTACACGGAGTTCTTTTACTCAGTTCTTCAACGGCTCTGTTGTGAAAGCTTGATGTAGAGGTTGAGGCAATGCTTGATTCAGACACCAGTTCTTGTGGAACACTACCATAAGGCTGAAGGACTCAGAAGATTGATTAGCATAACCCAATGGCCTGGGAAGACTTAGCGGAGTCCCTACATGCTGAGGTGTTTTTGGGCACAGAGCCTTTCTGGGTACCCATTCCCATCTCAGGAAAATAAGACACGGACTGAATGCAGGGTCATCAGGCAGACCAGAGCTGGAAGACAATAACTCATGCCACCTCTAAGAAATGAAGCTTAAGGCAATGTTCCTTGGCAATAGATGTGCTGCTAGCAAGTGACTTGAATGTCGAACACTTTCCTGATTTGGAATAGACATTGTGCTTGTTCATCAATGAGAGATGGGCACAGCTTGAAGCTAGTGGATTTGGTCATCCTCAGCAGCCCTGCAATGCCTCACAAAACAGTTCAATAGGGCTAAAAAAAACATAATAAACTTAGCAACAAATAGATATGCCTCCGTCATTACCAATACCTACTGTAACATTACATGGATTCTTGAGAGTAAAAAAATTAAATTAAATACCGTGATCTTGATCAGGAGCCTCCAGGTTGTAACCATAGCCAAGAAGGGTGCGGACGGCCTCCCGGAGGCTATCTTTGTTTGACTTCTTGGTACGATCATCCAGAAGGACATATGGGACAAGGCGGGGGTTTCTTCGATTCTTCACATCCTACATAAGGATAAGTTATTAAAAATCATTGCAGTTTCAGAGAGACCAAGCTAAAATGAAACATTTTTCTTACAAATAAAATTGCAAGGACAGATAAAATGTACAGTAGCTTCAGTTTAAAAAATATGATTTGCACAAAGTGAAATGAAGACTTGCATAACACCACACATGCAACAAGCATCTTGCAGAGGAAACTGAAGTTCTTGAAATCTACACGGACACTGAATTCAAAAGAAGCAAGTTATTCACAAATATTGATATTTAATGGCATGGTGTAAATTTTCTTTCATTTTCCACCAAATAATTTAATGGAAATATGTTCATGCAACACTAAGTGTGAAAATCAAGAACAGAAATGAATTGTTTACTATCTAAGATTTTGCACTCTCTTTGGAATGGGGATCATGTTTTTCTTCTATTTGTACAGCAACTAGCACAATGGTGTCCTAGTCCATGACTGGAACTCCTAAGAGCCAACATGATATAAATACTTGATAAATAATAGCACCAATGTTACACTACCCAAAGTGAATGGCTGGTTTGCCATTCATTTGAATGCAAGCAGGATCATCAGTCTCAAGATTCTTATCTTTATGTAGAAGAACAAAACTGCCACAACACCAAAATGTAAAACAACGGCTGCTTCTAATGTGAAATACTCAAGGCATATATTTTTCCAAAAGAAAGTATTGGATTTTACAGTTCTAGTAAGAATCCAAGTGTAAATGCCCTTCCCTCAGTGTGATGCTCTAGTGTGGAATTTTTTTAGCATAACATAAGATAAACAAACACAGCTCTCTGCTCCCAGCGGAATGAAGCTATTAAGTGAGTTAAAGTTTGTTTTTAACATAAAGTTATTTTTTTTCCTTTGCAAAGGTCATTTCAATTGCAAATGTTGATTATATAGTCTATTTAGTATACATTATGACAATTCTAGTGAGTATTATAATTTGCCTTTCTATGTTTTCACTTTTGCACTTGAGAGTCTATTGGCAGTGGCAGAAGCAGTGCAATAGATCTCTCCATATCCTTACTAATTGTGTAGATATTAATTTTTAAAAAAAATTAGAGGTTAAATCTGCCATAATAAGTTGACTATTGTATAGGAACAAAAAGCAAAGATATTGGGAACTTTCTACTAATGGGAGATACCAACAATTGTGAAAATGAAAATATCACAAAATATTGTCTTAGTATTTTATTCTATTATGGTTCTGATTCAGAATTTTTCAGCTTTGCTCCTGTACACACTCACACACATTTCTGCATCCTCAAACAGCAGATACGTTTTGGTAGTACAAATACTTGTGGCTGTTTTCCTTCATTAGCTATGACATATCTAGCGATCTGATTTAGGAGCACCCTGGTAACTAGATACTTAAAGTGTACTAAAATGTGTTTTTTGCATGTCGAAAGGCTCAATTCGTTCCCAATGCAAAAGGGAAATTTGATCTTTCCTGTGGATTTTCTTTCTAGGACAAGCCACAGCATAAAAATTACATAACCTGGATGTTAAATGTTATGTAATGTATGGATGTTACATAACCAAGGGGATAACAGAATATGTAGCAGACACACAAAAGGTGAGGTGCTGCTCTCCCCAAGAATGTTACAGGTCACTCATTTGGAGGAGCAGTGACACTGTTGGTGTAGAGATCATGTTTTTTATTACGAACTATAAAGAGCCCTTTTGTGGCTCTCTAGCCACACATTCTCAAACCATTTTGAGGGTGACCTCTACTCTTCTGTAGACACATCATTTGGTAGATGAGTGTTGCAGAACATGGCACCTCCAAAACCTTTACATTCATTTTCAATTTATATATAAATTCAATCCTTCTTACTCTCCTAAGGACAAGTTACTGCTTTAAAATATAAAGATTGCTGGGACAGAGAAGGGAAAATTTGGTCTAACCTGTGAATTTTTTTTCTAGAATCTTCCAGATTTGAAAGTCTGATTCTCCATTGGAGGACTGCATTACGTGCAGAGGTTTTCTAGTAATTACTTACTTTTTAAATAATTTAAATGACAAGAGTAGGTTTTCTTCAGGGAAACCCTTAAATATCTTGTCAGCACTACTACAAATGGTTTGAGTTAAATAACATTTGTTAACTTTTACATATAGTTAGTTTTTTCAGCTTTGGAAGCTATCATTCTATCAAACACAACATTAGTAATTTACACCTGAATTCTGGATTGCTTAAGGAAAAAAGCATGGGGACTAGAAAAGTACCTGCAAATATATGCTGGGAATGGAACAGAGAGATATAGGAGAACATGAATTAACATGTTTGAGCATATATAGTGGAAATGCAGGTTCTAAAGGCTCGTATCAGGCAAACAATGCTCCATACCAGCGACAGCTACCAGGAAATAGGTAGAAGGGATAGCCCAAAGAAATGCATACAAATAAGAACAATGTGGGCCATCTAAAAGGCTGTTAAAACTACTATTAGAAACAAAAGGATCAGGCCTATCAACCCTTCACAGTAGAAAGCGATAGTAAGGTGTATATGTGCATACATGCATGCTATAGGTATGTGGCAGGCACACAGAATGGATAAGTGATTTAGTGAGGGCCACATCATATATAGAGAGACTTGTATGAGAAATGCCACATAAAAGATAGTATGTGAAGGAGTGAGGCTGCAGAAGCATCTGTAGAACATTGTCCATAGCAGCACAGAATAACAGTGTTAAACAGCCAGTTCACACAAGCAGCTGTAAGGAAAGCAACTATTTAAAAGATCCAAAAGGAATCTCAAAGTCAGAGTTGTGCACTTTAGAGGTAAATCAACAACAAAGTGCTATTTTCCTATATAATCCCCTACTAAACCTCTTCTGTAATGACATGCAATAATGCAGCTTTCAATGGAACAACTTACGAGAAACCTGTCATTACGAGTATGGTATGCAATTAGATTTAATGAACCTATGCACTGTTGTGCTCGGACACTGCTGTGGAGTTCAACAGAAGTGCAGGTCATCAGCTAAGTGGTTTAAGGAGAAGACAGACAACTAGACACACATTACAGCGCTTCTCAAAGAAGAGGAAATAAAAGGCACAACCACAGAAGCATGTAATAGGAGGAATATCGGAAAGACATGGATAAGCAACTGACATGGTCACAAGTTAAGTGATTTAGAACATCAGGTATTTATATATATCTATTCCATTTATATATATATCTATTAGAGGGGACCTAATTATTTCGTTCTCATAGCCATGGATGCTGACAACAAATGGATCAAAAAATGATTAGTAGTCACCTTCTATCACTGAATTTAAGAAAAATTCTCTTGAAAGTGGATTCTATTCAATATCAAAGGAGCTATTCCAATAAAGTTCTATGTAATACCTCTTTATTTGGCACTGGTGCAATTGCAATTGGAATATTGTTTCCAGTTCTGATACCCACAATTCAAGAAAGATGTTGGTAAATTGGAAAGGATTCAGAGAAGAGCCATGAGAATGATTAAAAACTATTCCTTATAGTGATAGACTCAAGGAGCTCAATCTGTTTAGCTTAAAAAATAGAAGGTTAATGGGTGACTTGATTACAGTCTGTAGGTACCTATACGTGGAAGAAATATTTAATATTGGGCTCTTCATTATGTCAGAGAAAGGTATAATACGATCCAATAACTGGAAGCTGAAGCTAAACAAATTCAGACTGGAAATAACATAAATTTTAAACATTTTTCACCATTGGAACAATTTACCAATGGTCATGGTGGATTCTCCATAACTGACCATTTTTAAATCAAGATAGGATTTTTTTTTAAGATATTCTTTGGGAATTATTTGGGGGAAGTTCTATGGCCTGTATTACTCAGGAGATGATCACAGTGGTCCTTTCTAGCCTTGGAATCTATGAATCTTGAGTTTAGCTCCCTACTGAAGACCCTGCTCTTTCAATAACCTCATCCCTGTTGAAGAACACAAGAAGGAAAGCCAATGATTTTGACTAACTGCAAGTGTAAGCAGTAGGATAGCTGCTATAGCAGTCCACCTATTAAGCCTCTCCCCTTACTCATCACTAGTAGTTGTAAATTGTGGCATGGGACTTGCAGGAGACAATGGCAAAATGTGGTATGATTGAATTCAGGTATTGCATAAATAGGATCCTGCTCCCAGATATCTTGAGTAACATCCCCACTAATAGTCCTTTAGCAGGCAATATTAGTCCTATAGAAGAGAAGTACTGGAATAAATGATCCCACTCAGGAAATACATTTCTCCACATATGATCCAAAGACACACAGTTCCTCAGAAGGTATATAACCCAGTTACAAATTTACCCCAGGGGTTCACACAGAATAGTACCTTGAACCTGCACTCAATTACTGTGACATGATTATACAAGAGCTTCTCCCAGGTGTCCTGCCTGTGGCACAAATGGTGTCTGCGCAGTTTCTATGCTAATCACCATTGGCATGATTGTCTGCAGTTCTATCGCAACCATGGCACATTAGGCCTGTGCACAGCACATGGAATGAAAACTGAGTAGTTTATTTGCACAATACAAATAAGCTTTCTGGTTCAGAGTAATACATGTGTCCTACACTCCACTATGTCTTCTGCAGTTTCCACGGTATGCAGCCGATGAAGTGAGCTGTAGCTCACGAAAGCTTAGGCTCAGATAAATTGGTTAGTCTCTAAGGTGCCACAAGTACTCCTTTTCTTTTTGAGAAATATTCTAGTTTGCCCAAAATGTATGGTGTCATCATAATTACTATGGTGTCTTGGTTCTGAAATTTGTTTATCCACATAATTCCTATATATATTGCCCACCGTTGTCATGTTTGACCTTCAAATACCACTTTACACTTCCAAGATATGGCAAAAGATCTGTCTTTTTACGATGCTATCTGGACAATTCATTCCACTTCTGAGAGTTCCCACTTTTTCTACTCTTACTAACATGAATCTACTGTTTTATATCGTAATCTTATGACAGAATTTGGCCCTTACAGAACATCTTACTGATCTAACAAA